GGAAGACAGGACAGGAACAAGACAGACATGGCAGACAGGACAGAAACAAGACAGATGACGAACAGACAAGGCAAAAGACAAGACCAAACAATAATTAGCTATTAAATAATTAATAGCTAATTTGAAATCCAAAGAAGGCAATGATAATCCACGAAGTAACATAATAAAATAAATACAAATAAGACAATTAAAGAGCAACCTGTGCCGTGTAATGGGATAGGAGGGCTCTTTTATACGAAGTTTTGAAATAACCCACAGAAGATTGACCTTTAATTTGATTGTCGATGGTGTTCCAAAGTCGGGCTCCATGAAAGCGAAGTGTGTGCATTGAATAAGAGGTACGAGTGAAAGGAATATAAAGATTACACCGGGATCTAGTAGAATAGCTGTGAACAGTTTCAATAGATCTAAAGTAAGAGGCAAAAGTGGAAGGGAGGAGGTTACAATAGAATTTGTACATGAAGATATATTGAGCACAATTGTGCTCAAGATTTTATAGGCTTAAATTCAAGTTCGGTATCCATAACGTGTCGAAAAGAGTTGCTATCATGACGACAGCAGGAATGCCTAAAATATCAGGTGTACCCTAACTAGGGGTCACAGTATCGGAACCCTGATCAGAAATAACTTTTTAGAACACAGCAGTCACTGTGACCATTTCCTACCTCGGAGTCCATGCTCTATCTTAGTGACTTTCTAATCATTCATTGAAGGCCTAGTGACGAGCACTCATGTTTATATACCAATTTACATGAAAGTGATCAAAGCATACATTAGCCCCACTGGTGTGGCACGGACTCTCGCTACCGTTCCATCCTTGGGAGGAATGGAGCGGTAAGGAGAGTTCGTGGCGCACTCAGCGGGGCTAAGCATACAGTACATATATGTAAATGAAGCTCGAACGGTCAATTTACCGGAACAAATTGCCCTGAGGCCAAGGGATTATTATGAAGAGCTTGAGCACAAATCGCTCCAGATGATGAACGTTTTGTGGTGAAATGTAGGCCTACATGTACATTGCAAACCTGACGATCCACAGTTTTCAAATTTACACCATTAAGTTGTGGCCAAAGATTCCACGCAACGGCATGGAAGGAGACACCGTGACGGCTGCATGAATCATGACACGCGCGCGTAGAGAACAAACCCGAACAAATTATCGACTTGAACAAAGTCTATGCATAGTACAGCGTGAGATGAACGAGTGGAGGAGCAAGAGGACTTACCTGTATCTTGTACAGCGTTTCAAGTTCAGAAATCCACACTTTGTTGTATAGCGCTGGGGGCACGAGTAACTACAAACGGCAGCCCTTTGGGAAGATAGAAACTTTAATGCATCACTCGCAGCCAGCAATTATTGTAAGTTTGCAACATACCTATAAAGAAATATAAACTTCGCGAACTTTCTGAACGTGTAACTGTAAAACTTCAATCATTTAACGGCAAGAAGTTTGCCTATTAAAATTAACAGGGCATGTAGCGGCTTTCTAATTAAGCAGAACAAACAGGAGTGAAAATGGACAAACATATCTCTTTAAAATTTATATAAGGCATTGTCAACAACAAATAACTTTCAGATGCTCGATTTCCCCCAACGAATGCGTAGTTTTTTGTTGCACGGCAGTTATCGGGGGTCCCAGAAAACTTGATGCGTTTGAGGTTCTGTCGTTTTTTAATTTTCCAGTGGCGCAAAGAAAAACAACACTTTTTAGGCCTAATCGACGAACAAATTGAGTGCTTACTCTGAACGCTGTAACGTCATAACCACGACGCCGAGTACCAGACAGCCGAGCTTAAACATAGCGGGGCTGTGTTCAGTTTACAGACTAGTAATCGTAAAGTTAAAGCAACATTAACGTTTCCGCCAAAGATATTTTCTCTTGAAATGCAGAAAGTGCGATGCGTCCGTCGGCTTGCAGTAAGTGTTTGTGCTACTCGACCAGGCACAATGAACCCGCTCAGTGTGTGCTGCAGTTCCACAAGCAAATGAAGATATCGTCTGTCTGGCATCAGCTAAGTCCCCCTCTTTCTGTTTTCCCAGGCGCAACCAACTTGGCATTTATAGTCAATGGTACCTGCTGCACATCATGTTAAGCATCCGGCAAGTGACCTTGTGTGTGTTGTGCTTGTACGGCAATTGAGTTCAGTCTGGGGCATTGAAGTTCTTCATTCTCTTCTTCGCCAATTTCTGGCTCTATGCCAAGCGGTAAAGGCTTGTTATTGAACAATATTATGTTTGACCTACATACTTCAGTTGAAGGATTTTCCCCAGACCACTTGGTTCTTCGAAGCCGTGGCTTCCATGCCCTCGACAAGTAAGGTGAATCCGAGTTACTGGGAATTGCTTGGCCTACACAGCAAAACCAAACCACAAACGTGGGGTTGTTCACCCAGGAAATCATACGAATAATCGCTGTTTTATCTATCTACCCAAGCATCATGGTTAAATATTACCCTTCCTGTTTGGTGGATCATGTCATTATGCCCACTTCACATTTTCATTTCTATTATGTCTGAACTTGTCAGTGGCGTAACAATGGGGGGCACGCCCCCCGTGACCCCATTTGAAATTTTGAAATGGACAAAAAACATATATATATATACCAGTTCAATTATTTTCAGTGCCCCCTGAAAAAAAATGTGCACCCCTAAGTGCCCCCTCAGCTGTAGCACCCTAGTCACGCCACTGGAACTTGTTGAGGCCGCATAGAAAAGAATGCTACGGAGCTCTGAAAGTGCCATCCTACTTGTTGAGATCCTGACATATTTAATCTCAGGATGATGACATATTACGAGCGATATGACGACACCATGATATGTGTTATCGCAGGACGAAGACATCGTGTAATGGAAATGACAACATCCCGCGATAATTTATCATGGGATGACGATATCCTAAAAGTTGGATGACGACATCCTGAGTTAATTTATCATGGGATGACGACATCGTAAAAGTGATATGATGACATTATTTGTCAATGGGTACCATGACAATCCACCTTGAAAATAGGTGGCCTAAGATGGTATTGTTTTCAAAGCATTGTCCTGTTGCCATACATGATATTACTTAGATGATGTCTCACCTTCTGTTACAAGTTGTTAAGTAAGTAGACATCACACTTGGTGGATGTTTCGGGATAATGACATCCTGAGCTACTGATTATCGTCATTATCTGAGGATGTCATCATCTAACTTTTGTGATATTGTCATCTCATGATAAATTATCTCAGGATGTCAACATCTTGCCTTTATTATGTCGTCATCCCAAGAAAAACATTTTAGAATCTCAACAAGTTGGATGGCACTTTCAGAGCTCCGTAGTAGAACGTAACGTTCTACTATAAAATAACTAAATTGACAAAGCAATACGGACGATTCACGAAAGTGTGCCTTTAAGAGCAGTGGCGAAGCTAGAATTTTACGGGAGCACAAAGGGGGCCGGGTATCCTATGGGGGCACCAGCTTTCAGTGGTTTGTGTGGTTTTTTTTGGGGGGGGGACAAGGTTTAGTTAGTTTTGTTTATTACCCATTCATCCGTTTGTTTTTCACTGGGGCCACCTGGGGGCACCGGGAATTTGTGGGAAGTCCCCCCCCCCCCGTGGCTACGCCACGGTCCAAGAGTTTGCAACGCGTTAGCTAATCACAATGCACGAAATCTGTATCTGTCGATTCAATGTGCGTTTGGAAAGGGTCGACAAATTTCGGGCATTGTGATTGGCCAGCGCGTTGCTTAGAGGCGCACAATTGTGAATCATTATTATTAGCTGTACTGATTAACTTGCCTTTATTTTTCTACCCTAAGAACAGACATCAACACTTTTAACAGTCCTATTAAACTCTCCCAAAGAATAAACATTATATCGGGGGGGGGGTTGTTATATCCAACACTTTTTGAAGGGGGGGGGGCTATTGTGGTGAGCAGAAATTTAAAGTGGATTGTGAAGAGCTCTTCATGACTTCCAACGACGAAAGTAAATTCACTAAAATAGGAAAACAGTTTTAAAAAGCAACAGATATGCCACTCTGAATAGGCCCTATCTTACAGGTGTACATCAATATCACGAACTTCACGCACAGTAAAAGTCATATAGTGCACTCGGGCCCCGCTTTTTAAATTTACGTGGCCGGGCAAGTCACCCCCACCCCGCTTTCCCCCATTGCACCCCACCCCCAGTTTTCTAGCGGCACAAACTTAACGCCAATGCGTTCACCCGTTCGTCGACAACGGAGCTTCCACTGCACACACATGAACCCGGATTAGCCCAAATGTCAAGGTTAAGAGTTAGCCACCTGCTAACCACATCCACCATAAACTTGAAATCCTGCTTAAAGTCACGGGAGTAACTACCAAACAAGATGATTACTTTCCCAAGTCGTCAACAAAAAATTAAATAACAGCCATTGTGCACGCAAAAGCATTTATTTGTCTTTACTGTCATACAAATCTAGGTACACGAACATACTGCTATCGAATGCAACCATATGTTTAGGTTTCACATCGATTTTTATTCTTAGTTGTTTTGAAAACATATATCAGACGTCACAGTTTTAACATTTTTGGACATGCACGCATCACTTGCACGTATCAGCGGAATGCTTACTAAAGTTTCTAAGTTATGGCTCTAAGTTGGAGGATGCGTTAAAAAAAATAAGTGGGTATTTGTAACGAACAGAATATGCTTGAGTTCAGCTGTGGCTAGGGTCAGTAACTTACACCATTGGCAAAGAATGCTGGCTTTCTCTGAAGGAAAGTTCGTCACTATAATAGTGCAGTCTATGATCAAGGCAGGGCGAGAAATGTTGATTGTTGCACATGCGTACACAACCTGTAGCCAGGGAGAAAAAGTTGACAGTAACCGCCCCGGCACCTCTTCATGTAAGAATCTTTGAAAATATTGGGCGATGTCAATTAAGTGACTATTTGTGACGGATACTCAGAGGCCTTCAAATAGGGTAAGCAGTGATTGGTCGCATCTATAAAGTAAAGGGACCATGCAAGACGGGAATTTTGTTTTTGCTAAAATCCCCTTAAACATGCACTGCTTTTAATGAACTGTTTCTTTTTAGTTTTGTTTTGCTATTTTTATCTGTACTTTGGGGACTTTTTGATTTTGTTATGAATGTAGGCCTACATGGACGTGGGCAAAACGTATGTTATCCGAGGCATTCGACCTATGGCATTGACTTGTGCATAAAAAAATCGGATTTTTTTTTAGAATTTGCTTTTGAAGATTTCCTTTTCATTTCGCAATTTATTGTTGAGTAAGCAAATGGAACTAGGACAGGCAGCAATTTTTTTTCAAAAAGGGTTCAAAATGTGAACATGTGAACAATATGCAACATGAATACATTTCCTGAATCTCACACAAGCAGCACTTCCACTGACTGGAAAAGTGTGATAAATTCTGAATTGTATTTTAAAAGTGAGATCTACAGGTCATTGTTTTCATAAGTCGAAGAATGTTTTAAATAAAAACATGCACAAACTTGACTCTGATGTTCATTGCATTGACCTGTTCAAACTACAGGTCCATATTACCTCACTTAACTGCAGCTGGACAAGAAATTTCTGTTTATGGTAAAATGCTTGTAGCTGCACGCTAGCAGATTCAGTACCATGGGCGAAAATCCCAGGGGATGCGGGTAGGCCTATATCCCCTCCACTTTTTTGGCGGGGGTGGGCAATTGAGTCGTCTCTCCATGTTCAGAAAAAAATTAAAGCTGACTTTAATTTTATTGTTTTTTTTTATTTCCCAAGGACTAAAATGCTTGCAATATCACTAAAAAGTGAAAATAATTTTAAGAGCCATTCTGATGTGAGATTCTGCATGAATTTGATACACATTACAGATGCACATCACTACCAAGAACATCCCCACCATAATAGTGTATATGGTGCAGCCCCCCTTTATAACAATAAGAAGAAAACGAAGCCACAAAAGTATTTAAGTCCCGCAAAATTGATAGCACCGAACGAAATGACCAATCTTTCTTGGATCTCAGGAAAATGTTGGACACAAATTCACCTTTCTTTTGGGATGTTTCAACAATAGCCCCCTTTTGAAAAAATTCTGCAACCTTATTAGTTATTATGGTAGATTCGTGCCCCGAAAAGAATATTGCTCTTGGCAAATGCGTTTGCGATGGGAGTGTGGCAAAGTTGATGTAGTGATGTTGGACAGTGTCCAGAACCCTCTAGTCCGACGTAATTTCGCGCAAAGTGTTTCCGAGTCTACCTGCCACAGGCATTTCAGTCTCCTACTGACTTTAGAGCGATAAAATCTCATAGGTGCTCACTCACCCTGAGGTTGCTTGGGTTTACTTGGTCACTCTGACCGTCGCCCATCCGCCGGTTTCTTTCTCTGCCGCATCCATGGGTGCCAGGAGTTTAAGATAACCCCGTCGCGTATGACCTGATTGGCGGGGTGATATTTCCTCCCGTCTGTCGTGCTGTTTTGAGTGACTTTGTTTCAGATTGAAAGAACATGCCCGCTTGCCAAATTTTTGGTCCAGTTTATTGGTCTCTTGAATATCTTTGCGTTGTTGAAAGAGGTTATCACCGAACAGGACACGGTTATGGGCGTCTGTGCCGAACAAAGACTGGCAAACAGTCAGGTTAGGTTTAATGAATTCCCCGGCGACGGAGGTTTAGCTCGCACTCTGTCATGCTTGTCCTGGATATCAGGGGCACACCGATTATTTACACATTACGTAATTCACAGTTAATTATGCACCAACACCTTCCGAGTGTCCAAATCCATTCCTCCTGCTGTCGAAATGCAGCAACGTTTTCAGAAGTTCGCACTGTGCGCCTCCTTCCCGAATAACCCTTATTCAAATTAAGGCTTGTCCCATGTTCTCGGTATTTGCGCACATTTTCTCAGGTCGACTTCGCCGGTTGATCCCCATCAGGGAAAGCTTCCGAGTCCCTAAATGCAGCTTGGGTGGCTTGAAAGCTCTTGTTCATTCACTGGTCTATCCAAAGTGTTACAACTGATTTCGGATACCCCATTTTCAAGACATGAATGGTGTTCAGTCATGCATGACAGGAGGGATGCCATCAAGGTATGATTAGAAAGAACACTGCTTCTACGTTTCAGAGATCCTTATACATTATAATCATATCTCATAGTTTGGGCTTATTATCTACTTTCCTCAAGGTTTGGTTTTTCTGGGACACCCTGTATGGCAATGCTTGTTATTACGTGTATAATAAGATCTCTCAAGCACATGACGACAGGATACCAGTGACAGGTGCAATCTCAAGTCAGTCCAAGGTGCTGTGTAGTGGTAGGTAGAATGACCGACCAACATACACATACAAACCCGGATTTGCCTCATGTCAAGGTTGACAGTTTCCACTTAGGGGGAAACATAACCAATAAGCACAACCACAAACTAAAAATTCTACCGAGTTCACTTATCCAATAACACGGGAAACATATTTCCGGGTTGTTGATAAAGGAGACAGAAACTCAAACAGTTAAAAAACAGCAAAGCCATCGTTATGCTTGCAAAAAGTGTTTATTTGTCAATCTGAGTATAGCTTCAATGCACTTTTGACTCTCACATAAATTCTGGATACATGAACATAAACAATGCACTTACAACTTTGTGAAAGTTCGACCAAACATATTTTAAGGTTTCAAACTGAATTTTAATTTTGAGTTGTTTGAAAAAGAAATCAAATTCTGTGTACTTCCCATAACTGTGTATTCTGTCATGGGAGGGGGGGGGCGGACAAGAACATTCCTTCGGAGCTCTGAGCACAGAATTCCTCCCATTTCCACATACCTTTCAGGCTTAAAGAAATGTCTCGCACATTTTACGCATGCTTGTACGTCAAAGAATAAATCTTGTCAGAGCTGGTCAGTGATTCGAACCATTATAACTGCAAAATAGTTCATTTGGGGATCATAACAAAACTTAGGCGTAAAGCATCAACACATTTTTTAAATAGGAGCTCGTATTTCTAATTCTGAGTAACAAAAAACATGCTAAAATAAGAGATGACTACGATTACAACTGTTCTCTAAGCTTTACATTTTAGAGCTAATTACTTGAAATTTCAGAATTATCTGTATATTGATATTTCAAAGACAGAGTAATACAATCTGAGTAAATAAGATTTTTGTTTTGGCAAAATAGCTGAAGGTATATCTCTAGTGCTCTTTCCAAGGCTGAATTCACTACCTAGCAACTGGTGTAATTTCTTGTATATGCAGAGATGGCAGGTGAAAACCTTCATATGACAAACTGTGCCACAACTTTCATCACCAGTACAGAGAATTGTCTTCATTGTTGCAATTTCACAGATGTGAAGTCACTTAATTAACCATTTTCAATCAGTAGATATCGTCAAAAGTTTGTGGAGCAAGTCTGACATTTTGGGGATTCATAATTTTCTTTGCGTGCATCAGTTACAGGCTCCTGATATCTACATTTGTTTTTAATACCTCTGATTTATGTGCCACAAGTTAACAAAATGTACCATGGACACAGCTAATAAACCCAAAACACCAAACAAACAAATTTATTTGGTAAAAACTTTGTAAAGTAGCCCACTTAATTTGGTTTTTTAATCAGAATGCTGTATACTTCATTATACAGTGTCAAGCAAAGAGTGAGTTAAGTTCACGGTGCCACTAGTTGGAAGTCTTTCGTGCAGTATAGTATAAAAAATGAAATTAAGACCCATGCATTTTAGGAAGCTTATATGAGGAAATGTTGCCTTCCTGTACAGGCAAAATCAAATATTGTTGAACATGAGTTTGATGTTTTTAACCCCTGAAGTCATGGCCCGCAGCGAGAGAGATGCTAGCAGACAGCCGCGGTGGGTCATTAAATCGTTGTTTCGCCGACATCCAGGGAGACTTGCTCGTTGTCAGTAGGGCTTACCTTTGATCCTAAAGGCTAGATGATACAGACAAAGACAATACCGCGTACCGGTACGTATGAAATTTGTAAAACTTCTCTAAAAGAATCGTGCTTGAACTCTACGGACTGGGCTATCCAGCCTGAGCCGTCTCTTCCGCTGCCAAAGTGAACAACTTAACTGTAATTTGATTGTGACTCATTTCACGGACTACATATATTACGACTCGTTCAACACTTTTTGTGTATCCAACTTTTGGAATGGGAATTTTTTATTCCTGAGGATATATAAGGCACAGTACTGGGATCAGGTTGGGGCAGTAGCGCTGCCCCAACCTGATCACTGTGTTCAACCAGGATACTCATCCGCTAATTGCAAAAACATGCCAAAAACATCACGACAGTTCTGTGTGATCATTATTCGGCAGTTTGGCAATTGGCTGTCGAATAATGATCACACAGTACTACAGTGTTGTTTCTGAAGTTAGCGTTATTGGTGTCGAATTCTGCAATAATCCTCTCGCGGCAAAGTACGCAGGAAAAAATGATATGCCCACTATACATTTGTGGATACACCTCACGCGTGAGTTTCAAGTTCCACGCACTCAGGAAAGTGGTCTGTGTTGCACGGGCTTATTCCAACATGCAAATTACCTATGTCTCGATAGTTGAAAGGAGCATCACCCCCCCCCCATACGGAGTACAACATGTGAAACAGCCGGTGGAATTGTGAACAAATCTGCCAAATGCGTTAAATTCAAGAAACTCCTTCTTTATCTCTGGACACATCGATACATGCACATTTAATAACATAAACATACTAGTAATTTTTTACAAAACCTAACAGGCCCACGTGGTCGTGATCACGGTCTGTGCTTGCACACCACCGAACAAAACGTGGCAGGGTACACTGTCTACAGCCACTATGAATGCAGAGGCTCCAAATTCTGGAGCCAAACCAACGGGTGGATAATTTCTTGAAATTCCTTCCACTTACATTACTAGTTTTCAATTTTCTTCACTCCAAGGGTGTCTTCAGGATTGTGAACTATAGTGCCATGAGTGCTTTACAGGAACCCTACGGTTTTTTGGAAGTCTTACAACAAAAAATATCCTGGACTGAAATGATACATGTGTTGTCTGCGCTCTTTTTAGTCTAATCACTCCAAACATGGCACTTACCTCCATCTCACAGCAAGATGCCTTATCCGTGCCAGACTGTTGAAGCCTCTTTTGTGACATCTTCATACCTTCTGGCTTACCAGCGTTGGTGTCCTGCCTGCGCATGGTTGGCTCTGTCCACATCTCAGCATAGGTAGGTCTTACGGGAGGACTGACATGGCTCAAAGCATGACCTGCAGGTTTCACTGCAGGCCCTCTTGGGCTAACCCCAGGATGAGGTGGAGTCACTCCAGGACAGGTACGACTGCCTGCAGATCCGGTGGGGCTAACTGTGGGACACACAGGGCTCACAGAAGGACAGGGCAGGGCACAGGTACCAAGAGCAGAACCCTCATCAATAGAAGGAGCTTCTCCTGGAGCATCAGCGACAGCATTGGAAAGGCTCAGGTTAGACCAAGACCTCTTCTTCTTGAAGCCCAAGGAGTCACTCGAGCCTTTAGAACGAGTTGGGAGCACAGGCAATCTTGCGGGCGGAGGGCTGTCTGGATGGCTGGAACCAGTCTGGCTGTCCTCTTCCTCGGCAGCATCTGAGTAATCTCCACTGCTGTCTTCATAAGCGGGATTCTTATAGGCGTGAGAAGTATTGTAGGTAACATTGGACACCAGATGATTATCGTCAGATTCACCGGCTAGCTGGCTTTGTGACCTGCTGTTATAGCAACACGTGGAGCAAAAAGGTATAAGCAATTTCACCTAAACTGTTCTTTTTCCTTGCCACTCGGATGAATGCACACCAATGCCTTATTCAAATGTGAAAAATCAGTAAAGTATAATTACTCAGTCATACCTCTTGTGGCGATTGTTCACCTGAGCATTTATAATAAAAAAGAGGAACTATCCGGAATATATAGTTACTGTGCTAAGGATTTGACCATGGAAAATTCATTGCGGTTGATTCACAACAGTGCGCATCCAAGAGTGCAACGTATTGGCCAATCACAGTTCGGAAAATCTGTCGACCCAATGTGCACTATTGTGAATCAACCGTATTGAAAAATGGAAAATAGGTTGTATGAGTTGACTGGTTTGATTTTGTTCTCACAGCTCAAACATCATGTACCCCAAAGTAAGCGATGCCCTTGCCTCATCTTACGTCACAGAGAATTGACAAAGGACTGTAGATTCGTGGACAGAATGGGACAGACGGAGACGAAGCCAAGCCCATTCTTTGCACGAATCCACAGTTCCAAGTTATATTCTCTGACTTAAACTATTTCCCATTGTTGCACGAAACGCTGAGAGTAAGTTGACACAGTCAGTGCTGGATACATACTCTCTTCCCTTCATCTTGCGCTTGGAGTTATTATTATTACACCTGTGTAAATGCAGCCAAACCTATATCGAGCTAAAACCAACACAGGGCTCTGTGAAATTGAGGAATGCTATAAAAAATTTACTTCATGAGAGTATTTGTGCAGTAAACACTCAGTGCTGGATATTTACATGTATTTGCTTCTCTTCCTCTTGCACCTTCGATTCATTATTATGTGTGCCACAGCAGCGAGACCTTCTGGACTAAAGCCATGACATGACTCTATGAAATTGAGGAATGTTATATCAACTTCATGAAAGTATGGTTAGTAGTTTTCTCACCACTTTACAAACCACTCAAAATGGGGTTCACTGATCCCTGGATGTTCTTATGTATGAATCATTCCAAAAAGCCCACTTAATACATATTGCTACTTCTTTTGGAGAATGAGCAACATTTGATTGAAATTATAATACAAATTTTGGAGTTCAATGATACAAATAAAGATTTTTTATAAAGCGCACATATCCAACTAAAGTTTCTTATAGCACTACAAAAATTAACAACACAAGAAAATTTGCAGGCTAACTCTTTAAACAAGTTTATACAAGAATGTTTCATACGAAATGAGATAAATGTGCTGGACCGCAAACGTAGGGAACGGTTACCCAAGCTTGCGTCAATTCAGTTAAAGCAGGATGATATAGGGTTTAGTTTGCATTATTCATGCATCAATCAATGAATTAAGATCTAACGAATGATATTTTGTGTGATGCAATGATTACTTTCTTGTACAAGTAGGAGAAACCCAGGTTTACAAAGTTGCGACAGGCTACTCCGCCAGTGGAATTCTACCCTAATTAACATAAATCTTCGCGGGGGTTATGACGCAGATCGAGGCACATGTTTGCCTAGTTGCCTGGTCCGACGTAGCAGAAGCCATATGTTTGTGTGCCAAAGCTGTGCGAAGGCACTCCACGTTTTGGGGACTAAACTACAGTTTCTGAGCCATGCCGACGAGCTAGGTGTGTTGTTGCTTCATGCAGCAAAACAACCAAGGATGGGATGTCTCTACACTTGTTGCCAACCGATCCCAACTTACGGAGAATTTTGACAACTAAAATCAAGACCACCAGGGCGAAAAGGGACGGCCACAGTCGGCCCTGTGCAGTGACCACTTCGAGCCGACGTGCTTCAAAAGCGGTTTGCATGGCTCCATGGGCATGAACACTTAGAAAATGCTCAAGAAAGATTCTGTTCCGACNTTCGGCCATTTTGCAAAACAGATGCGGTCGGCGTGTGTACGCATATGTACATGGACGTGTATACGACGTGTGCGCGCAGAGATATACGCAGTGCTGGGGCCCTGTCGGTTCGTCTGGTGCCAAGACGCCATTTTGGGGGGGGGGAATTAAACAAACAAGCAATGGACACAAATTGTTTTCACTTTTATTTCACACTTTAAATACATAAATCGGTGTATTTATACATTGAAATGGGATATTAGAAATTTAGTCGGCATGCTGCCTTTAAACTAAAATCCAACATATAAGAAAGACTGGGCAAAACGCAAACACAGAAAAGAGGCCAAAACACATCATTCCTTATTGAAACGAGAAGATAAAATTCAAATCTTTCTTGAAAATCTTGCTTTATAAAGGATTAATCCCGAAAAAAAGATAACTATACGTCATTTTCTATGGAGAAAGGCAAAGATACACATTAAGGCCGGAGTGTGGGCGTTCCTGGTATCCGTTAAATTCACCTACTGTGCCTGTTAAAAGGCCCAGTACAATCAGTGTCACGGCGTCAAACAATATAGTTATACTCTACCCCAACCTTCCGGCTGCAACTGCTTTGACCTAACCGGGGGGCAGGGTAATCTCCCCGTTGCTACAAATCTTCGACAACAGTAGATTCGTAAAATATACTGAATGTAAAGAAAATTAACTGCAGCTAATTCGAAAGATCTCAGATTAACTCAATTTGTAGAAGTACAAGAGTAAAGCCTGGTTTCCATGGTCGTATAGAGAGAAGAGGTATTACCGAGTATTTGCTTAACCCTAACACTCCTCAGTCCTCCAACAGGTGAAGGATTGAGGAGGGTTAGGGTTAATGCTTCCCATCCTGAAAAATTCAAGTCTGCACTCAATATTCCACTGGTACCCTCTCCAGGTTTGTGCTCATAAAGATTCCCAAATACGTTTAGCTGTTGTTTCATTTTGGTCAGAAACTTAAGCAAGGTAGAACGCTTTACTCTGTGTTCTTTCAACCCCTTTATTTGTTACACTTTTTGCCAACAACTAAAAGCAAAACAAAACTGAAAGCCTCAGGTTCTGAGAACAATTCAAGCCACACTCAACTGTTGTTTGCTTTAAAGTTACGAACAAGGGTTGGAACTTACTTTTTGACACGTCCCGTCTTGCAGAAGCAGAAAAGCACAGCAGCAATCGTGAGCAGTCCAGCAAGGCAGCTGATAACGCCAATTATAACTTTAAGTCTGAAAAGGGACACACATTATGAACCCTTTTTTAAATTCACGACTCGAAACATAGCTGCAACGAGTCTGCAATGCAGAAACAACTTTGTTTCTAGACTAAATTTGGAGGATGTAGAAGTTGTGAATAAAACGGTAACGATTGTTTTCTCAATTCAAGTAAAGGTTGCGTAAATGTGTGTTTTGTACGAAGTATGATCTCAATATCTATCATAACTATGGCCTCTAACTTGCAGGGACATAAAGGAACTAACTAAATACATGTATATGGTAGGCTACCACTTATTTCCACATGCCGTATGATTTGTCAGTTCAGCGACCAATTCTTCAGAATGGATATTGCAAAAAAATTCTAGTGTAGCAGCAAAACGTATATATGATGGAATTCATGACAATTTTAGCAAAAAATAATGATCTAAATGTCCCAATTAACTTATATAAAGAGAATTGCAGGTTTCTAAGGATTTTACGACGATCATCAAAATATTTTTATCCTGCAACTTTGTGGAATTTTGATAATGTTTTGGTCAATTCGTCGATTTCTCTTCCCCCTTTCCAACTCCTACTTTATTTTAAACCCCCCTTTCCCTCCACCCTGCCAGCCGGAAATCGGACCAATGAATGAACGGCATAAATGAATGAATTGACATAAGTGATTTTCGTGGGATTCTTTCCGATGGCACTGACCTCCAGTCCAGGTCATCACACAGTGGATCGGACAACGGGCAGGCACACTGAAATCCGTCGAGGCGATCGAAACAGACATATGGATATTCGCAGGGTGTGGACTGACATTCGTCGTAATCAATCTCACAGATGTCACCGACCCAGCCAGACTGACAGAGGCAGGAGTAGGAATCGAACCCACTGCTACGTGCTGGGGAGGTACAATCAGGGTCAGCCACAGGTCCTATGTACAAAAAATTATAAAAGAGAAAATGAAGTAAGGAGTGGTCTGCGACGTCCGCATCCCAGAGTGCCGTACACGTGTTCGTAGGTATTGGGGCCTACGTGATTGATCTCTGTCAACGCAATTGCCAAATTTTGAAGTTCGAATTTATCCTTGATAACCCAATCATTGGCACAAAATTTCTTGGTTCTTCAATATTTTGATAACAGGTTGCACTCGATGGTTTCAACCTACTCAAAAATTGCTGTTCCTCCTCGATGTTTCATAGATTAACTGTTGTTAGAGACTTGGATAATTTTTAACTTTCCCACCTTCCTAAACGTGCACATTTGGTGAGATTGGGAAAATCCCTACCCTTTCTAAAAAGAGAACAAAATAAGCTCAGCAAATACAGCAACGGGAAAAAGGGAAATAAAAAAAATTGTTAGAAGAAATTAAGCATTTCACCTCTACAGATTCCACCGTTGATGCAAGGGTTGACCAGTACAGCAATCTGTACCTCCAGAAGCTGAGACACGGCCCCTGACTGGTCCTCAACCAAGACCAGGAAGCTATCCCTACCGTGGTAGTTAGGGTAGGGAGCGTAGGTGAATCTGGACGTAATCCAGGTCATGTTTCTCTGCAAGCATAAAGTTGGGAAGTAATTGCTCCTAAAAGACAATCATTTGGTTTGGAGACTTTCGTTGGTTGGGAGAAAACACGACTTGATTTGTCATTGGGTGATTTAGTTACAAGTTAAGGGCCAAAATGCAGATGTATATACAAAACAGTTTGAAACTCACAAGCTTTAATAATTTACATGGATAATACCTGCTTATAGGGTCAGGACTTGGAAGGATTACCTTGATACAGCCGATGCAATCAGATGTTGATACAAGATACACTGTCTATTCAAGAAACTTATTCATCAATGATACTTTACCTCATCATGCGGCAACTGTAGTCCACACGGGATGACTGGTTGTTTGGTGTCTCCCAATGAGGGCTCACTACAGTTCTGCCTGGAGGGCACTGACCTCGACTGCTGTGTCAGTGTCAGGTTGCCGTAGGTCACAGGCTGGGTTAGGATGGTCAGGTTGTCGTTGGTGTCAACATCGTACGCTCCTAACTCAGCAACCAGATCCACGTAGGCAACGTTTGATCCTGTGTTCTGCTCAACGATTAACTGTCCAAAAATGAAACAACTTGAACACTCAGGACTAAATAGTAGAAAAATTGTTCTCTGATGGCAGAGGCAATTTCAAAAGATTTTCCAAGATTGCAGAAGGAAAGAGGTGAAGCTTTTTTAACTGAATATTTTGTTACCGATAATTAACCAGTTGAAAATTGAAAGTTGAAATATGTTGAAAATTTGACCAAAGTCTGCAAAAAGGAGAAAGCCAGGGAAAAAGAATCATGTGGGACGAAATTCAAAATCCTTTTCTTTCCTTCAACCTAATTTATGTGTCTGCATGAGCTGCCAGGGCAATAGGACTGCGCCTGTTGTCAGCATGCATGGGACAATGCGATCTGAGAAGACTTGAGCCTAAATAAAGCTCCACAAAGACTCGATTGCTGCCTCAAGACACACAGTGCGCCATGGTTTATCTGCAGTGATATCACAGAATCATGGCGTATACTAAGGCTTAAACTGTTACATAAATTACTAAATGTTCGATGGTATAGCAAAGGAAATCCTATAGACCTTTTCTTTGACCGAAAAAGGGAGATGTTTTCATAGGACTATTTAAAAAAGGGCCCTTTTCAGGCACAGAGATGTCTGGTGATTACAAGGGGCACAATTACAAAAATATCTTTGATGTATATATTTTTCTGTTATAAAGAATCCGTAATGTCCTGTTATTTACCAAGGCAATGCGTCCGTTGCCAATAATTTGCCTGTTCCGCGCGCTGTACAATACAGGGTTATCGTTGACCGGATGGATTTCAATGGTGATGTTGACACTGGTAGACAGGGGTTTGATTTCACTGAAGGTCTGTATCTCTCTCACTGTGGAAAAGATAAAAATTGGAAGAAACCTCCACAAATAGAAATGCCTAAATTATACTACTGAATGACGTACGGTCTCTCGCAATCATTTCTAAATAAATTTCTGGTTTGTTTTAACCTAACAGTGGTTAATATCCACTCATTTTCTGGGGAGAATGAAACAGAAAACAATTCTCATCCCAAGATTGGGTTAACACAGGCCACATTTGGGTGGTTGCAGTTTTCACCCTTCCTTGAGTTAAATTTTAACTCAGGCAATTTTTCAGTGTGGATTCAATCCCAGTCGGAGATCAAGTGACGTCCACACTAATAGATGGGTTCAAATACCATCCAAACAGCCTGTCTTGTTTCCGCAACTCTACAAAGTTAAAAAAAAAACTTTCATTTGGCATTTAGGTTCTACAGTCTCGTCCTTTTAGAACATTTTGTCCTGGATGCATTACTGATATCTGATAATTTGTTCTTGACGGAACAGCTTATTGAGAAATAAAACAGCCCATCAAATTGTGTGACCAGCGTGGAAAATGTACAACCTTTGGGTAGGCTTTGGCACACTTTTTCGATAGAAAATGGAGTCACTAACCAATGATTTGTACGGTGACAGTACCGAAGCAATCAGCGCAAGGCGTAAAACTGAATTCTCCATCCTCAGTGATTGTTGCGGTGCCTTGCAAGTCCTCATTGCTACCAAGCTCAAAGAATAACATGTCATCTTCAGCATCACTGGCCTGAAGTGTGTACTCCAAAGTACCTGGATAAGATGGCAAACGAAGGATTGTAACATGGGAAAATTTGTGTTGGCAATTTTCAATTAATTAAGGCTAGACTAGCTTCGAAACAAAGCAGTCACTAAGCAGGCATGCACATAGGTGAACAAATCAAATGAGTATTACGTAAGGCCTCTGCAATTCCGAAAGAAATCAAAACGGAGGAGCAAAACAGAAAAAAAAACGAATAGATGGAATCTTTATGCAAATGCACAACACTCCCAGAGAATTTTGCTATGACAGATTCTTGTTTAGTGGAACTTGACAAACACGAGTGCAGGCTACTTAAGACGCAGTCTGGCCTGCACAGTAAGTTAACTTATTTACCTTCGTCCTCTTCCATGAACATGATCTCAGTAGGGTTTGTGATTATAGGAGGGTCGTTAGGGACGGCATCAAGAACCAAAGCCAAGGCAAAATGGGTCTCATGGCTGAAGTAGCTGGGACTTGTCAGCATAGGTTCCTCTTGCACGGCCCGCCGCTTGCGACCAGCTGCTGAGGGCGTAGAGGCTGGAGCCCGGGTAGAGCAAACCTAAGAAGCAACATCAAAGAAACTTTCCTTGTGATGGGCACAAACACACTAAAACAAATGTCAACAAAATTAGGTTGCGGGTTGCATCATTTAGTTTTCGAAAGAACCACGAGAGTGTTCAAAACTTTGAACTGTATGTGCTCTTTCCTTGCTATGAAACAGGACGACAGATCCTGAGTTGGGAGTCAATCCTTCGAGCATCAAAAGACTGCAAGACCAAATTGGCCCTACTTGACTTTTTGCCTTTTTGCCATCACTTTCTGCCAAGCATTTCTCTTGAGAATAATAAAATATACACTAAAATTACAAACGTCAATAGCATGATGACTAACCTCCACGATAACCTGGTTCCCGTCTTCAAGGTAAGTAATGCGATCCACATCACTACAGGTCTTCGCTGCATCACGCCATTTAAAGCGATCTTCAGAGATATGAAAGAGACACATACACTTCAGGGCCACGCATGGGTTGGGAATGGGAAATGTATACGGACCCCCTTATTTTGGGAGGCAAGAGGACAGCAGGCAAGTTCCCCTGATTTACTGCCTTTGGAAATTGAACAATGTACATACTTTGATTTCCTTTTTGTGAACTGTGTGGAGTTCTGGCTGGTTTCAGGTCTGCTCCCGAAAATAAACGGCAAAAGTCCACAAAAAAATCAAAACGGACTTAGAGCATCCTCCAAAACTTGAACGGCAATTGGATATGGGGGAGGAGCCGCTGAAGTGTTAACTTGGTTCACCACGGATACCCTCGTCAGTTGAGCAATGGCACTGATCTCTTAATTAAGAGATCAAGGTACGAGATCAGTGCCATGATATGGTTTCAGCCCAGAAAAGAGTTCATACTATGGGACACATTGTGATGAACAATATCAGCACTCACACTGTGGGGCTTTTCAAAGTTGGGCAAGGGCTTAGGCGACTTTAGCAGACTGAAGCCTGCTTCCAAGTGTGAAAGTTACTCCCGCTGACTATACAAACACTCATGCGGAGCAAAGTTTTTTTATAAGTATCACTCATATTGTTCTTCTTTTATGTAAGAATTGGAATAGACAAACGTTGTATCCACCCAATATATATTGGTATATAGTTCAATCATCTTCACCTGTGTCCCAGTAGATAAGTCTTGGCTTTGCCTCTGTCCAGTTTCCCGGTGTGCCAAGAGTGATAGTAATCGTCATTGGTCCTCGGAGCTCAGTCTGCCCAAGACTGGCAACGTAGAATGTTGGTTCATACACAAAACGTATCCTAAGGGAAATTAATTTCGAATCTCTGAAATCTTATGTGTGACTAAAATGATCATAGTTTCTGACTGATTAATGTCTTCTTCTGTTGTCTGTCTCCATAGAATCACTAAGTAAACTCAGCAAGTCTACTGACTGAAAAAAAGTTAAAGGTCCCTTTTTGCAAAAAATCATTTCCATTCCTTTGAAAGGTAGAAAACGTTTACAAAGGCAAACGCTGTGTATATCAATATAATGTAGTGCCTTGAGCAACAATATATGCTGATGTGTGCTCTCAGCAAATGTGCATTATTTATCATTATTTATACACACATCCATGCACACTGTTAAGTTAGAGTGCAATCAGTCCTACCTTTGCTTGAGCAGTCTTGACGTGTACTCCATGGTGGACAGGGGATTGGTGATGTAAGGTTTATAATCAGGGGAAGCATCTGATGTAAACTCCTGGATGGTTCGGTTCGCATCCAGCAGGCCAAGGATGAGTGAACCACCCTGGTGCAAACCTGAAAGACAAAGTGAGACGCTGGGTTTGAGATATCAATCAGTAGCTGACCAGGAGGGGTCAAGGGATTGCCGCTTGACCACCAGAAAAAGGGGATAATGAAAAGATAAAATGCTAACCTTCTCCTCTCTGGGCATTTAAAACCTCGTGATGCAAACCCAAAGTTCACCCCGTTAATTTGGCGCACTGAAGAATGATATTCAGGACCCCATAAAAGATAAGACCAAGATAGGACTATAGGAGGAATTAAAAAATAGATATATCAATCTGTAGCAAAAAAGACAATCTAAAAACGGACTTTTGTAAATCACCCCTCTGTTTCCATATTCCCCAGTTTGTATTTTCTTTTCAAGTTTATGATTGGTTAATGTGTGAACGCTCAATACTATTATCATCCAGTGCATGGCAATGCAGGGTGGGGCGGATATTTTCCCTTGGAGACTATATGGGGAAAATAACATCATTATAAAAAGAACACCACAGGGTTAGGGAATGTCAATATTTTACCAAATTAAAAACTGGACAGCCATTTTTGAAACCAACGAATTTTGCCCCTTCTAATCTAAACCTTGATACAACACAGTTCCCATCCAAGTTTCTCCTCTTAATATAATAGAATAGAGTATAGAATAGAAAATAGAATACAAAATAGAATAGAATATAGAATAGAATATAGAATAAAGAATCAAATAGAATAGAATAAAACAGGATTAGAATATAAAATAGAATACAGAATAGAATACAAAATGGAATATAGAATAAAATATGGAATACAATGCAATGCAATGCAATATAATATAATATAATATAATGCCTACCTTCTGACGTAGCCAAGGTAACTTCAAAGTGATTACCCGTCGACCGCTTCCTTCTCCTCTGACTTGTCGATGACGTCAGGACAAGGTCGGAACCATCAGTTGACGTCACCATCGTATCGCTGTCTCCTATTTGATAGACAGGAAACGCTTGCTGATTTCACAAAACTGTTAGAGAAACTCTTGAAAACTCAACACGACAGGAAAAAAATAGTTGCTTTTCATCGTGATTTTCATACTTACCCAATACTGTGGTAGTTCCCGCGGAAAGGGTCACACACAGCATAGCTTGGTTACACATCCTCATCCAGGAATGTAGACACCTGAAAATCAAACATTATAGGAGCCTATCCATTAGCTTTTACCAGTGTTTAGAGTCACGTACAAGCTTAATGTCCTGAGTCACCTATTCGTAGTCGTATCACGTCACCGTCCTTTTACCCTAGACGTGAACAGTTTCTTTGAGCTTCTTACAGGAAATATTTAGCCTAAATTCAGAAACCTGTGTTGCATGATGATTCTTTGTGCATCTAGACAGCAGTCACATGGGATTCAAGCACGCTAAAGCACTCACAAATAGTGTGTACAATAATCTGTAAGTGAAATGTAGAATAACCAGAGTTCATAAAAAGGCTGTGATAACAGCAGGTTTTATTAGATGAGCTTTGCCGAGTCCAACTTTGATTCTTTGCGCCTAATGTAACTGTTTCATGTATCTGTGCGGATTGGGTTCGGCGTTAACCACTCACTTTCCAGGCTCCATGTTGAACTTTCCAGTGTGTTTAATCATCTCTGCCTGAGTGGCATCCGTGGGTGCCCTGAAGTCGGTGATGTTAAACCGCTCCTCCTTGTCACCGGCTCTGACAACGATCGTTCCATTCTCGATGACCACAGAGCCTGAGGCATTCGCGCCAACCACCATGCAGGGAACAACGTCATCCAGGAGCTCCGCTGAACTGCTCACACAGTACTCTGAATGCAGACATTGAAGAAGACAGTGAGACATGGCGACACTAACTTCTTGTAGAACAGGGAAGATGGACACGTGAGAAGAAGCAGGAATTGTGAGGCCAATGTAGTGGATATATGGGTGGTCAGAGTGTAGTAGAGTCTATTACCTCCACCAGGGGTCTTACTTATCAAAGCAGAAGGAAAAGTGACGCGGAAGGCGGACACAAAAGTAAATCGGTAAGTAAATTCAATGAGAATTCAAAACCTCCTGTTCAGTATAAATAATTTTACAAAATGGCTCTTGGCGCGAAGGTTTTTTTTTAGCCCATCCCCCGAAAAAAAATCATGTAATTTCTCACCCCATTCCCCAAAAATGCGACTTGTAAACAATTAAAAAAAAAATTGGATTGGCAAGTGTGCATTTTATTAAATAAAATAAGTAGGAGCCCATGCATGATCATTTTCAGGGGCATTACGAACAATACCCATCAGATTCATTTTCATTTTGTCTGAAAGTGAAAGAAGTGATACGACGTCACGAGTGAAGAGTAAACCTCTGGAAAAATGGCTTCAGAACCGCCCCTGAGCGTGGTTCACACTGAAAACCAGTTCAAACCTTACCCAGAAAGCGAAACAAACAAACTGCAAGCAAAGAGATGTCATCGACATCATTAATTGAAATGACTTCTTACCTTTACATTTGTATCTGAGAAACTTTTGAGTCCCTTAATGGACACATTATTCGCGTGATTATTCAGCAAAAGGGCACTAAAACAGGGACTCTGATTCCCAAGCAATGCTAAAGACGCGTGTAGCCTGTAAAAGTGAGATCTGTGATATGCCTGACAAAATGCATTGACAGGAGTGGGCAGACGATAAGAAAAGGTCTTGCTAGAGGAAGTGCAAAACTGATTCGCTGGAAGCCGAGGAACAGAGGATGCACAGATGGTTACCTGTGAGATAGGGGCATCACTTTTTGGGTGCATTAACGATTAAGTGGATAAATGAGGTACTGTGGAGTAGACGAGGGGCACCTTACACCCTTGGGAGCCTGGATACATAGACAAGGGGGACACCTGGCCCTGGAACTCTTGACCCCCTCTTACGACCCCACTGAAAAGATCCTGGCTTTGTCACTGACAAGGACGAGTATTGACAAATAGAAGTACTGCCGAAGTGTTTAGGGTGATCAGTTGATCTGTCTGTCTGTCTGTCTGTCTGTCTGTCTGTCTGTCTGTCTGTCTGTCTGTCTGTCTGTCTGAACCAAAAGTGAAACACACGTAGTTAGAAATTTAACTAGCTGACAAAATATGGCTACCGATGATGAACATATCTATGAGTTAACTAATCTCGATTTCTCTGCACACAAAGTTAAATTACTAAGACAGGTCCCTCACCATAACGAACGATGGATTCATCCTTTGGTTTGGACCAGGATGTCCCCGTCTTTGTTGGGTCGTCACTTTTCTCTACATCAGGTGGGTAAACCTCCTCCTCAAACTGCTGGCTGAACATTGAGGTGGTGTTGACATCATCCGCAGTGGGTTCTTCCAGTAGGACAGTAACACCTGAGCAGTGCAAAGACGATACTTGTGAAACCCCAATGCTGTCCACAAATCCCATTGTATTAATGTCATGCTGTCTCCCCACTTGTCAGACTGTTTTAACTGCATTTGAAAACTTACACTATCATTTCTAAGTCTACTCTGGTGACAGCTTGCACAGTCACACCTTCTTTGGTAAAGTGAAGCATTCATCCCAGATCAGTATCATGTGTCTGTTAGGTTGAGTTTAATCACCCTATGTCTTTGCCCTGCCTACCATCACATTTTACAATCGTTTCCAAGCCAGCTCCATTGACAGCCTTAAGGGTTACAAAGTACGTGGTGTTGTGGTGCAGTGATCCCATTAGATCTCTATTGGTAGCTGTCTGGTTCAACCCAACGTTGACAAAGTCTTGCAGGTCTGTGGCCCCTCTGGAGGTTCCTACGGCCCAGTATTGCTCCTGAAAGAGTTTATATGAAAATCCAACAGCATTGTAGCAAATTATACAATTGCAAGTAATATACTGAATATCTATTTGCCATCCGTTAAGCTTTCCCTCTGTTTCAGTGGATTGGATTACGATCCTGGTCAGTGAGAGAAACACACACTATACATGTAGTTTGCTGAATGAAATGATGCCCATTGCAATGCGTTTATCATAAGTGGATATCACTCAACAAATATAAAGTAAACTTTGAGTAAACTTGATACCATTGTAATTGACAGTGTATCAGCACCAAGTGCTGTTTAGTAACATGTTGGCTGCGAAGACATTGGTGTGGGTATTTCGACCGAACTTCTCAAATAATGATGATTCCAGGCAACTTGATAGTACTGATTGCCACAGGTCACACGTCGCTCAAAGCCAAGAACTATTGTCCACTTTTTTGGCTGGTTTGGAACTACCAAAATGAGTAAATGGAATTTGAAAATGATTTTTTCCTGGGTCACTAAATTACTATTTGGCCCGAACTACTGAAATAATGAAACGATATGGCTTAATAAATGGTTTTAAAAATCTGCGAATGTCATACTTCTTTGTACATGTAGTACATAATCTATAAAAACACATTCAATCAACATGTTGATTAATTGGGCAGAGAGAGATGGGCAAACCTTGATCATGCTCTCTGTATCAATGAAGCTCCAGAGAACACTAATGGTAGATTCCGAGGACTGGAAGGACGTCGGTTCATACTGGTTGACGTTGACGTCTACATAGAAGAACACCTCTAATTCTGGTGGGGTGTCATCAATGTAGAAACCATTGGAGGATGCTAAAACTGATTTTCCATTTCCAAGGAAAGATTTCACTGTGCAGGGGACCAACAAAACATTAAATTGAAACATTAACAAGAATGGGAAAAAGTTAGAGACGATACAAAAAAATACTTTCACGTGAAGGATATTGGCAGTATCTAAGAACACATGGCTTAGAGTTGAAGAGTTTCAACGGAAACGCTTGAAGAGGAGATACAGCTTGGTCACCATAAGGCTGTGACGAATTCGACAGAATGCGGCCATGAAAGCAACAACACGTCTATTGTACAGGTTGACCCGCAGCTACATTGTAGCTGTCAGTGACTTCCGTATTGTGGAGAACACACTATTGCCAATCTACCACTATGTTGAGGTCAAAACTATCACAAAATCTTTCACAATACCAGTCACAGTTGCACAATACCATTCTCAAGACCGGTTGCAAGTAAAAGGGTGCACGGTGACAAAGGAATGCTTTTGTCAGAGTTAATTTTAATAGTGATAATATCTTGTAACTTGAATTCAGGCGTCGGGTCTTCTGTTTACTGTTAACTTTTAGGCTGGGCCTGTCTGAAAATATAGGAAACTGTGATATTTTAACACAACTTTATTCTGTTTGATAGTAGAAGTAATTCCTATCCAATCTCTCTATGTGATATAATATCCATTTCACCTATCACAAAAAACGGGAGTGGTCCCTCGTTATCTTGTGAAGCTTGCGTCGTTGCATTTCCATCGCTTTTTAGAGTTCCATTCAAAGGATCCAGTCTAGCCAGAGACAGGTTGGTGAGAGTGAATGTGATGGGAACGGCATCAAGGGAACACGAGGGATCACACTGGTAACGATCACAGGGGTTGATGCAAGGAACACAGGGCCTTGCGATCTGAACAGAGAAAATTAACCAAAACAGAAAGAGCAAAGTAGGCCTATATCTAATTGAGCGGCCCGGTCCCAATCATTTACGTTCCATGTTGGAGGTTCTAAGTTCTAAAGACTCTAAGTGGCTTACAAGTTATAATTAATTCTCTAGTAGGTGACCTATGGAGAGTTTCAGTACAGTGGTAATCTCATCTCGGTGTTTAGGATGTACAGTTCATGAGAGACTCTATTAATTTGAAGTTATTTCGAACACAGGCCATCTGGTAAAATAAAAGCCTGCACATAAGTAGATAGTACTGATAGTACACCCAAAATAGGCTAATTTGATTCACGGTTCACGGCCTGCATTACCTCCCTGAACGGCACGATATCTGTGGCTCCTGCTACCGAGCCGACACCAGCAAAGTAGCGGGAGACGGGACTAGTGCCAGCCCTGAATGGTGCCCCGTAGCGACACAGCTTGCTCTGCTCAGGAGGCATCCTTAATCAGAAGGAAATTAGAGTATCAAATGAATGGTATGGTATGCATGAACTGATAAGGCACAATGTATCTCTGGGTATAATGACAGCGATGGAAGAAACCGAACAAGAATGTGTCACAGACCTCAAGTTCCTGACTATGGCTGTGACAGCCGGAGGATTGAAGGGGTCTTGCAGATCCGCAATGTAGCTGTCTCGATTGAAGACATGAAGGATGAGTTTCGTTGATGAGGACATGATTGGTAGGCCAGTCAGTGAAGAGAGTAGATTACCATCAACGTAGACTTCAAACGACCATTCGTCCTGCAACAGAATGTTTCAAAGATAAATTTGTTGACAAATATATAGCAATGGGAATGGTGATCTACCCAGTATTTTATTTGCCTTGACTTGAGGAATAGGCTATTATAGCACAGTCGATTTGGAATGCATGATATAGTAAAAAAAACCAAATAAATGTATGATATAGTACAAAAAATAAATAACTTCTCAAGCACTCTACGTGAATCAAAAGAAAGAATCTCTTTGTGAGGTGATATATGTCTCTGTGTAATTGGGAAACATAATTTGTCACAATTCCTCAAAATAAGGTTTTTTTTATCAATGTCAAATTCAAAGTCAGTAATGAAAACACACCTCTTGTGCATCAAACGGCATGACTTTGAAGTGAACCGAGTAATGGCGCTCCTCCACTGATGGATCAAAGTCCAGATCTACAGGCTCTGAGATCATCGGCCAGCCATCTCCAAAGTAACGACACCATAGTACAGCTTGAGATGCACTGCCATCTACGAAAGAAGTCACATTCGCATCGACTTGAAAAACCCACATGCTCTAATTTGTTGAAATTTAAACCCTTTGAAGAAGACAATAAACTCACAGGAATTTGGAAAGACCATCTGACTAATATATATCAGTGATGTTGTAAGATGAATAATGCGTCGATTATAGTATCTTACTTGGGTAGAGTTGGAAGCCACAAGCTCTTTGTGCAATCCATCGCCCACTCTCATCGTCAGATACACTGTCCCCGTCTGCGTCTGGTTTCCGGACTGTCCAGGCTCTAGGGCCCCTGGTTGTCACCGGAGCACCATTTCCGTTGCTTAAGTCGGCCTCTTCCGTTGTCTTTGTGGCTACAAAGCTACTGGTTGTTACAGGTGGCAGAGGGGTGGCGTTGACATGCGTGGAGTTGTCATCAAATGAATCGGGTACCCCCAAGAAGCGCTTACAGTCACACTGAGGACACATAGACTGAACCAAAAATAATATAAAGCTTACGGTACAACGGGCATATGCAGCTGACCTACAGATCGCTGTGTGAACTTGGTAGCCAAAATGTGAATAACATGTTCCAAACGACTTGTGGTAATCTCTTGCAGATGAGAAGCACTCTCCAAACTTCATGTATGGGCTAAGAGAAACCCTTGGCCAATCGTGTCAGCAATCTCTACAAATATCAACTGCCGTATTCACAAGTAAATGCCCTTTCAAAGCTGGATGAAAGGAAACGAAGTTCATACCTTCGTCCATAAAACATGCCTAAATTCCGTTGAATATCAGCCAAAAGATCAAATGTATACATCTCAGAACTATATACCGTTTCTTTTTGATGGTACATCACGAAACACCTTATGACAACGAAGTCTTTAAACTTTGAGCAGTCAGTTAAACTGCATTTTGAAAATAACAACATATGGGAGCTGCAAATGTATTTTTCCCCACTTCCTCATAGTACGTTGTACAAAGTAGCATTAACATTTTATGTTCCGAGATTTAAAAAAATTATTTTTTTAGGCTAAATAGACAGTGTTATACAACATATAAATACTCTGATAAGGAAACTTTAACAATCAATTCCAAATTTTCTTAACAGCTCCAACACTTACCTGATTAAAGGGTTGTTGAAAGCAACACTGGCAGATTCCTTCTCGCCATTTCTCCCGTCCACTAAATTCAAACTCCCCGATTGTTCTATCTGGGCCATCCCAGAAGAGAATGCTGGTCACGCTGTGCAGGTCAGGTAGTGCTGCCTTCAGATCAAACTGTATTTGAATAATAAAAGAAGCCATATCCCGGTTTGTTTGTACTTCACTGGCAGAGAGTACTTAATTCTTAACACAGATGTCCATCATTGCACCTGCTGAAGCAGCCATTGCTCCAAAACCTCATGCAGTTTTTATGCTATTCCCATTAGTACTTAAAGTCACCTCCTGTTTGCCATTGTAACGAAAGAAAAGTAAATAACGGCAATCTCAGTTTCAGGTCTGGCCCGTAAGCGTTACTATTACAGGATGTATACACTGTATAGGCTTACTTGTCCACATTCAGTTTTAGGGAGTGTAGCACCAAAAGAAGGAAAATGTCTGGAATAAAGCCATGACGGTGAAAAATGAAAGATGTATTGTATCAAAGTCTGAAAGTCCATACTAGAGACACTTTTACTGTATTCGGGGCAAGCTTTTGCTTAGTTACTTAGGACACAACTTGCACTAATACCCTGTTTTCAATGGATAAGAAGGGCACACAAGAACCAGTCTATTCCAGAGACATTGGTAGCTATTCAAAGCTTGCCCATATCATCAGGTATAGTCTGAGGAATTGAAATTATGTTCATGTAAAATCAGATAACTCAGTGTACAAGACTTTGTTCCAATTGAACTCTAAAAGGCGATACCAGCAGTTATACTGACCTCATATTCAGAACTCCTGACAATCTGCGCATTGATGATGTAGGCGCCAGACAGCATACGCCGCCCCCTTGTGTCCCGCTCCATCTTCAGTGTCGTACTCTCGTCCGATGTAAACACCTGGACATTCAAAAGCAACATGGAAATGAGGGATAAGATAACTAAGCACGAAAATACCCGTAAAGGTTTTACACGCATATGAATGAATAGTGAGTTTTTAAGGTCCAGATTAAATTCATTCAGCGCACCTGCTGTGTCTGGTACTCCAAGTCCCATTCGTCTCGTTTCACATTCCACAGTCCCTTGAAGTCCATCGCTGACCACTGTGGATCAGTGAAGGGAACATCTCTCAGTGGACATGGTGGACCCTCTGGGTTGGACAAGTGGAGGATGGTGCCTGATGTACAGAAAAGCAAACCAATAAGTGAATTGTAATTATAATTTTCCATTCTGCAATTAGTGTAAGGAGAATTTTAGGATATCGAAAACTCTGAAACGGGCTTATACGTCTGCGTAAATGTAACCACTTCCTCTAAAATAAACTGTACAACGAAACTGTGTACGTGCTTGCCAGGCTTTAAAAAGATTGGTATTAGGACAGTCAATGAAGTGCAAAAATAAAACGAAGGATAGAAGACTGTATAGCTGTGTAATGAGCGTGTTTAAGAAGAAGAAGCCTCCTTACAAACATAGGCGTGTAACAACTCATGACCACTTGGGTCTAATGCACAAAACGTTTAGGGTGCGAAGTCAATGCTGTAACACATCGGCGTCCTCTCTACTAGATATTATTACCATATAGGGACAGATAGGGGAGTTTTTAGGGTAAAGTCAGGCCATTTGGAGTAGGCAGTGAGCAGTAAAGAATCTCATTATGAACAATATGAACTTACCAGAAACTTGGCTTCTGTCTCCGCTGTCAGTTATGTCCTTCTGGAAGTCTGTTCCATCAACTACCAGTCCGGCTTTGGGCTGCGACGAGTCGACAAAGATGGGTCCCAGTTGAGATTGGAAGTTGTCTCCTGCATGGTTAACCGCTGACAACTGAACAAAGTAAGGTTGGTTTCTCTGTTGAGCAAAAAAAATGTAGTGCATCGTAAATGCATGGAGCTAGTAGCTTTTGCAGGTACATCAAAATGGACAGATAAGCGCTTGAATGAGCAAACTGAACAGCAAGTATCGTGGCAAAAGTGGTAACACAAGAAATAATAAAGAAGGAATAAGTGGCATAACTCTATGCGAAGGGTGGGGTTGGAAATCTGTGGAATGCCTGCCCCTTGAAATATTGAAATGTACAACTATGTACAAGTCACCTTTCTTCTACTTTCAGTGCCCATCTTGACAATACCGGGTACATCCCCAGGTGCCCCCTCAGAAATTTCATGTTTCGAAGGGTGGAAATACCAACAACAGAGGCTCATTATCTCATCCCAATCCCCCTATTTCACAGGTTCCTTCCAAATTTCAATAAGAGGTTATTTTGAAACAATTTAATGCTGAAGAGTAATTGAGATTGTTGCAAGTTGATTGTGTGGCTAGGACATGCAGTGTACGTTGCATACTGAAGAGAAGCAGGCGTTAACTGCCCACTTGGGTGGGGCCGACAGGATCAGTCTTATAATAAGTAAATGACTTGATTTATTTAAGAACCAACTACAATCCGTGTTTTCACATGTGTAACACAAAACAAAAGCGATGAGACTTTACGCACCTGTAGGTTCAGGTCCACAAATGTAAAATCACTGATGTTAGTGCCAAGTACCAGCCAGTCATGGTCAGGTACTGGTGACAGGTTGTTGTCATCCCTGATGTCACAAGATGCAGCTTGCACAAGGCGGAGGTTGAAGAACTTGATTCCACTCTCATCATCCCTGTAATCCTCCCAAACCACCGACACTGACTCAGTGCTGTGGGTGTACGCCACAGGCTGCAGATCATGAAATTAGTTGGAAGTCAACAGATTTACGGAGTCACACTTGTAGCCAAACGGCTGAGTTACGAAGGAGGGGGCTACGTGGTCGAGCAAAAAGGCATCCAGGGCCTAAAGGAAACTCAGGCAGCCGCCAAGCAACCCATGCTGACTAGATTACTTCCGTCGTCCAGAGTTTTGATTTTAACGGAAGGACGGGGAAACAGAAACTGGAAAGAACTCTCATACCTCAGGAGTGAATGAACACCTAATGGTCAATGATTGGAATCGAACCCGGGCTACCGTGGAAAGACAATATTGTCCTCACACACTGCCACTCGTAACTATCCCATGCTGATCTGATACCGGTAACCATGGAACCAGAGCAGCGGATGGGGGTTGGGTGAGCAGCTGACAAATTTTGTTTTGTGTGCATCCCGATCTTCCCCGTTCGAAAATGTTGAATCCCCCTCTCAATCAATTCTGATATGTAAAAACTGACTGGAAAAGTATCGATAGGTTTTACTGCTTAAATTTCCAGAATACCGCTCTGACCAGCACTCTAACACCGAGCTTTATCAACTCTCTTTGTGGTAGATAGTGTTGTTTGGTTTGTGTTTTTGTAAACCAGAAAAAAAAGCAAAACTCTCATCAAGAGGCTCCGTGTCCCTTTCTGAAAGGCACCATGGGAAATTTCGGGTAATAAATCTAAAACTGGACGTGGATGTACTGCCATTTTGTCTTTACTTACGCATCTGTGTATCGTATTACAGCCTAAGCTAGAGAGATAAACATCAAGTATCGGATCAACAGATAGAGGCACGAACAGTAACGGGAAAGGTGCATACACTGTCTTCCTGGCAACACTAACCATGTCATAGAAAGGTCCGACTCGCAGTCGACCCTCGACTGGAGGCGTGACATCAACAGAGAAATAACTGGTAGAGGAGTTACACTGTCCCCCTTCGTTCATTCCTGGAGGGAAAAGAAGATACCAATTTATGGTTGTGTTCAGTGAAATGCAGCCTAGGTAAAAAACCCAAGAGGAACAAGGTTCACTCACCCACAGCAGTTGCAAAGTAGGAGCCTCCCTGCGTCAGATTCAAGCCTCGGACCTCCACGTAGGTGTCTTTGCCGACAAAGTGCATCTGCCTCACGTCGAACGTTGTCAGGGCCTCCTTGGTACCCAACAGCATATCCAGGCAGTCCATGTCTTCAGGTGGGATGGAGGATGGGGAGGGTTCACCCAGGCCGACGTAGTACAAGAGGATGGGGAACGTGGACTCAAACTGAGCCCACTTAAGCTCAACCTCTGAGACAGAGTTCACGTATTTGGGTACTTCTACCTCAGTTCCTGAAGACAGTTGGAAAAATATTCGAGAAAAAAATTATTACCTTCATAGGTATAATTACCTAAAATAATTAATAAGCACTGTAGATCTGCTAGATTAAGACAAATCCAAGCGAATAAATTAGCCGGTATTGTTTATTTAGAGACCGAGAAGTTGAGATATTGAAACAATACCTTTTTTTACAGAACCACACGCAAGAAATGATCAACTGCATAACCCGGAAATATATTTTCCAAATTTGATAATATCAAAACAAGAACCTTGGAAAAATATCTTTAACAATGTTACACGTTCTAAAGGAAACTACGGAGATACCCACCGTGTACTTTGCTGTCTATACCAACATTGATCCCTGTTGATGTCACCTCAGCAGTGGCAAAGCTGGCGCTATGTGCTCTCACCGTCACATAGTAAATTGAGGCTTGTGCCGTTAGGTCCAGGTTAGTGAAAGTGACCGATGTGTTCAAGCCGACGAAGGTGAAGGGCACCACATTGTCTCTGGTCTTAGGGTAGCGGCGGTCAGTGCCGACTGCAGCCTCATAGTAGTCAACGGATTGCTCTGTGAGGTGGTCTTTGGTAACTTCAGCATTTCCTGGATAACATTGGATAACATCAGGTGATCATATTCATGTGAACTTAAACACATTCTATAAACATAGGAAGATACTGCCACTGTGCGGATTCACATCTCATTAACTGAGTCTTCATTAACCCTAACCCCGAGGGTGTATGTAAAAGCATATTAAAATCAGAGGATTTGGGACTGTTAGGGTTTTAAATGTATTTTCGTACTAAAAGCCACGTTATATTAAACTTCATTTTGTTATCCTACTCCGTTTGTTCCAAAGAAATATTGACATTACATGTGAGAAACCATGCAAGTCTTGTACTTCAACTGCATGTCTTCATAATTCTGAATCAAACATCTACATCTTGTCAGATGAAATGTCAGTTAATGGAAGTTCATCACATTTCAAGTCAAAAACAGAAGGTCTCTATATCCTAGAAGGTATCTGTCGATATATTTAAGTTCACACATACCTGTGTGATGAACAATTTCCTTTTCTGGTATTCCCTGTCCAAACCCCCTCCAGCTCGCTGATATGGTATCTGTCTCTTTCTGGTAGGTGAGATCAAAGCCCACCAGAAGACCATCATACACTTGGCCGGGTATTAAGGGGTCTCGCTTCACAGTGACACCATCGGATCGGACTGTGATCTCCAGGCCGAGGGCGTTAGTAGCCCGTACAATGGTGTAGTACGTCTCACCATCTGTCATTTCAACATCTGTGTTTGTGTCGGAAGTTCGCTCTATTTCACGGTAGAAAGTGCAGGTGTTAAAATTGGTAATGAAATTACGAGAAAGCACGTTTTGTGTTCACACGTTTTGACAACAAAAGTTTTGCCGACAAGGAGAGGTTACCAACACATGATTGGAGCTGCACTTAAAAACAAAATATCAAAAAATAGGATTTGGCTAAAGTGTGGATGGTCTTAGACAAACAATTTTGCAAAGTCTGTATCATTTACCTAAAACATCTGCGAATGGCTGAATCTGCTGGCCGTCAATTCTGTATATGGCCCACTCATACTTCTTAAATGGACAGGGGTCTCCACTGAAGTCCCACGCTGCACTTATTTCACGCAGTGATGTCTGGAAGTCCACGTCATCAAGTTTGCTGTCAGAAACGCCATCTTTGACCTGGAAGGGTCGGAGTGGTTGAAGGCCGGCACTGAACCGGCTGATGTAAATGCCATTGGACACTGCAGTGCTGGTTAGACCGGCTTCATTGTAGCCCCTCACTGTGGCGTAGACCTCACGGATATCACTTAGGTCGATGTTGGTGATGAGTTCTGATGTCTGATCCTTAGATACCTCGTAGAAGGATTTGACCTGAGATCCCCCTGGTGTGGTTCCCAGGGCAACCTCGTACTTGGCGATCTGTGTTTCTTCGTCAGTGAACGGGTGCCACAGGATTCTCAGCTGAGTGAGTGATTCCAGACACTCGCCATCCAGGCGTGAGCATTCCTCCTCGTTAGTACAGTCCCATTCTGGTATACTCACCGGATTACTGATATTGGAGGTGTGTACTCCAGGCAGCTCTACCACCAGGCCATATAACGGGGGAGTATCATCAATCTCAATAGGTGCAGAGAATGCCATAGTGCTTTGATTGACAGCATTGAAGGCCTCCACGGTGACATAGTAGACTTTGTTGTGAATGAGATTCAGATCTGCCAAGTACAAAGTTATCTATTGATAAATGAGTCAATTAACCTTGTTAAAAACATAAATTGCTTCACCATTGATAGACAACTTTCTGTGCGATGGGTGATTATGAATTTTTGCAAATGAAATGAAGTACTGCAATTCACAAAGATTGAAGGTAGGGATTAAAGCTTGCAATCCGAAGGACATAGAAACCCCTTACCTGAGGTAAATTTGAGTTACGGTTCAGGACAATCTAGTGAGGCCCTTGTCATACCATCGCATTGAGGGGTTTGTTCCCAAGGCTGGAGCCTCAAACAACGGACAAGGTTATAAAGCAGGTTACTATTCCCGTACCGTAGATACTATTGTAAAAAGTATTATAAGGAGAAAACCGAAGGGACATAAAATACTTCTTTAATTGTAACACTAGAAAATCCTCCTCATACTCCTATCATTACTACTAACCAAACTAAGAGAGATAAAAAAACCCTCCCAAACCTCTGACACTGTAGTGCATGAAGTAGCCAGGTAGATTCTTAGATTCATATGCATCTTCTAGACCCCGGGCTGTCCCAACGAGAAACCTAAAGTGATCAATTGCGGACTCGGCGTCAAGGAAATCAGTCCAGCTACACAAGATAGCACCATTAGCGTGGATGACGGCAGGACACTGGACCTAGTGACAGCAAGCAGGAAAAAATACAATACTCAGCCAATCATCAAATCAAGGCCCAATTTCAAAGAGATATGTTCAAATCAAGGCCCTATTTCCAAGAGATGATATGCACAAAGTGTCACTTACAGCAAAAGGTATGTGCTAAGAGAAAAAGAGTGATCATCCAAAATATCACACGATATATTTACTAAGACTGGTTCTCATCTGGTTTTTGCATAATCACAATAAAAATTAGTTAAGAAAATCGTAGTTCTTAGTCCCACGAGAACAGGGGTCTGAGTTTGGATTGAACGATTCATGGACCACATTAGAATACAGTTGTAATTATATATGTCATTTTTAGGGGAAAATCCCTGATATGTAACCCCTACATTCCAATGCACATCCAAATTAACGTCACTGGAACACTTTAAGCTCAACAGCGCTAGATATATGACAATGAGCCCTAGAACAAGCTGATTCCTTCAAAGTGTCTTGGAAGATTGAGCAGATGAAAATACCATGTTTTCCGTTTTTGCTCCGTACGGCACACATTTCTGATTTCATGAAAAACAGATTTGACTATCTTTCGTATGCAAATATTGCAAATAAAGATAAACAATTAATTCCTTTTTAGGCTTGAGGTTGGGATTCAGTGACGGAGATAAACAGGGGTCATCTCCCAGAATTCCTACTTTGCGACGTGACATCTGACAAACTCACCTGACCAACACTAGGTGGGGTGTTGTCTACAGTCATGATGGTAGCATGTACAGTCTTCCTCAGTCCAACACTGTTGACTGCCTGCACACTTAAGATGTTAGGGAACCCTGCATCACGCAAAAATTATTGTTCCAATTAGAGCAGAAGGTCAAGGTGATGAAAAAGTGCTCTCTAAACACTGAGACATAAATGATCGAAACATGAATTTATCAGCACATTGTTAAAATAGAACATGTTAAAGCTGTTCTTATTAGCATTTTCACGAGCCCCTCAACACTGAAGTTGGAAACTAAATATCCAGCACATAAAAGTGAAATAGTAACAAGACAGTGAAACAAAAGCACGTAGCCATCCAGACGGGACAGACGGAAAACAACGGAGGGGGAGCCAGTCAGTTAGCCAAGCAATCATCCACCAGGACGAAAAGAAATAAAGGAGCAAGCAAGCCATCCAATTTATATCAAGAGGAAAACGACGAGCAAACCAGGCAGTGTTTGCCATAAGCCAGTGAAGGAACCCGAAGGACAACTACATGAAATAGGGAAGCTGTAGGCCAGTCACGAGCCCCCTCATAAGGAGGCAGGACGTCTGGGAAACAGGGAACAAACCAGCCATAATACCTCCCTCTCTAGACACTTCAGCTACCCACAAGAAGACAGGCCTGGACAGAAACCTGCCATCCTTCTATTACTATGAGAGCTCAACAGGATCAAAGCTACTTCAAGCTTTACCTATTTCAGCAGGACTGATCAGTGTGGGTGGAATGTAAGATCTATTCGTTGACGTCACGGGGAAGACATCAGCACTCCCTGGGTACTGCCCCATAGAGAAGTATGTTGCAATGATATCACTCTCTCCTTCCTGAACATCCCACATGCCATCAAAGGAGTCTGTGTTTGACTGGAACAGATTAACTCCACCACCTAAGCTCTGTAAATGGGACACCAAGAAAGGCATAATTGGGCAACAGAGAGTCTTTACCGTTTTGTCAAAAGTGAGAAAATTTTTTTAGTTTGGTTGCAGTATCCTTTCTCATATAGAACACCATTTGAGGTACACCACCTCGTTATTGAAGATACAGATGTGATGTAAAAACCAAACAGTTGTCTTAAAGAATGCTTACAAAGGATAATAAACAGGGTTTCCCAGTGAAATACAGAGTGCAAAATTGTTATCTCTAAGAGTCCCTAAAGAGGATTCACTCTGTTTTCATATGAAAAATATGATTTTATATATACCCTCGAGGGTTAGGGTTAATCTTGAACCTAAGCCACTTTCAACAGCGTGGTACAGTTGCTTAAGCATTTAATTATAATGGGAAAGTTTTTTTCCGATTGGCTCAGTTTTAATAAAAAATTCTCTCAAGGACTAAGAACAGAAATATACCAAGGGCTGGACTGTTCCAACTCTCAAGACGAGAACTTATTCTATTTGCTCCATTTGTTCCAGGAAAAAGGCGGCGGGGTACTCCACTTACGAGATCAACACGTGTGTCATACTCTCCAAGATCCGTGATCACAATCTCTGGTGGAGTAATGTCCACTGTGAAACCACTTGACGTGGACTCTAAGACTTTGTCTCCGTTCGTGATGGCTCGCAGCGTGCTGTAGTAAGTCACACCGTGCTGGAGGGGCAGAGGTGACTGGGCCTTGCCACTGCCTGCTAATCCTGGAAAAGAAATCAAAAGTCTTGCACTAAAGAGATCTTAGCATGCAGAAAACGATGTGGCTTCTCACAAATCTGGCTCTACAAACAGGAATTAGGACAAAAGCATATTTCATTTCAAAGTCTGAGTACAGAAATATACAAAAAATATGATACAAAACGCCTACTGAACAAAAGTAATATTTACAAATTTTCAAGCATAAAAAAATTAAAGAAAGGGGGCTCAATATTAAAAACCTGCAGAAACAGGTCGCAATATCATTTCACTGAGCCCCTGTGTGCCTCTTTCAAACCAAGAACTAAGGATATATGGGGGCAGACTTGGTTATTACTCATATCTATTTGCACCTGAAATGGCAACATCGACTTGTTAATTCCTCATGAAGGTGGTTTCACGGAAGTTCCGATGTGTTATGTAACTTGGAATGACAGATGTTTGCACCTTGAAATAAACTGAAAAGACTCGCCTAAAAACTGTAAATGCTTTAAAAATCATACCTTGCACGTCTACATCAATGCCCGGCACTATGCCATCAGAGGTCAAAGGTTGGATGTCCTCACCTCCAGGGGTCGTACCCACGGCCCATTCGTAACGTGATATGCCATGCAACTGACTCTGTGTTCCACGGAAGTGAGATCGAAATGTCCTTTCTTTACTTTCATATATAGATATAATCCTATTAATTGTTGAGTGATTTATATTGAAGACGAAACCATTTTCAAGATTTCAATTGTGTTCTGTTCTAATCAGAGTTATCGCTGTCCCAAACCGTTCATCAAACCCTTAAATGAAATTCCCTAAAACAACGTCCATATGTCTAGCTTTCCCAAAGTCTTTCCAAGTGAACAATATTTACATATTTTACCAACACTTCCTGTTGCAAACAGTGATTCTACCGTACACTTTCAAGTTGTTATCTGTTCACAGCTTCAGTTGCACCATGGTCCGAACACGTGCAGTAACATAAAATGATAATTTTTGGTACCGTGAAATTGAGGGGAAATTTATAATGGAGAAGTCTAGCCTAGGAATCACACACGCACACAGAATATGAACACTAGCAAAAGAGCACCTAACAAAGGCATGCAGAAAATCTCTGTCAAACTTCCAAAGCCTTTGAAGACAATTGAAAACGTAGTGAAAAAACACTCTAGTGACTATAGCAGTCTCACCTCAAAGTCATCGAACATGATGGTGACTGTAGTTCTTTCGTGCTGCGCGTCGGTGTCCTGTTGGAAGCTCGAACCATCATTTACATAGCCTATACAAAACGAAGCAAAGCAGCTTGTATTCATCTCCACAAATTACTGCCAAAGCTTTGAACTTTCCGAAATCTTTAAACAGATGTTTCAAAAAATTGTTTAAACGGGAAGCATACAAATCCGTGCGTAAATGTACAGCACAAATACATTAGACTATCAACATTTGGGGAAACTAGTTCACAAGGAGGATGACCCACCTGTCTGATCCTCATCCACCACCCTGATTGGTGAGGCGCAGATGACGTCACTGAAAGCCCCCGCTCCATTCTCACTCTTGACGCACACGTAGTAGACCGGCCGGCATCCCTCAATAAATGCCTCTTCGCTGCAGGTGGAAGGGTCTGTGAGCTGGAGATTCAGGTTAGACAAGACACCGCTGCTCTTGGAGCCCATGGAGGTGAATGGTTGGACGTCTTCGGAATCTAGACAGAATTGAGAATTGTTTATAAAGTAGAAACAAATATAAGATCCAAATTCAGAAATTGCCAAAATGTCTATTTTTCGAACCGTATCTTTATTTTTATTAGTTGATTGAAATGACCAGTAATTTCCAAATGAATAAGGAAAACTAAGAGCGTGAGGTAACTTTTTATCAATATTTGAAAGAGAAGAAAACAGTTCATCAGACAATTCAAACTATAGCCCTCCAAAATACCATCAGCTCATGAAAAAAATCTTTTGGATCATGCCATGGATCACATTTTTCCCACGCTGAAACGTTTCAGCAAAACTTTCCTTGAGAAAGCTTTTATGATGTACTCACATGGTGTTGTTCCAACTGCCACCCAGTAGCTCTTGATGCCACTCTGTCCATCTGCAGCTAGCCAGGATGCTTGGATGGAGGAACGACTGTTCTGGTACAAGTAACCTCTAAAGATTTCTTCAACCTCCCCATCCAGGTTACCGCTTCGGACAAATCTCATCTGCGATTGAAATCCACATATAATCGACACAGTTAATTTCGGTATAACTTATATCCAGCAAAGTCACTTATAAGTTTGAATGGTCACCATGGTGATAGACAGTAATGGTACATAATACAGATTTTCACTCCCAGTCTCGGAGAGTTATGTATAACAAATGACCAGTAACTTCTTTGCAAAAAGGCTCAGGTGTTAAGTCTACTGAAATGGGTTAGCCCTCTTGGGGATCGAAACGACAGCTGTGAAAGCAAGCCGCTATAGACTGGTGAAATGCTGTTACAAAAGTACCTGTTCGTGAAGAGTTAGGTATCTACTGTAGTATGTGCTTCTTTTCAGTGTATCATCAGCCTTTACAAGCATTACAGTCGAGACAATAACAGAAGCGGGCGCTAGATAATCCACACAACACGCAACAAGTATCAGCCTGAAGATTAACGGTGATGTAGGAAAGCTTTTGTTGCAGCTCACTTGAAAACACTTTGACTTAAATTCAAATGATTTTGCTGGGAGTACCACAATTAGTTATGATCATTTTTCAGTGTGTAACCACATGGAAGAGAAACATATTTTTCTCCTTGCATGCGAATATTAACAAAAATTTGGATGCATTAAAACAGGAAGAGCAACAGAAGTTTTAACACACGGAATAGCTGACCACAGAGGAAATATCAGTGGCTTACCTACTCTTTTGTCAGCCCTAGAATCACTCTGTTTTGGATGTATCCAAGACTGGTACTTACCACAGGGGGACTGGGATCAACCTTGACGCCACTTGTTTCATGAGAGGCAACTAGTTTTGCTTGGTTTTTGGCTTTGACTCGTGTCACATAAAGAGCTCCAGGACGCAGAGTCAGACCCTGTTGAACATGAGACCTGGTTGTGATATCAGAGATCAACTCAAAGCTGTTCGGGTTTCCATCTAAGCAAATAATCAGAAACCAAACACACAAATACTTAGAGTTACAGACAGTGATCTTAATGTAAAAGCAAGTGACAGTTCGGAAATAGAAAAGGATTAGAGTAGAACACCTCAAGGAAGCACAAACTCACCACTTGGGAAGATTTTGTGCTTGTTCCCCTGTCTCATCTCATAGATGGCCAACTCAAAGGACTCTATGCCAGATTCATCATCAAAGTAGTCCCAATGAACAGCTAGACTGTCAGAATGCCACTGCAAATAGAAAGCGGAGACATGATGCAATAGTATTAAAGCTTGTAATCTTTTCTCATCATGTCTCACAAGAAACTTCACAGCCCTTTGTCCCAGCTGTTCGAGATCAAGGCATCAGAAAAATGACAATGGAAATTGCCTGAAAGTCAACCTCTTTTGTCAATATTCAGTAATGTTTTATTGTCGTGCAATCCGTACTCACCTGGAAATCTGGGTCTTCTCCAACTACCAACCCGTCTCCCAGATTCCGCAGCACAGGTGGGGTAAGGTCTATCAAGAAGCCATCGGTAGGGGTATCAATGTGATTGAAAGCCTGGTTGATAGTGCGTAGTTTGACATACACCTGATCCTTGTGATGGAGATGGAATTGGTGCCACTCAATGGAGGATGTAGCACTGCCTACTGACTCTGCCTCATGGATGACCTCAAAGTCACTTGTGCTATTGAAGCTAAACATTGCCGAAGAGTTGATAAAAGTTAGCATAAAGATTTTATACAAATCCATATACGTTCCCAGCAAATACCAACCATCTTCTACGGAATTTTTACAAAAACTCTATAGAATTACTATAACGTTTCTAGATTTCGGTCTAAAAATCCTATGGAAAATCTTTAGAATACATTTAGAAACTTTTATATGCATTCACACTGTTCGTACATATTTGAGACTGAATTTAGAAAAAGGTTGATCAGATCAGGAGGTTTCTAAAGAAAGCCCTCTTCTCTGTAGAGCTCTTTATAATATATTCTTGGGATTTCTTTAGAAAATGTATGCAAAAAGAACACTCTTTGAAATTTGGTCTTGGTCTGAAATTGAACAACTGTCGTATTCAAATTAAAGAGTGTTGTTGTAAGTTGGGTCCAACATAAGTCCCTGCAAACCCACCAGTCCATTAACCACCATCAATTCAGTCTACAAATTATTCAAAGGAAGTGAAACGAAAATGCTCTGTCGTATTGTTTATCTTGTTACTTGTAACTGATTTTAACTCGTTTGCGACTTCATTAGTAATGGTTCAATCCCAACGATAATTTGATATTAGTTGAAAAATATTGTACATAAACATTCATTTCGAGTGAAAATCTACAAAAGCCATCTTCACCTGCTATCCTGCTTGCGATATACTGTCACTTGGTAGTCTTTAATACCAGAGTCTGGATCAGAGAATCCATTCCACTGAGCTTCCACAGTGGCCGGTCTTGAGGAGAAGTCCAGATCTGTAGATCCAGGAAGCAGGCCATCATACACATTTCCTTGAATTGGCGGAGTGAGGTCCACAGTCACTGACAAGGAGAAAATTAAGATGTTTATACTTTCAATACTCAGACGAAGGAGATGCAATTCGATAACAATTATTTCCTGAGAGTTGACGCCACAGATTTTTTTTAACATCAGAGGAATGAAATTGACAGTCGCTAAGATGTAAAATATTAGCTTAAATATGTCAGTGTTTTTGGTGATGAAACATAGGCATTACATTGAAATGCGACGACAGAGACTGAATGACCGTATTGTTGACAACGATGAAAGAAAAATTTGTGGTCATTAATGATCATGATGAGGTTGGTGATGAAAGGGCTTGATAGCAATTGCCACGAACAGGATGACTATGGTAAGAATTTGGATGATGAAGGTAATATCTTCCAGATAATCACTCGCGAAAACTTGACTCAAAAATAAACAGGACTGACAGTGACTTCAGTAATTAATAAATATAACTACCTCCATTGGATGAAGCGGTCACATTGAGTTTATCATATCCACCATGGAAGGCTATGAGTGTGGAGTAATACGTCTCCCCGTGCTGCAGGGTCACATAGCCAGAGCAAGAACCATGCTCCTGACGAGACACTTTGACAAAGTTTACCACATTAACGAGACCTGGTTGAGTACCAACCCCCCACAGGTAGGAGAAGATCCCAGACTCGGGGTCATACCAGTTGTACCAATTAGCACAAATCTATTGAGTTCAAAAGAGAAAGCGATGAAATTGCAACCTCCTGCTGTGCAATTAGACAATACTGTTTATTGGTAACGATTAGTCACCAACAACCAATAAAGGGATAGTTAGGTAAATTGTAGCAATGGCATTTCTTTGTCACATCTGTGACCTAGGATCACATCCTGCACAAGCCGATATAATTTTTTTTTTTTACATCCTTTCAACGTACGTCCGCTTCATTTTGTCTCCACATTCTATGCCTAAAATTCTTCAAGCCTCCTTTGGTTGATAAGGACTCCAGACGAATCCTTGGTTTTACTACGAGAATAAATTTAGATAAAGTTGAGAGGGTTGAGGATACAGGGTTAGGGAATCCTCAGATTTTACCCCAATGATTACCGTTCCTGTTTATCAGTTTTACTGTAAGTCAGTCTCATTACCTTGTTTTTGTCCTTGGTAAATACAAGGTCTTGTCCAGCGTACGGTCCATCGAACAAGTCTCCAGCAATAGGTGGAGAATCATCAACTAGAATTGGCCTGTCAGCATGGTCTATGGTTCGCAGGTCAACTGCAAATATTAATATTGACGGTTATCAGCATAAAATAGGATGCTCAGTGCAACTGTTTATCTTTTTGTTACTTTGTTGGTTTAGTTTTCTTTTTGACAATTTGATATTTTTTTCTCAAGGTGCAATCAAAATGATTTCTGCTTTACAATGACCTATAATCGGGAGAAAATAATGAAATATGACTGCACTGCAGACTTGTTGTTACTATGTGGCATAATATCTACGGACAATATTATAGTGATCTGTAGAAAATAATTGTTTGTACTGAATTTCATTTGCAAATGAATATATAAAATATAGTACTTGAAACCAATAACTTTACCAAAAGTGGTGTTTTGCAATAAAGTTTTAATTTTAACACTGAACTTTGCATTTGCATAAGTTTGGACACAGTGTATTACTGCTTTGACCATGTAGGCTGATCAAAGTACATGATCAAACATACCTCCAAAAAGATAAAAGGTAGAAAACGCTTCAACTCAAGCAATATTTATTAAGAGTGCTCACTGATGATAACTTTGCTTGCTGATTAATTCACAGGGCACAAGGCTTAATACGCAAGGCTTCATGAAACCAGTTGTATTGCACCAGGCAAAACCCACTGAACAACTCCAATTTGGTGCATTATTGGAAGTCGGCTCCTTAATAATGTGTTACCGTTGTTAACTGCTCTGACTTTAACCCAACAAGGTATGCCAGGCGGTATCTTGAAGTCCATGATAAGCCATTCGACCACAGCGTGATCCTCCCAATCGCGCAGCGATTTGTCCCTGGGAGTCCTGCCTGCTGCTAGGTGATACTCAAACAAATGGGACTCAGGATCGCTGCTCGAAATTAAACAAAGGAAACTAGAAACGTGTTGTGATGGAATTTTAAGTCTGGAAAGCAATAATTTATAAGAAAAAGTCGGCATATGTACGGTACTACAATACATTCTACAGCAATTGCTGAAACAAAGCAATGACGTATTTCTGACTTTGCGACTAGCATGTCAGCCTGAAAGTGAACAAAATAAAGCTCTCAAAGCAGAATCAACGGGCTCATGCGTGGTTTTAATTTCCACGGGCGAGACTGACGTTTCCGATTAAAGTGTGATGATTTGGGTTTCCCTGTACGACGAAATTTCATTGAATCTCTGACAAAACTACTCACGTTGCGTTTACTCGCAAGCCAATTCTACCAATAGACGAGTTGTAAGTGATGTCGTGAATGCTGTAAATTACGGGTGGAGTGTTGTCAATAACAAGAGGGTTGCTGTGACACACAGTGAGTGCCATAGGACCACCAAACTTCACCTTGTTGAGAGCCCGCACAGTGATGAAATAGGCCCCATCTGACGCATAAGTGAAAAGTAATTCGGGTTTTCAATCAGAATTCCTATCCTTAAGAGATTTGTTTAGTCTTGTTTTAATCGCTGCCCTCCCTAAGCCTCTCTGGGCCATTTTCGTATTTCAACTGCAGATGTAACAGGGGTACAAAGAAAATAAATGGAAATTTTGTTTGGCTATTAAGTTAATGAAAAGAGCATTGAAACTTGAAACAAAACCACGGTTTCAAAATCTTAGTAGATCGACAATTTCTTTTGATTGGCTAAAGGCTGCAAAATAAATAGAGCAAAATGTTGTCCACGCAAAAACACTCTTTGAATGCCAACCTGTCGGGTCAAACATGTTTCACATTTAGCGACAATATTATGAAAGTATCATGTAACTTACTAATAAAGTTAACATCTTAGATAAAACTTCCATTGTGGACAAAGAAATAGACCTACCTGGAAGATTGACGTTGACAACGAGTCCCTGATGGGTCCATTCCGACTCATCGAACAGGTGAGCGTGAGGGTCAATATGCATACTGACGTCATCGCTGCAGACATCATAGCCGATGGACCAGGTGTAGCCATGGATACCGGTCTCATTGTCATGGATACCCTCCCAGTTGGCTGAAATAAAACGGAAATTTTACGCAAGAGAATGCCAAGTAATCGGTTCACGATGTACAATGGATACCTTCCTTCCTGGCAAGAGCCCGCCTCCCTTACCTGCCATGAAGGTATTGCTCCGTGTGTACAGCATGTCCACTAGTTCCTCGTAGCCGTTGAAAACTGTCATAGACCCAGGACCATCAATGATATAGCTGAGGGTAAAGATGTGAGACGGGAGAATGCATGGGAACAGCTAGAAAATGCAAACAAATTGATTGAATACCTGAACGTAGATATTTGTTGAAGAGCGCTCAAGACGGCGTCGACTAAATATTAAATATGAATATGCCTACATACTGTTTAACATTCCCACGCTTCTGTGAGATTGATTGATTGTAATTTGTTAAATGGGCTAGCCTAACACAAGCCTTTGCTTTTTAGGGTTTTTGCCCCTCTTCTTGTCTTCTTTATGATTATTTATTACATTTTTTTGGTTAGTACTTTATGCCTTTTTAATACTGTATTACGTAGGCCTATCGCTATCATTAGAAGAGGAAATAAATGTCTGAAATGTCAATGTCAATCAATTCCGCGACTTTTTGCAACCTCAGATGACAGCTCATCAGCGAGCAGAACGCAACAAAGACAAAATTTGTCTTCCTCACTTATTCTAAAGTGCAGACTGGATGTATTCCAGACTGATACAGGATCACTACTCTTAGGCTACTGAAGGTTTCTATTTGCGTTCTATGTTTAAACTTTGCTCCTTCTAAGAAGGGTACGAAGCCACCTGACTTATCTGAACAGAGATATCAGTGACACTATGAAAATCTTCATCTCTTAAAAATCCTAAATGTGCCTTTTCCCTGGATTTCCCATAAAACATATCACGGCGTTTTCAGCACGTTCAGAAAGACAATTTGCCCGCGAAATGGCCCTTGAAAACGTTATTTGTTTTGATGACTTTGAAAATCGGGTCACTTTACCATCTGTTACTAGCAGAGGTAGCCTAATGTTAGAAACTGAGATATTAAAAGATTTCAAACACATAATCCTCCTTATTAAGCTTATGGCGTACTGTAAGGGGGTCATTAAACTCCCTGAAAATCCCACAAAGATTAGTCAAATCAACCTAGGTAAACATCCTTAACACAATCCTTCGGGAATAATTTAGTCACAAAGTGATACCTTACTGTAACAAGCTTTTAGGATAAAATGTTGGTTTTGTTTTATTCATCTGTTAGTCTTGTCCAAGAGCTTAAAAGAAAAACATCTCCATCGCCCCCGTTTACTAATGACACTGACAAAGTAATAGATACTTGTCGCTGTGATTCCTACCGATGGTTGTCCAGCGGTGTGTCTTTAATGCATCGTCTCTCCCACTCCTCTGGAGTGAACTTCACACACGGCTCAAGCACCACTTCGTCCCTAATCTCGTTCATGATCAACCCCGGCGCAGGAGGCGTGAAGTCTGCGATGATGCCGACAGATGAGATGATGTTCTCATAGCCAACGTAGTTGAGGAGCTCTATATTGAAGTAGTAGAGATGGTTGTGGACGAGTTGCAGCGATTCGTGACTGGACTCGACGGCGTGGCCGACGCCGAGGCGCTCAAAGTGAGAGAAAAGTCCTGACTGATGAAAGACAAGAACCGAAAGACAGGAAATTGACAACGAATAATCCATAATCTAAATAAAATAGTTTTCATTCGACCTTGTTCACAGGCACCATCTGTGCATGTTTACTATTTGAAAATTGGCTTCTTATTATTATTGCATGGAATGAAAGCAAGAAACACTGATAAAAATATTTATTGATATGAGGAAAAAGTGACTCAAAAAGCAAAATTGAAAAGCGACATCGTGACTCAGGAAAAGATTCATCCTTCAGGTAAAGGCTGTCTAAAATATTACAGAGCTAATTTTTGAGCTGAAGACTTTACAACAGTTACTGGCTTTGCCCTCCATCAAGACGTCAATAATTTAATACCACTGCGACATTGGATTTGAATCAACCACTAGATCACACCCAATTTTTCGGCCAAATGGAAGAGACGTTAACTGGTTATCAGGACGCTACGAGTTTGAGTTCCACCCTGGGCAACCTGAACCTCTTTTTCGCAGAAGTTCCTTTACAGTACAGGGCAATAGGCCTAATAAGCGAAGGGATGACCCCGGAAGTTAAAAAAAATTACTATCGAAACTTTGATCTATACCTCGTGAATTTCGACCCCATGACCCTCAATCTCCTCCAACAGTTCACAGGTGAAGTCCTCAAAGTTGTAGTTGATACTCAGGCATTTGGTCTCCGGGAGAGCCAAACAGTCCCGTGCACAGAAGTTGGGATTGCGGTGGATGATGGTTGAGGTCGGCTTAGAGATAAGGCGGCCTTTCTTCGCGGCAGTGAAGTAGTGGAAGTCATTTACTGTAACAGAATGGACGTTATGTATAATAAAGGCTTAATCTGTAGGTGAAGAAATTGGATAACACGTTTACAAATTAATTCAAAGTCAACATCTTGACTTTGGATTATAATCTATAAGCCATCCTGGTTTATGTACATTAAATCTCTTTCAAACTCTTTAATTTACCATTCTTAGTCGCTCTTAGTCTTAATCGATTCTAATTCAAGATATTTTAAATCTTGTAAATCATAAAATATAAATAATATTTCCATAAGCATACATATCTGATTCATTTGATATTTTGGAGACATCTGGTAACGTTTATGCCAAATTCAGGCTTTAAGTGTGAATGGTGTGAGTACTAGCCGTACGAACATTTGTCAAATTAAATGTGGATCCATGTCCCTTTTTTCGTCTTCTAATTTTTGTTGGTCAGCCGTGATACCCTTTTGGAAGAACGTTTTTCTGTATTTAAAAGTATTCTTGGTAGCAAAACCAAAAGCTGGGATAGGATATCAATTTTTTGTTGTAAAATATAGGAATCAGCCCATTTGCTCATTTTGGGCGCAATGAACATGTTGCTAGGCTAGAATGATCTCTTGCACATCCTGCTTACCTGAATAACCTAGCTGCTGCCTCTCTGTAATATTGATGGTGTGCCACGGTACGATTTGATCACCCCAGATTTCAGGCCCAAACCCAACGCCTTCCTTTTGCACCAAAATGACCGAGTCGTCGTACACCACGGCCGAGGCGCGCAGTACGTGCGGGTGGCTGGTAAAGGTGAAGTCTGGCGTGATGCGGCCCTTCGGAAGGGTGATGTCGAAGGTCGGGAGGCTGCAGGTTGCCGTTGAGGAGCCACCTCCGTTGTTCACGGCATAAACAGTGAAGTGGAGAGGACGTCCTCCAAGTAGAGTCTATTACAAAGTATTGTTTATTAGTTACACATTTTGCAGAAACACTTTTGTGGTGTAAGGGAAGTCCTAAAATATGGCTTGTGCAGGCACAGGTGCAAAGTAAAAACAAGTAGCATTTCAAAGGAAAATCTCGAGGACGCTTTTTTAAATCTTTGCTCTTCTAAAAACCTATAAAAATGTAATTCGGTGAGAGATCCAGAACGCTGTAAAGGCGGATTGGGGTAAGGTACAGTCTTTTAGGGCCAAGTGATCAGGTGAAGTTGATAAATACAAACATGCAGTAGAAATGCAGGGACGGGTCTGCGTCAGACCCTATGTTAATTTCGTAATTTCGTATTTGTGCCTTAAGTTTTCGAAAACATCTTCACAGTAACAATTTACAGCAAAAAAATCATCATAATCTGCCAGAGAAACGTTGATTGGTCCAAAGTTAATGGGTCTTTGCTTTTTCTTGGGGTGAAAACACAAAACGGTGCCCCAGAAAGTCTGAGCCGTGTTATCAAATTTACCATTCTACAAAATTGCGCAAATCATGAATGCTTCTAGCTAAGATAACTCCATACTTGCGTAATGATCGCCGACGGTCCTCCAAACTCGGTATTGGAGACCACGTCACTGGCTCCAGGGGCTGTCCCAACCTGGTAGAAGAACGTTACCAAGCTCTTGTCATCGAATGCTACTATCTCAAGCTGAAAGGCCGGCTCCGTGTAGTCCAGTCCAGGAACTTGTTCAACACCGCAGGCATTCTTGCCGACTACAATATTCCTAGTCAACCCACCCTTATAGGGGAACATAAATGAAGAAGAGCAGGAGTTTTGAGAGAATCAGACATTTCCATTTCTCAGAAATGTATTGCTGTGCAGCGTACTTTGTGAAGGCGAAACAATGAAAGGTCACTCTAAAAAAAACAAATCCTTTATAAATCCACTCCAAAAGAGTGAAAACCACGCTAAATGAGTAGAAATCAGTATAAATGATGAGTTTTTCCCCCGAGGTTTTCTTGAATGGCTCCTGGGGGCAGTGAAACGTGCAGTTTTGAGTGGTTTTCACTCTCTTGCAGGGAGAGAGTTCACCGATGTGCCCCGTAAAGGAACCATTAATTAATATCATTCTGGGGGTAAAAGACCAAAGGTAATACGTGTGCCTGGCCGAAATTAAAACACATTAAACCTAAACACTCTGATTTACCAAATGCAAAATAAAACAACACAAAGTGCTGTCTTATGTGTAATATAAGATCAGGTTGAACAGTTTACCACTGGTGTGGAGTACTCTTCAATCTCTGGTGGCGATTTATCTGGTTGCCTGGTGTGAATATCAAATATGTTTCTGTGTATTGCTGGAGCCTGATAACGCCACAGCTCCACTGAAAACAAGGTTATTCTCCCAAAGAATGGGATTTTCAGTATCACCTTAGCTCGCAGACGGATTATTAGGGGAATCATTTCAATGTCCAGTTTTACCCTGAATAGGGGAAAGAGAAAGGGGTATTTAAGTAATTTTCTACGGTCCTCACGATCGAATAAACAAACTATAATTCCAAGCGATTCCAATCTCTAAATATATTCATATCACATCTGGTTTTCTGAGCAGAAAGGACATTTTTTTGGATTGCCATGCTTGGCAATTGAGAATTGGGATACTTTTTAGTAGAATCAATTAAGTATAATGTGCATGCATTTACTGCAGTGCCTTGTAGGGTGCTAGAGCGAAAGAAAGCACTCCATAAGACTTCAGCGATACCCCATAACAATTCACAACACAAATTCAGGTTTTTGGAATTGATTCAAAAGATATACTAGAGGAATTTCAAAGTAACACTTGTCTCTCACTAAGGGATATATTTTATGCATGGACTATTTGGCTGAAACTTCAACGCAGGAAAAAATGATTAAAATGGGAGCGCTCTGGAAAATGTTTTTTACACACTAACTTCTTGTACGCGAGAACAAAGGATATACCCAACGCGCAAACAAAGGAAAGTGCTTGTTTTGTGATGAGGATTTTTCTCAGAACAGGTCAGCTTGATTTTCTCAAATAGTGGGCGCTGGAAGAGAAACAGAGACCAGCGGCTGGCACGTTGGGCTAACGTTACATTGTGGATGTGTGAAATATTTCCCGATTTTTGAAACAATTTCACCTGTGTAGTGGAATTTGTCGGTTTGGATTGTGTGCGGCAACATTGAGAGGAAAATTCCAGGACATCATAGTTGATTGCTCAGGTTAAAAGAGGGCTCAGAGTCCAAAAGGGTGGGTCTTCAGAATTAACAATACAAAAACAAAGGGAAGTCTACCCAAAGAAAGGTATGCGTGAGTAATTGTTCTTCAGATCCACGAAACTCTCAGATCCACGAAATTCTTGCTTGTTCAGCCTACTGCATATCCGATGCAAGACGCCCCCACTTACCCAACATCCAGCGGGAACTTGGAAAACAGAATTTCAGTTACTGTCGGGAACTTAGTGTGGAGCACATCGGCAATCAGTTCCAACTCCCCATGAAGGACAAACCCGATGGAGACACTACCTCTTACATATGCGCCAACCACTGGTGTTATTCCAGCCTAGGGAGATAACAAACCAGTCAAATTATCCATTACATAATACCTTTAAGCTGTTTCTAAGCAGTGAAAAATCCAGTGAGGAGATGTAATACGGGTCTTAGACAACTAAGATCGAAGATTTGCAGTCGGCTAAAACCTCGTGCGCTGTTTGTGCATTATTGTTCTACACAGATTAAAAGCTGAATTCCGAAAAGAACAAATTAGAGTTGGTTGTTGAATATACCAGGAAACAAACTGGCCAGATTAAAACAGCATCAGTTGCCAATGACAGTTGTGTGTGATGATTAAGTTTTAAAATGAATTCAAGTTAGCAGGTAAAATGTTCACTTTTATATTTACTTTTGTTAACTTTCATTTGACAACTCACGCAGAGTTGTATTGCATTTTATTGTATTTGAAGTACTTGTATTTTGAACTGTTTCAACAGGTCGTTTAAACAGTGAGGTAATCTCTAAATTAGCAATTAGCTGCACAAAGATGGGTACTCCCAAGGGAGCAAAGATGTTTTTTAGGAAAGATAAGGGATCCGACAAGCAGCGAGGTGAGTGCCCATTGAAAAATTATGTTAAATGCACAAAACAAGTCATGTTCATGATATATTATTACAAAAACATTTATCGAGATACAACTGCAGGAAAAATTCATCCAGTACCGTTGCTTTCATGGATACAAGGGCGACTGACACCGGAATCTCCATATCAAAGAAACCTCCAGCATCAATGCCTGAAACAAAAGAAGGAAAAATATGCAGTAGAGGTCAACTCATACCAAGTTAAAGGTCGATTTTGAAATTGCACACGTTAACATTGTTTGTTACCCACAGGCGTTGCTCAAAGATATACAACGCACGTAATAACTTGTAAGGAGAGCAGTGGTGCTCAGCACGTTTGTGTACTGTTGCTCCCAATGGGCTTTATAAAACATAATTGGACAACTGAACATAGAGCCACTAGAATAGCTTTATCTAAAACTGAGCAAATGACTGTTTCTGGCTGACTACTCCAGGCAATAATGAATTCACACTGGGCAGCTGATCCTGACCAAGCCTACAAAGGTTGTGTTCTTCAGATGTCTGCACTGGTTAAAAGGAGATCGTGGGCTCGATTCTCACTAGAGTAGTCTGGATTAAAAAGATATTTCCAAAGGTTCCAAAAGTTTTTGAGAGAAATGTCGTAATGGGCCGACGCATGTAGGCGTATTTTAATTTAGTCGTTGAATCCCCCACTTTGTGTCTCAATTAAACTGACTGCAGTGCTTGCTTCACCGTGTTTAAAGGGTTTTGTTTCTTTTTCAGTTTTATTAAGCTTAAGCAGATGTTATATTTCTTGAGCAAAACGACAATATCAATTGGAGCATACACATCCTACGTTAAAGCAGTTTCAATGGAACAAAATGCAATCATTTAGATTTTTAAGCCACTGAGAAAGTAAACTTTAGGTTCACAGTCTGAACGGTGATTAATCAAACAGTGCAGTAGTTCCGGGGGGGCAGAAACATCATTCTATGGAAATGTTGATTAAAAAGACGTTTGAGAAATAAATCATACTGAAAATTAAAATTATGGTTTTTTTTGGCAGATAGAATTCATTGCAGAACACGGAAGCATTACAGGTACATCCATGGACAGGAAGATAATCGAAAAAACTTGAAAGGAAAATCATGGGTTGAACAAAAGAGGCCAATTTCATTGAGATCGCCAGCAAAATACATACATAATTACATACCCTCACCTCTCTGGTTAAGAACGCACTGAGGGAACAGTAACCCAATGAATATTACTTTTTGGTAGAGGAAACAGCCTCTCCTATAGAGGCCACTGGCGCCTTTAAGGGTGTAATTTTATTTTCGTCCAAATGCTAAAACCATATGTTATACCCTACCCCTGTTCATTTAGTCACTTTAAAGCCAGGGCCTCCCCTGGCCAAACAATTTTTAAAAATCTAGCCAGCCTCCATCCAGCGAATTCCCATAGGACTGCGTGTTAACTGGCCTCATGTGTTATACTGGGGATAATTTACGAAGACGGTGGCTGGGCCCGCAGTGGAATGTTTTTTTATCACTGTTGACAGCTGTCAGGAACTTGTCAGAGGCCTGTTTCGGCTACCTTTGAAGTGTTATTTTGGTTGGGGGGTGTTGTGGCTTGGTGGGCACGTGGCAAGGCCCCCCCCCAATCTAAACAGTCTGGGAAATGAGGCCCCCCTCGCTATTTGCGGGTTGTACGAACTGTAGACACTGGGGGACAACCACTGAAGTATTTAAATGCCTTTAGGAAGGACCCTGGGCTCTGAAATCCGAGAAATGATACGGCCTCTCCAAACGAGCAGCTCCAGCAACCATGTAAAAAATCGGACATAAAAGCGTAGCTGGAAGAATTGAAAACAGGATTGAATGGAAAAGAGAGTCACTGGAAACAGGCAACTTGTTCAAAAGAGGGACTCAGCCCGAGTGAGGAACTTGCTTGATTGAAACAATACCTCTCAAAAAAGGGAAAAAATCATTGTATTTTATTTTAAAAAATCAATAAATTAAAAAAAACATTAAGTGAAAGTGAAATGAAATAACATAAATTCTTTTCATCGTTTCCCCCTTTCTTTCCTATTATGTTGCAATGAAATACAAATGCTCAATGATATCACTTCCAAACTTAGCTGATCATCTATTAAAAAGATCACAGATTTTTTTCCAAACTGACTGCGGTATGGCCACGGGGTGCATGCGTGGGTGCTCTTTCCAGAATTTGAAATAACTGTCAATAGAGGGCGCCGTCATTCACGGGGATCAATAATTATGAGCTTATGCCAATGCATCCAATGTCTTTCTGTAGCCACACTGAAAACCCATGAGGACTCTAAATAAGTTCCAGAGCCTTGTTAAATTGTTTGAATTGTTTGAATTGATGAGTGAGTGAAAAACCACTATGCACTAATACCTTCAGTTGTACAGAAAAGCAAGACGCATTGTCTGAAGAAGGCACACTTTTCCATGAAATTGACCAAAGAAAGTGTCATATAGGTTTAATATATCTTTAAGAGGAATATAAACTTAGTTGCACAAAATGTGTATCTAAAAAACCCCAAAATGAACTTTTCATAAGAGAAAACTCAAAATATGGAGGACCTGATTTTTTGATCCTAGCAGAATCTTTCTCAATGGCAAAATGAGGAAAAAATTCCGCTAGGATCAAAACATCAGGCCCTCCATGTTTTGAGATTTGTATTTTAGGTCAGTGTAGTCAGCAAGCCGTTTGCAGCAGTTCTGTATTACATGTCTTTGGAAAAAAAAAAGTTGAAACTTACTGAATTCCAGGTAGATAAATCCACCGACTGGTATTCCCCAGCGAAGAGGGGGAAACAACTTGGCATGCCTCCTGGGGAAGGGAATTGTCCCGCTTAAGACGACATCAAACTGTGCAAAGTCGTCCCCTGCCTTGCCGTTAATGACGACGTCAATAAACTCTTCAATCTGCAATATATAAGTAGAATTTCTAAATTCTCTTTGCAGAAATTAATAGAAAAATCTGAAGAAACTTTAGCTTACAATGGGTCCCATTATGCAAGTAATCAGCCTCAAAACCCAGTTCTTCTTCGTTAGTCTTTTATCAAGGCTTTGCAATTAAATCGTAACGGGCATTGAAGCTTTTCGTAAACGGATGTTTAATTCGTGTCCAGGTCAAAGATGGTACAGAAATTCACGAGCTTCCACCAAAAACACGAGGCAACACTTTTGTACCCATGAATGCTTCTTTGCTAGGGTAGGTATTTCCTCTTCGAAGCCAAATCCNGACTCACAAAGGTCCTGAAGAGAGCACGTAGATCTTTCATCAGCTCAACCACACTGAAAGGGTCGATGTTCTGAAGATCCAGCGTTGCTTCCAACTCCCCAATGGTCATGTTGGCGATACGCTGACCGAGAGCATCAAGACCCTTCTCTGTTGGAGGTCAGATGTCCAAAATTGATGTCCAAACAGTGATTCAATAAATAAGTTGATATACCTCATTGGTTAAATGTATTGGCAAGTGCATTTTTTACATTTACAATATTTAAACTCCTCCATGTTCTTTCTTGAGGCACCGTTTCAGCAACGTAACCCAAATACGATAGTGCCCTTTGTAAGGGGTTTTGTCATCCGATTTGACATGAACATTTTGCTGTAGGAACATAATTTTGAGATAACTTTGCTGTCAGGGCCTGAAGCCAAGAAGTCACCAATGGAGGAAAACTTGAGACAGCGCATTTTTATACATTGTGCCGACCTCTGGCAAATGTGGAGCTGCAATAAAAGCGATATTGAGGTTGCGCTCAGGAATTACATCACAGATACTGTTACTTGTAAGTACGCACGTTTTAACTGACATGAAAATTCTCCGAATACCATTGAAATGGTTAAATAAAATTAATGTGCATTTTGTAGTATTTTTAAGAATTAACTTGCAAACGTTCTCATAGAACTTTTCCCCGATTTCAAAATGCTTATTAAGTTTCAATATCTTTGCTCAGCAACAGGTCAAGTGTATGACTTAGTCACACTTCAAAATGGCCTAATATAAACCTTTCAATACCATCTTTCATCACTGTCATGAATTAGAGACAAACTCAAAAAGAGTTGAAATTCTGCTGGACATTTTATTGACAGTGCCGAAGATTTCTTTCCATTCCTTTCGGTGGAATGTGACGCAGCGTAACTACAGGAAGTCATGAACAAATTAAGCAGCTAGCCCCAATCCCATGTTTTCTGAATGTTGTTCTAAAAGCATACGAATAAAAAGGGTAACCTCCAGCTCTACAATAATTCTCTGGCATCCTTTTACTGGCTTCAACTTTTTGTATATTTTCTACCTACGTGTTAAGCCTCCACCGATGATGATATTTCCCTGCCACGTGTCTGAGTCAGCGCCAGGTGCCAGACTGATACCAAACAAACTCTCTCCCCCTGGGAAAATACAATAGAAACTACTTCAAATGTCATCGATTACTAGAGGAAGAGGGTAATCGCTTGAGTAGCTTTCCTCACCTTTATACCCAGCGACCTGCTTTGAATCAGGGTAATACGGCAATATGTGGAATGGGTTTTCAGTACCCCACCAGATTTCTATGTGTTTCCTTAACATATTTGTCCAGAGTTTTACTCCTACCTATAAAATTGTAAGAAAATGTATTCTCCATACTTCCAGCTCTTCTACAAAGAGTCTCAAATGGAAATAAGCCAAACATTTTATGAGCTATCATTATGCCAAATAAGTAAGAAAGTAACTATCTACCAATAATCGCACTAGTTACGTTTTGATTGTAAAAACACGCCCCAAGAGCCCCAGATTACTGATCAACACTCGTTCATAATCCACTCATCATTTTGGGCACTACCTGAAGTCAACGAGACGGAGAGGTCTCTTCTCCTTCTTCTTGTAACTCGAGTTTCATCTTCCTCGCCGAAGATGAGAAGAGCCATAGAGCGACGGCTTTCCGTGCCCGAATCAGCAACCCCTGCCATAACAAAAGTACATTTGTATTCGCATTTTTGTAAACTCAGCTCTGCCTTGCAAGGTAAAAGCCAAGCAATAAAGGAACTGATACTTCTACTGGGGAGCTAGGCTGGCCTTGTGAGGCACCCTGGTACAGTGGTTCTTTCTTCAACTTTGGGTTCTGATCCAACCCAGGCTAAGGTGCTTAATACCGTTTCCGTGCTTAATCGCATGTTTGACATGGAGTATAAGTATAAACGTCTGTGCGTGAGAGCTGGCACGTGTATGATGCCGGTAAAAAATTCGAATCTTGCACAGTGCAAGGAAAACATAAATCACTATTGTGGGGTGCCTCGTAAGTGTTTTGCTGATTAAACATGTTCTGGATTCCTTAAAATTTCCAGGGTACTAGGACTTTGTTTAAAATTGAGTAAGTGGATTCGAAATTCATTTGAAACGAACACTATACATGCTGTCCAACTAACTTGGCTTGACAGCCTTTTCCGGCTGAAGCTTTGTCATGATGTTGTCCTCCGCTGAATACGAATTGGCGTCTCCCTGAAGAATGGCCCTAAAATAGTCCCTGGCCTTGTCTACAGCGTTAGCTGTGAGGTCTTCCATGCTGTCCGTTCCCTCAGCAGAGTCGCTGGCGCTGTGCAGGAACAGAACAAAGAAATCAGTAATAAGATTGACATTCATACGGACCGGAAAATATATTAAAGTGAAGATCGGGCAGCAAGTTTTTGAAACAGACTTGATGATATGAAATGCCTTTGAAGAGTGTAATCATTAATCTGTAAAAACTATGTAGCCACCCATCAATCTATGCAACCTCCCAAACTCTACGTTTGGTTTTTTCGATAGATAAAGGGGAATTTCACAAACAATGCTTCACTGAAATATTCATACCTTTCTCATTAAAGATGACTTCTGAAAATTTTGTTCTGCAGATTTTCAGACAGAAAGTGCGTTTAAAAGATTAGACCTGGGCGCATGTTGGCACCAAAGATTTCAATGAGTTGAAGAAATTGCCTAAGGACAGTATTTTTCAAAACATACGTTCTGAAGAACTTAATGCAGTGGTACAAATAGGCCGATGATTTTTACAAGTAGAATTGCTCAGTCCATACTCACAGTTCCTCGACACTTCTTCTCCTCCTTCTTGTGCTGCTGCCTCCATCTTGATCACTACACCCTGAGAACATGGCATCTTGGAGAATGACGGTAGGATCATTACATGTATCCCGCCAACAGAGACTGATGTCCAAATCCACATCATAGACAGAACTGTGTGGGCGCTCTATATTGTACCTTTAATGGACGAAGATATAATGTATATAGGAAAATATGATTGACTGAACAACATGGTAAGATCTCGGCAAGCTTTGGTGTCTTGATCGTCTCTTGCTCACCAAACCTATCCACGTGGAACAGATAATCAAGTCACGAGCCATGTGACGAGTTAAGGCATTGGTTTGTATAATCTAATCCGCCTATGAATTTATTATGATTTCCTTCAGACTGGACATAATTGCCATGGACATATGACTGTATCAACTACAAACTAATGTGAAATTAAGACTGGGTGTTCCATCCGGCAAAATAACTTTCCACCAACCCACTCGACACGCCTGTCCTTAGTTTAGTGAGACTGACCTTACCTGATTTTTACAACTCCAAGCTTTTTCTCAAAGGAATGAGCTGGTGAGATAATAAGATATAAATCAAGAGTAGAACATTCGCACTTGATGAAAAAAGCGTTAGGCAACATTAAAAACTTGTATATAAAACAGGTATTTGAAATTTCAGGCTATCACCGTTCCACAGATATAGGATTGGGAATTCTTGCATGCCAACTAGTCATTAAACATAATGACATCAAGTTTTATTCACATGTGCGATTTCCTATGTGGGCTTAATGGATCGTTTTTCGCCTCACTGCTAAAGGAAAACGCAAATGTAAGAAAAGCACGACGTCATTGTGTTAGAGTCCTACAAGGAAATGTCATTCTTAGGGAACATGCATTGATGAGAAGATAGTGCTAACAATAATGAGAAAAAACTGGGAATTTAATTCAATTAATGTTCAGTGCTTGCATTTCAGTAATGGAAAATTCAGTTGAGCCCCATGGCCAAGACTTACATCAAGATTACCTTCAGTCGAGATCTGGAACACTCTCAGTGTTTGTATGTTTTGAATTCTGAGACACGATTTCTCGTCAAGATATGAATCCATAGAGACACTCACGAATGCTACAATTTTTCGCAACTGTTCAACAAGACACAAAAGAAATCGTCCAAAAAAGACATCTCACTTACTCTGAAGTAGTTGAATGCCTAGCACCTCTTCATGACTCCACTTCTCAAATCCAAACGAGAAAGTCTGAGCACAGGGGTCTAGCTTCGCCCAGAGGGAAAATGACCTCTGGACAATGCCCAGGTCAAAGTTCAAGCAGCAGCTGACCCCAAGACATGACTGATCCAGGGAGCAGTACGACGCAACGGATGATGGTAGAGAAAGGGAACTGCAACTTCCTGTAATAATGTAATCTGTTTTTAATTTTTTTCCTTTCATGTTGAAGCACTGGGTGAAAGTGAATCTCGAGTTCGTGACGAATACAGACTTCCAGGGCTATGGCTGCTGTCCAATTTGCGCCAGGATTTTCCAATGGGCGAAGACTCACACCTAGCTCTAGAAAACAGATTTGGGTGCAGCCTCAACCTTGAGGTATCTATGAATTGCTAACCACAATAGGACAATTCAAACCGATTGATAAGTAGCCAGGTCCAACACCAATCCGTAACAAGTCCAATTTAAAAAAAAGCGCCAGTAAATCTAAAAATCAAGTAAAAACTTTCAAGTGATGGCTCAACAGAAATATTTTTCAATTGAAAACTTGACAACCCATCATTGGTGTATGACCTACATCCGATGACGTGATGTTGACTTGACTTCAGGATAGCTCAGAAAAGAAAAAAAGTTTATTCGGAGGCATGTGAGCAGCCGTAGTGCAGGTACCTTCAAAAACTTCTTATCTTAATGCTTCACCTACTGGATTTAAAATTGGTAAAATTGAACCATTAACTCAATGAGTTAAAGCGGCACAAGTGAATATAGTTTTGATATAATATCCGTAACATGCCTGTGTTTCTTGGTGTGATCTGCTCCGGTGGACCAGTGCATTCCTGTGGTAAGAGCACATCAGCACTGACACCAAGACGGTTCACCACTAGACCACTTGCCAAATCTCGAACATCACCTGGAAACATGGGGAAAAATTCAGTAATTGTAATAAGTGTCAGGAAAACCATTAGGCCTATCATTAACTTTTTTGAATAGAGTTGGATAAAGTTGGTTCTCAGTGAACAAATACTTTATGGAGAGGGGCTTAGATAAACAGATTTTAATGTTAACCAGTTCAATTCAACTTGCTGCTTCTGTGTTAGTTCCGTTTTCAAGATCAAGTTTGCAAAACGTACCCAAATCCTGAGCCCACTCCAACGTCCGGTTTTGATTGCAGAATGGTATGGGTGCCATGAAGTCCTGGAGAACGACTATGTCTGGAGCACAGACTCCTGCAATGCAGAGATGGATGGAGAGGGAGAGGAGAAAGTTGCGATTGTCAGCGGTCTTATCGACGATGAAAGTGAGCAAGACAGCATCACTCAGCCTTTCTCCTGCCACCTGGCCCCACGCGTAACTGGAGAAAGTGAAAAGAAAAAAGTATTCAGTGCTAAAATATAAACGATTTATCATTTTCAATATTTGGAAGTTATCGAAATTCAGACTACTGGGATCCCTCAAAGGTATCAAAGCTAACACTGATCCCTGCGATAAAGTGGAAAACAAACCGTACCCCCAGTTGTCTAATAAAGGAAAATATGGCACTTCACGAATCATAGACTCCCAAAGGCAAAACATCTCGATGGTGGTGAGAGATAGGGATGGTTTCAAAAGTTCAATAGACACCAACACAAAGATGGCACGATAATTTGTCCATTCAGATAAAAACTACTCAAATGTACTTAGCACCATATAGCATAAAACTGTTTCAAATGCGCTGTCTGACACAGAGCCCCTTGTAGGTAGTAACAAGCCCCCCATTCTGATACGGAGTAAAACTCTTGATTATAATTTTTGGTCGCGTTATACCTGAGAAGGGTGACATTGTAACTCCAGTTTTCAAACCCCACACTCAGCTTGAAATCACAGGGGTCAACAGTCAGCCATGCCCTCAAGGTTCGACTAGTGACACCAAGGTCTGCTAACAGACAGCACTCCACCCCTAGGCAGGCATCTGAATAGTGACATACACCTCCCGACTGAAGGGTAGGCAGAGAGGGAAGATGTGGACATTCTAAAGGGGAAAAAAGAACAAATGAATTATTTATTGAGGCAAACCTATACCAGTACAAATCTTAAATGGCAGGTTTTTCCCATGGGCAACTTATGGCAGAGTAGCCCAAAGAAAGTAAAAGAATGGTCACATGATCATACAGCTGGTATTTTGTAGGAAATATTCGTTGGTTTAAAGAGGGGAAACAGTACATATACGGATCCACGGTCCTAGCCCTTACCTTCAGACTGTCTTGGTTGGAATACAGGAGGGCACGGTAAGGCTGAGATTAGAAGAGATGGTAAGCCAAGGGCCTGAGCCACAGTCTGAAATCCAGCATCCAAGCTTCCCAGCTGAGAGATTGAAGTTATTCCTTAGAGTAAAGAAAACAATTATCAACAAGAGTAATACGGGTAAAAATAAAAACAAAAGAAATTTTGCCATCGCTTCTATTGTCTTGCCGTGGGTCCTCAGTTGTATGCCCGTGCAACTTAAGGCACGAAGCAAATTCAATAATTCTGAAATATTGACAACGTAAATGGAATATTGGGCTGTCCTCTGAGAATGCACTTTGCCTGCAGCTTGTGAGGGATTGTATTTCCATCGATGTTTTGGATATTTAATGCACAGGATCATGTTTCAATAGAGGCAAGATGAAACAAAAAACAAAAATAAACCGCAACCAGGAGAACCAACCAAACGAAACAAAGCAGAAGACATCCACGGGTACTTGAATGTGCGTACCAATTGTTCCTTCCCTTTGTGTAGCGATTTATTTCATGATAAGGCATTAATAGGCTTTTGAAATGATAATCATACGTGGTAAAGTATTCCAGGAGAGGGTCCCATTAGGGTAGCACATGGGAAGAGGGGATACTGCGTCATCCAAGATCCGGATTTCTCCAGTGCAATTTCCATCGATGCACGCTTCCAAAGACAGGCTGACTGATATTTCTCCGTTTGCTAGCCCCAGAGAGTATCTGCATAGTCACATCAATAGATTAAAAAACAAAACCAAAAACGAAAAATAAAACGCAGATCTGATTAACAAAGTTCAGACAGTGTGTGATGATTAAAATTACACGAGGTCTTACGAAGTGTGTTATTCAGTAGCCAAAGACTGTTGTGAATATATTTTAATCAGAATACTTATCAGTTTTTTTAAAGGTTTCCTCACGTATTTAGAAAATTCTACTCCAAAGATAGACCCACCACTGATAGTTGGTTATAATTGATTTGATCTACTATACAATTTCCAATAAGACGAAAGTATGGCTATAATATTGAAGATGGAACAAGTCGTCCACGAAGTTTTCGGAAAGGGGATGGGAGTATATTGGGGAGGGGGCTCAGGGAGGGGTCAGATATTGTTCGACACCAGGGGATAATGTTTCAGGTGGAACCGTTTTTTGTGATCGCCTTTGCCGTCGGAAACAAGTATGGTTCAGGGGGAAACGACAATTTTGACGTTTGACGACAACATGACAAACAGAATGTTGTCACTCACACCTACGTAGACCTTTCTGGGTAAAAGTCTTTTACCATTAGTTTCTACGAAATCAGAGAAGTGACAAAATCATTTACCGAAGTTTGACAAAGTTTCCAATGACAATCTGATGACTGATGTCAAAATCGAGCTGTGAGAGGGATTTGCTGTGCTGCCAATTGCCGAACTCTAGAGTCAGCTTGCCCAGGCAAGGGTTGATCACCATAGAGGTACTGAATGCATGATTCAGTGGTCCAAGGCTCACATCCAGGCAGCACCGTACACCAAAGCAACTGTTGATGATACTGCAGTGGGCCAAGGTGGCTAAGGTGCCGGGAAGCTGCATGCTGGGACAATCTGGAATATTTTGAAGTTATGCTGTGATTTGTAATTAAGATGTCTACTGTTCATATCTTGGCAACATTTTATGCTCAAGCAGGTTTTGAAGATTGCCACAATGCCTCCTGGAGCTTAAGTATTTAGAAGCTCAACGCTGGGACAATGGTGAACTCCAGCTTGTATTGTTGAATTATCTGAGATTCATATCCAGAATTTTGCAATATGATAACCAGATCCAACCATCAACCACTTTTAATAAATAAGGTAAAATTCAACTATTTTAGAAATAAAGTAGTGTTATCGTATTCACTATTCAGTTATTGAGTTCCATAACGAGTTGACACTTAAGGTAGTAATGTAGAATGAACTCACTGCCATAGGACTGGGGTCCTCTGGGGTTAACACATGGTTGACTGCTGAAAAACTCTGGGTTGATTCCGAGTCGTGATAACAGCGCCAGCGACGCTCCCTGGATGACTTGTCCTGACAGTGTTTCTATGAAACCATCAGCTGGATCGAAGACAGGAAAATATCAATTATGTGTGACTTATGAGAGGAAAACTGGGTTTTTAGCAATTAAATATGCGTCATAAAGTCATAAAGGTTCGCTGTACATTGGGAAAGGAAGAAATTTTTGATCTTGCATAATCAGCAAGTGGATCAACCATCCTTGTTGGACTGATAAAGGGTTTCTTGTGCAAAGATATCTAACCCACCAGAAATGCTGTAGTTGCTGAAGCCTGGGTTGCACACGGGGATGGGTATGTTATGCTGCAGGTCAATGTTACTGCACAGCCCATCGATGCAGTATTCAAGAGTCATATTCATCTCAAATTCTTTGGAGTCATTCCGCTTGTCAATAGAGTACCTGGATGAGAGGCAATAGTCACATAACTATTGATTTCTGGTATTCACTCATTGTCGGTACATATTTTCACCACCAAGCAAACAATTATATCATTTCCATTGTCTTCTTTTCTTCAAGATATTTCACAGGCCGTATGGGCTTTAGTTTTGGAACTATATATTGCCATACTTGCAGAAGTATGATTATTTTTATAATGCCAACAGTGAGTGTGAATATACCAAAGTCAGGAAGAAACATTCCAAAGAGGCAAAATAATAAAGTATTTTCACGTCAAAGTAGGTTTTACAATTCACCTAGAACAAAACAAATTGTAAAAATAATACCTCTCTTTACACTGTGCAACGTCATATTGCGCATAAAATCCGATGCAAATACCAAATCAAAGGAGGGTTTTAGACCATTATTTGTAAAGCATGGTGTGCTTTGGCCCCTCACCTCAAGTTAATTCCTGAAGTAATTGAAACGGTTCTCTCGTCTCCTGAAACAAAGAACAAAATATTTCTTTGAGTAATGTGTTCTGTCAAATTGAAATTAAGGCTTTTGTACCAATGATGCTGGAAGAGGAAAAATTCTAATTCATAAATAAAGATTTGTAGACGCACCCATGTTTTGTCTGTCTTATTTTTATATCAAAAAGTGCCTAATTTCCCAAATCTACAACTTAAACGCCAATTATTCAAGTTCTACACGTATGTATTTCCTGCTTCAATGAAAAGAGCAAATCCAGAACAATTAGTTTTATGAGTGTTGTCTAGTGCTAATTTTGAGACTTTTGACAAGAGGATCAAGGGTTAAAATCCAGCAGTTAGCCACATTTAACATCCTTGTTTGGCTTAACTCATTCTACCCGTCTCTTTCCACCTGCAAAATTATAGGCACTTGCATTATCTTGCATTCCACCTTTGATAGACTGGCATGGCATTTGGGCAGACAGAAATATCTCCGGCCAAGAACAACCGGAGAAGAAACATTGGACAAATCAGTGTTCAAAAGTTACAAGTTCCTGGATCCATCTGCTGAATCTGCTCTCAGACAGGACAGACTCAGGGGAGGGGACAAAAAAGATTAAGAAATGGGAACAATGCTAACAAATTACTGAGGAGTGCACCAATATCACTGTAAACATTGTATGTCAGGTTATCTGCCATTATCGCTTGTGCTTGTCTACAAAAATGAGACATTAGAAAATCTTGGGCCTGACAACCCCCTCTCAGGCCTACCCCACTGATAGCTGAAGACAGAGCCATGGAAGGACCACTTCTCCAGGCCCAACGTGAAGGTGAAGTCGCAGGGGTCAAACTTGAACCACGTCGTTGCTGAAACATCTGCTATCTTTAGGTCCAGGTCCAGGCAGCATCGCAGCTCCGTGCAGGTTTCACCAATCAGGGAGCAGTTGCCAAGAAAACTAGCAGAACTGGCACAGACATCTTCACAGAAACACCAAGCAATATTGACAAAAACAAACCATTGTTTGGCATTTATAAAAGTGAAGGGCGAGAGTAACATTAAGTTGATGTGAGTGACCAGAGGGTAACACACCTGCCAATTTGTGCCCAAATGTCCTCTTTATGGTTCAGCCACTGCATTCCCTGATATTATGATAAAATTTGGCCGAATTCGATTGGACCGATAGTTGCTTTTGCAAGCAAGTCCTTAGTATAACACAAACGGTACGGTCTTATACGGTCGCTACTGTTATAATAATAACTGCAGTAAAAAAAACAAAACAGTATAAGCCTGAAACTATTTTCACAAACCTCGTCTGTGACGGGAGCACGCCATTCCTGTGAGGAAGCCGGTCATGTTTAGATGGCGTAAGGCAGCGTCTATGGCAAACTGGCCAATATTACCTCCAAGGTAAGCCAGGAAGCCTGATACAGTGCCATCACCTGAGTGATTAAAAAGTGAGAACCAAAATTTTGAGAAAGAAAAATCAAAATGAATTCAGAGCAAGACGTGTTAGTCTCTCTTTTCCACCGTCACGGAATACAGGTGTATGTGGACTCTTTTGTTTAATTGGGAAAGATTTTAACAAGGGTCTGTTGAAGAACTCTTTTTGAGCGTAGAAATTCAGAAGAACTGTGCCCTTTTTACACTTGTTTTTCTCACTGTGAATGTGTCGAAGTTGAAGAACTTGTTTACTAACTCTGTATATTACTACAACAATTTCCACAATTCCAATATTTACAAGCCGTACCAGGCAGAGTAAATGAATCTTCAGTGTTGCACAGTGGTATTGGAAGACGACTGGCTGAAAACACGGTGAGAGTGTCACAGGCTCCATCTACACAGAAGACTAAGGAGAGGTCTACTTCAAACTGCTTGTCTTCAATGATCTTGGCCACGCGCCATCTACATGATAAATATATACATTGCCATGTCAACAAAACAGCATGAAATTTTTAAACCTTGGACGTTGCGCTCAACTTACACGTTGGAAAGATGCGAGGTAGCCGCGTCTGTTTTTAATCTGACGTTAGATCGGCTGGATGCAGTGATTTATTTTAGACTGTTGCCACATTTAAAACATGATGATAGCCTCATTTGCGGTACATACCTTATTTTCAGAACGTCATTCACAACCTCCTTAATGGTATCTCCCAAAGGATAATGAAACAAGGTGACGCTTCGTTCCCACTTCTCAAAACCAACTGACAGGCTGTAGTTGCAGGGATCCAGTATGACCCAGGTATTGATGCTGCGAGTAGTTATCTTGAAGTCCATCTCCAGACAGCATCGGATGCCCAGGCAGGAATCGGTGAGGGTGCACGATAGGAAGTCGGGAAGCTGGGTTACATCGACTCCTGGACAGCCTAAATTAGAGGGAAAATCAAGGACAAGAAAGGAAGAAATCAATGACAGTACAAAGATTAGAAATAACAAGAGGGAAAGTCAGGGAGCTTTGTAATAAATATCAAGGGCCGGACAACCTAAGAAACTGAGAACATCAAAACAAGAATGGCAGTTAGTGATAGTTGGTGACAGAGTAACAGAGGAAGTCTAGAAGATTGGTATCATCAGCGACTGGTAAACCTAACAAATGAAGGAAATCAATGACAGAGCAAGAGCGACAGCTAGCAAGCTGGCTAATATCAATGGCTAGGCAGCCTAATCAGCTACAAGTTTTGGCAAAAGGCAATGGCAAGTTTAAATGTTAGAAATTAGGAAGCTGAGAATCAACCTAACAAATGACTCGATGTAAGTTATTTATATTTTACCCAAGCAATTCCAGTCTCTTCGAGTTCTGCCCAGTGGGGATACAGCCCCCCTTCTACTAAACATGCATGAGTTAACCAATGTGATAATCATAACTTACCACTTTTTAAAGAGCCTGGTGTTCCTCTATCACACTGTTCACTCTGTAGATATTGCTGTAGTGGATAAATATGAGATCTGATAACAGTGAGGTAACAGTTGATACAATATCGTAATGTGCTCACCTCTCCAAATAGCCACAAAAATTAATGTATGCTGGCTTTTATATGCGCGCATGCTTGCCTTTCTCTTGGAAGTGTGGTATGCACAAACAACATACTAAAATATCAGATGGTGGGGTTTTTTACAAAAATTGGTCTACTAATTGTGCCTGTGTGTTTAAGAAACCTTGCGTGGGACAAGCAAAGTAGGAAGTACCCCAAAAGCTTCTTGTGGGGTACCTTAGCGATACCAAACAATGACTTCCTGAAAAAGATATCGGGATTTACGCAAAAAGGGAAAATTTCCAAAATTTACTAATCGTCACAAATTGACGTTTAAATGATATTTATTTGGTACAAATTTCAACACAAGAATTTAATTTATATTACGATTTCTTGCCCTTACCCAATGTTCATGTTTAAAAACATTGTATACTCAGTGCTTGTTAGAGAGCTTGCGAAAAAACTGTTATATAAACTAATATCTCCCCAATGCAAAGTGCATCTTGAAAATAGTTTGCAGTATCCACCGCAACACCTGCATCGGACTGGTTAGCCGATCCTGGCAAGCTTGGTGGTCAAGTAGTTTAAGACATCTGGACTAATGAGCAGGAGGTCGTGGGTTCGAGTTCCTCCCGAGTAAGCTTGTGAATAATTCAGCAAGCTCTCGGATAAGCAATGAGTATACAGTGTTTATAAATATATACGTTGGGTACGGGCAAAAAAAGTAAGATAAATTAACTCCTTGACACCAAGTACATCTTGAAAGCAGGAAATGAACTTTAGGGATAACGGGAGCACCTTGAAACGTGCACTTTGAGCCCTGATCTTGTGTTTTTTGTAGGACAAAGAAAATATCCCGAAAGACAAAACGAAAACGTGTGTGCATAAACCAGGAATTAGGCAATCCTGTAAAGTGTAGCGTAATCAAGGGAAGGTGTACGACAGAAAACAGTCCCGAACCTTAGTTATTTTTTACCATACCAGACACTGGCCTAAACTCAGTTATTATACGGGTAAATAGTGCTTATGGGTTAGGCCGGTGCAACAGCACAGCCAGTTGAACGTTATCATTAAATTCCCCTTAAAAATGGTGTTGAATTGTATACGGGCAAGCAACGTTTAAGAAAACATGCCACGTGATGTTCTGATTCCATCTTAATAACGAGTTTCTCCAATCCACGTGACAGAGACAACCCTAGAAACCAATATGCACTCACACTCAGGCCAAATTTCTCCATTACAAGGCCAATGGCAGAGTCTCCAATGCGACCACCCAGTTCTTGTATAAATCCCTCCACTGTTCCATCACCGGGCAAGGTGAATGAGCTGACGTTGGTGTTGCACAGAGGTATGGGAACCCAGACGTGATCCAGTACCGGAGTTGTGGTGCAGGTATCATCAATGCACAGCACGATGTTAAGGGTCACAGAGAAGACTTCTTTTGCTGTCAGCTTGTCAATAGAATACCTTCACATTGACAGAAATTATACATGTATTGTCAAAATATTAGTACCTGAATCACTATAGTGCCTCAAAGGTACATTCATGTCCGTTTCAAAAATTCTCCTCACCATATTGGAAAAAAATCTCAGCTGTGATTTGAAAACCAGTCATCAATCAAAGTAAAATAATCGGTATAAAACTTTTGCAGTTCTAAATCAACGACAGATTTGCTGTGCATCAGTTCAGTCGATCTCATTGGTGGGTGTACAAGGCAAAGTTACGGAACACATTGAGACAAATATTCAGTTGATCGAAATTAAATCATGAACCTGTGATTTTTCAAGGACAAAGGGGGTTTCCCATTCAAAAGGTGATAACTTGAATTGAGAACTCGAAAAGTTGAGAAACGGGTCGTTCAAAAACCACTTAAACGTACCAGTTCATTCAACTCCCAAATCCTAACAAGAACACTTACTTCAGCAATACAGCATTGCCAATGTTCAGAGTTTCCACGTTTCCCCAAGTGTAGCTGAAGAGCGTGGCATTAAGCTCCCAACTCTCAAAAGCCACATAAAGCTGGTAGTTGCACGGGTCCACTTGGATCCTTGTTGTCAGCATGAGTTCTGTTACGATGAAGTCTAGATGGATGCAGCATTGGATGCCTAGGCAACGGTCGTCGATGGAGCACTGGACGATGTTCTCAAGGAATGGCAAGGAAATCGTCGGGCAGTCTGTTAAAAAAGATTCGTTGTGGATACAGCGTCTCTTAGAGATGATAAATTTTGAGTGAATCAATGGAAATCGGCTGACGTCCCTCTAGTAATGAAGCTATATTCTTGCATGTTCTTTTACATTTTGGGATCCACAGTGATTCAATCCTGAATTTGTATGTGAATCGAGATGTATGTAGCCTGAAAAGGCCTCAATAGTATGTGTGTTTCCGTGATGCCATCTCGAAATGTTAATTTGGGCAGAAGGCTGCCGGTTAAATTTGAAAACTGGCCTCTTCAATAATGCTTCACAATGCTTTAAATTACTATAAGTATAAACTTGTCCCAAATTATATTGTTTGTAGGCTGAACGTCAAAGCAACGTAAGCTCAAATATATTCCATGCCCGTGCCATATTACAAACATGTTTAGTTGACACCAAAAAAACCTTATCAATAATTTGGGACTCTCCAATCTATCATAGAGAGTGTCGAAGTCTCAAACATAGAATATTGACAATGTTCTGAAGACGGTAGGACTCCAGGAATAGTATTCACTTAAAGTGGTTTTCTATTACCGGCCCATAACAACAGCGCACAGCAGGGATACGGTGGCCGCATAATACCACTCCATAACAGACACTATAAACAAAAGCAACGGTTAAACTTATTTTCAGCATATGCAATGACGTGAATATCTGAAGCCAAATTTTTACTTTAATAAACCTCAGTTATAAATTATACAACCTTTTTAGTCCTATTTTTCGAAGATAAAGATTTGCTTCTCCAAAACTACTTCCAAATCTATTATAAAATCACCGACTCACGGGTGTTTGTCTCTGAAGCCAACTGGCATGTTCTTCCAATTATAATATCCTGCAAAAACAAAAATACACAACAGGCTATTTTCAGTGAGTAATTTGCAAAAGAATGAAGCCATTAGTTAATTTAAGTCAATATCGTAGAAAAAGTGAAAATCGATCCAAAGCAGAAACAGCGTCTGTTTGAAAGCCTTAAAGTATCTAATACCAAAAAAATTCTGGAATCCTTAATTTCAAAAGTGAAAAGGGTGGGAACATGAATTCATACCTGTAAGTTGAGTCGTCGGAGGACCAGCTGGATGGCTGCCTGTCCAACATTGTCTCCCAGCTCCTGCAGGAAACCTCTCACCGTGCCGTCACCAGGCAAGGCCAGGGAGGAGTTGGCATTGCAGATGGGCATTGGGATTCTCTGGTCTGTCATGATGGGAAAGACTCTGGTAACACCGTCGATGAGGAGGGAGAAGGCAAAATCCACTTCGTATTCCTTCGTGGCATCCAACTTGTCGATGGAAAACCTGGACATTATGAATGAAAACTTCCGTCAATTTGTCAATGTATCTGTCAATTTGCGTTTTTCTACATATTTTACCTCTTTTGCCTTCTATGTTTACAGTGTTAGAAATGTATTTAGTTAGAGGGTGTCAGTCCGAGGCGTCGACGTCAACTCTAACCTGGTTTAGTATTACAAAATCAGCTTCTTTTAAGTTGGATTTTCAGATCTCCTTGCAGTTAAGAAAGCATTTACAGATATTTGAGATAAAGTCCTTACACTTACTTCTTTACATTTACTTGATTTAGAATGTCAAAAGCTAATTCTGGAGTCTTCTTTAAAGTGGGATTAAAAAAAAATCTACACTCACATAACACTCAGAGCATTTCCGATCACGAAATGTTCCATCACTCCCCACTCGTAGGAAAACAGTGACGCGTTGAAGAACCACTTCTCCAGTCCGACAGACATCTTGTAGTCACATGGGTCGATAATAAACCAGGTCTTGGTGCTGATCTGAGTTAGTTTGAGATCCAGCGTTAGACAGCAGTGAAGACTTGTACAACGGTTGCCGATACTACATGACAAGCTGGGAATGTTGTTGGGAATCTGAACTGGACAACCTGAATCAGGAATCCCAGAAGCATTGGTGAGACTAATTAAGCAGAATAACTTACTGAAATAGATACGTCTTCAGTGTAAGTTTAATTATTATTATCTCCTATGTTTGTGTCATTGCAGGGTATGTGGCGCCAAATGAAAGAGTAAGCGCTGCCTTAATAGTATGTATATGAAAAATTGTGTAAATATTAACAATAAAACAACGGGCAATTTTAAAAAAAGAATTTCAGTGATTAAGTGATTAAGACTTACTTGCAGATACATGTTAAATCTGGTGAAAGACTGCAAATAACTGAGCATACACTGGCTATACGTAGCGTTATAAAAATACACACAATACATTACATGACACGTCCTGACAGGACTCTCTTGCAAAGATGAGCGGTAACAGAAAGCGGAATGCGTTTAAGGCATATTGCGGACCCAATCAGAAAGTAAATGATTATACCGACGACATATTAAAATATATGTTGCTCCCCACGAGGAATCGAAGCAATTGAAGAGTACTTCATTCTTTACCTTTTTATTTGATTGGCCAAAATTTTCAGTCTCCAAATGGTTTCTTTTGAAAATTCGCTCATATCACTAATTACATTAGTTCATTATCTTAGAGCGCTGATTGTCTACTCTCAGCGTCAGCAGTCCCAGAGAGCACCGCGGAGTTGCATATTTTATATTGTGAGGATTTACATAGGCCTACGGTAGTCCATTTTGTCAGTGTAATACTGTATACTCCTCTGTGTAAATGGGCCCTTATGGAAAAACACTACTGAAGTAAAGTTGGAGGTCGGTCATGGAGTAGGTATCATTCAATACAGGTGATCAGGAATATATAGGAATTGGTTAAGTTCCCGGTTGACACTTTGGGGTTCCCTCTTCCTGATAAATTTTTCCAACATAAAAATAGAAGATGCATGTTGAGATCTTGACTGTGCAAATATTCTTCTCAGGTAAAATTCTTTCTTCTGAAAGAAAATTTGTCAATACTTACTTTCATTGCCAGCTTCCTGCGCTGGGGGCAAATTACAAGCGTCTCTGGACAGGAAACTCTGTGAACCAAGCAGTGGAAATCAACGCAAATTAACTCTTAGAATTTGTTTAGTGTTAATTCTAGACTCTTCAAACCACAATGTACAAAAGATAAACTTCCCAAGCACAGTAACTTTCTGTAATTTACTCTTATAATGGAGCAATGGATCGAGTAGACTAACCTTCAGTCCCAGATAATCTAGTACCAAATCCACTGCTGCGTCTGTGACCTGGCCCCCTATGCTCTCCAGGTAGCCAGAGACAGTGCCATTCCCAGGCAAGGTGAGAGTGGCATTAGGGTTGCAGATCGGAATGAATACGTGGGCTGCCTGGAGCAGGTGAATGGGTCTGCAACTGCCGTCTATACACAGGATTACAGACAGGTCTATCAAGAACTCCTTCTGTGCCTTCAACTTGTCAACGTTATACCTGAGTAGATTGAAGAAAGTACGTGAGGCATTGCAATAAACTCGAACCATTTTCATGATGCTCCTTCTCGATAGGTTTAGTAACAAAGATACGGCTTTGTCAGAATCAATAATGGCTCGGAAATACTTGCGTTGAAGGGCTTGTGGTTCCTGCCTTCATAACCACATGACTTCAACTGTCAAGTGAGTATTTTAAGCTGCAACGAAAACTGTCAGAAAGCGCGCACCCAATTCAATATTTAACTTACGCTATGTGCACGGAATCACTGACATCAAGCGCCTTATCCACTCCCCAGTCGTATTCAAAGATTGTGACATTCTTTGACCACGACCCCAGCCCAACAGACAGTTTCAATTCGCAGGGGTCTAGAAGAGCCCAAGTGGTAGTGGACAACTGAGTGAAGATCAGGTCTAGGGAGGCACAGCATGTCAGGCCAAGGCATCGGTCATCCACTGTGCAGGTCAGGAAGCTGGTCGGAGATGGCAACCTCAGAAGTGGACATTCTAAGGGTAAAACAAATGTCAATGTCTCTGGCCAATATTGCGGTGGGTTCTTGCAACACTGATGGGAGTTAGCAAAACAAAAGTATATCTTTAACACTTTAATATGACAACTGTGTACGTTTTTATTTGTTTAGAGGGGAAGCCTGCTTAAGCCCGAAAGGCAAAATACCAATAAAAAAGAAGGGCAGGGCATATTCACCGTTTTGCAAGATCGCCATCGTAATAGATAAAAACAGGGAATAAACTCACTGTTTTCACTTGGTGCAAGTACCTCCATGTCACACTGCTGGTTGTCAATATATTGCTGGAAAAAATAAATGCAAAAACATCCTGGCTACATTTATCTTCATCATACAAGACTCATATCAAAGTTTTCCGATGATCAGAAGCGCAGGAGCGACATGTTTGTTGAGAAGGCACGGTCTATGAAGGCCTGTTTAAAGGGATGGATAGTTCAGCAACAATCACACGTCTGCTCGAGGGCCACAAATGTTCTAGGAAAGGCTGATGAGAAAAAGCCTTACGGCAAGCAACCAAGGCCCATGTACGGGTGCTATTCGTTTACCCAAGCGCTGTTGTGTTATGAAAGCATAAACACGAGACCGGAAGTACACACGTATTGTGATACACATAGAGAGAGATAGTTGATTGGTTAGAGCATAGAGCTACAAACCCTAGTTGATTGGTGAGAAACGTCTGTTTTGTTCATGTGTAAAGTACATGATAGCCCAAACGTGTCCGCAAAACTGAGGGCACAACGAAAAAAGGAAAGTGATATCGCCTAACAAAATATCTCACTTTCATGAACTATTTACAGATGTTCCCACAAACCACTTTTCCATGGATACAGGGTATTCCATGGATACCTTTTAAAGCATTTCACTCACATCTCCAAACTCATTTCCGCATCTTATCTCTTAGGCACCCTACTCCCCTAGCAGTCTCATCAAAACCTTCTACTTCATGGTTCCGAAGACAATACTGTTTTATACGTTTTCCTCATTCCGCTTCTTTCTGATATTCCTTGCATGTAACGATATTCCCTTCCACCTGTGATCTATTTAAGCGAAATGTAAATAGCTACCTATCTCTATGGTCTTCGTCTATCGTCTCACTCTATGATATGGAGTTGGCACCAGTTGCCCATTGGCCTTGAACGTCAAGACATTTATATAACAGGTTCTGCCCTTAAGACATTTATACTAAACTTATACCTGGATTCCAAGTTTTCGAAGGCCAGCCTGGACAGCCAACTCCCCGACGTTTCCAGCAAGATCCTGGGCAAATCCCGCAAAGCTACCATCTCCTGGCAGCTCAAAGGAGGCGTTGAGATTACAGAACGGGATGGGGACCAACGCATTGCTGAGCACCGGTGTGGTTGAACAATCATCATCCAAACAGAAAGAGATATCCAGATTGATCTGAAAGGACTCCTCCGCATCTAACTTGTCAATGTTCACACTGATGGACAAAAAAGGTAACAGGGGAGTGAAACACATTTCTTTTCAGAAAGCAGCAACCAAAAAGTCCTAGTAAGAAATATGAAATGAAAATAGTTTATTGATAGGTGCACGAACTAAAGTAAGTTCAGAGATTAAATGAAAAAAAAGGTTCAGTAATCTCAATTATTATAAGTGTGTCATTTCACCTGAAAAGTCTGCAGAAATAATGCTTATTGCCTGCAAGAACGCATACGTCAAAATACCCCCAAATGACACAATTCTGGTCATTAGTTAAATATGCAGTATTGTAATTTTCAATGTAATTTCCATTGCATGTTAGCAGACTGAGTTATGCAACGCAAAACTGCTGGTTCACAGCTGTAAAAACCTGACATCCCAACACTTATAAAAATATGTATAGAGGTCTAATTTAGTGACAACAGTATTATCATTACTCTCTTGCAGACTTGGAACCAAACCTACCAGGAATCTACTTTTACCATGGTACCACTAGATACTGACCAATGAAATGGACTGGCATAAAGTTCCAGTAATCTAGCCCCTGTAATCTGTTCTACGGTATTCCCACCAGCACAGTTCCTTACCGTATCGCGACAGCGTTCCCTACGTTGACCTCTTCCTGCCGACCCCAAGGATAAGACAACATTTCCAAATCCTGCTGCCAGCTGCCAAGACCCACAGAGAGTTGATAGGTACAAGGATCAAAGATGAAGGAGACCTGAGTGCTGATGGGAGCGATACCTTGGATTGGAAGCTCCAGACAGCAATCAAGCCCCAGACACTTCTCATGAAGGGTGCAGATGAGGTTTCTGGGGAGGTGAGGGAGTCTGACATCTCGTGGACAAACTGCACAAGGAAACAGTTTTCTATCAATACACACGCCAGTCGGAGTCAAGTACTCTTCCATGGCAAGGTGCAGCTTTAATTTACATAATCAGCAATCGAAGCCACGAAGAATGCAGGTTTTAGAAAACCAAAAAAGCTTAAATAGGTGCAAACGGCCATATTATGTGTGGATTTTCTAAGAAATGTTCAGTATTTTTATTTTATCATTAAGACGAAAGAAAGGAAGATGTATTTTGCGGGAAGAAAAGCGTACTAAATTGAATATTTGTTGAACTTACGTCTCTGCCAACCATTCTGCGTGACTTGTGGACGTATGCATGACTCCCTACTGATGTATTCCTGACATTGATAATAAAGTAGACAGAGATTTAGTACATTCCTCCTCACTTTGTATCAAAACAGGTTTTACAATGTTTGAAGTCAATACGTCCCTGCGGCTTTTATATTCCGGTTAAAATTTAAATTGAGACACATGAAGAATTGGCACGAAGAATGCAACTTTTTTCACATTATCTCAGAATTAGGTGGGATGTGAGTCAATGCAGGCATGATTATGTAGAATTGCAACTAATCACTCTTAAAATAATGGTGACCTTCTAAAAACTTCAAGGAATAAAAACACTGTGAATCACACTTTCTTAAGTTGCCAAGTTTCAAACTGAGATACTTCTTTACTACACAGTGTACATTGAACTTCCTAGGCGTTTCATGAAGGTTTGGATCCCGGCCAGCAAAACATAATGAAGAACGAAATTTCAGTCCCATACTCTGGAAACAATAATACCACATGGTTGCTTCAAAAAAGGCTACTTAAATACATATACTTTTAAAAAGACTCACAGAAAGCCCCAGATGTCTCAGAATGGCATCTACGGCCGAATCCGCTGCATTTTGGCCAACCTTCTCCAAGAAGCCTTTAACAGTCCCATCCCCTGTGGAATAAGGAAAACCGTACGTTTCTGGTTGGATATTTTTCATTCGTAGGAGAGGTTGTACGTGGATAAACTGATCAAAGCAGCGAGAGCATTAACAAAAGGAGGCCTACAGTACTTCAAGCAGTCAGTGTGTAAATGCAGACCTTCTTATCACTCTCTAAAAGGTGCATGTCGATTTGCACGTCTCCTCCTTTCTTGTGTTAAAAGTAAAGGTGCAAATACATTCATTTTTGATAGCTGTAGGCCTACCACTCTGTGTGAGATTTTTGTAGGGAGGTAAATTATTTTAGTAGAATTTGTTTCTTTAGTATATAGGCACGCTTTTATTCGGTAACTAGAAAATAACAGATAAAGCATCAAAAGACTAAAGCCAACGGACCTGGAAGAGTGTACGTAGCATTCTCATTGCAAAGTGGAATCGGCACTAGGGTTTTCCTGAGTATGTCAATAGAGGGCGTGTTACACTCTGTATCTGGCAGGCAGAGGGACAGGGCTAGATCTAGCACAAACACCTTGTCCTCAGTCAGCTTGTCAATGGTGTAGATGAGGGTCAAGGCTTTCCCAATCTTGAGCTGCTCCTGGGTACCTGGTGAAAATATGTAGCCACCTTATGAATCGGTAAACTACAAGTACGATAAATACAGTATAGTCAAACCAAAATCAAAAAGTACTGGTCGTTCGTCTTTTTTCTGTTATTTTAGGTTGGCTCTTAAGTTGATGTAACTTTGTAACATAAACCCAACAAATTGGGATGAGTCAAAGTTTGTTAACTGATTCTGTTTGTTAACATTAGGGGAAGTAAATGAAATGTGTTAACATTCAGGGGAAATCGACACCCACAACATGATTTTGGTAGATGATACACCTACCCCAGTGGTAGTCAAATATGGTGAACATCAAGGACCACTTTCCAAGCCCAACAGACAACGTGAACTTGCATGGGTCTAGAATCAGCCACGCATTGACCGACAGTATGGTGACTTGCAGATCAAGTTCAACACAGCATCGGATGCCAAGGCATTCTCGTGACAGCTCACAGGTCAATCCGGTCGACACTGATGGTAGACTGACGTTAGTGCAAACTGTGTATAGAAAGAGCCGAGCAAAACGGCTATTGACTTGTGGTTCTATCGTAGCTTTGCACCCCAGCAGACTAGGTTAAATTGCCGGTCAGGTTTACAATAGGGTTTCGTGGTTTTTTACCCAGAAAATTCTTTTTTGGTTTAAAACTGTAGCTGCCTCTCGTCACTTTTACTGAAAAGGGTTCTTCAGACAAGCATGCCACAGTACCTGGGATGCCTTATAGGGGAATTGTTGATTTCATAAATACCGAAATGTTCAACAATAAGGCCATTCAATTCTGAACTCTCTTTCATAACAGGATCAGCGATGCAAATGCTAATCATGCAGACATACAAGAGTAATTAAACCCCATATATATACACATATTTACTTCACTTTACCAACTTTCTGACAGGTCGGATGAGGACTGGCTTTTGAGACAGCCTTTAAGCTACAAAACCTTTACAAAACTCAGTAGCTTCAAATGACAGAAAAATAATCTGGACACAAATTTACACACAAAAATAGCCACATGTACCTTCTTCACCTGCAACCAGGGCTGTAGTGTTGCAAGGTTCGTCATAAATCTTATCCTTCAGGCCAATGTACTCTAGCAAGATGTTTACCGCCTGCTGACCAGCATTCCGACCAACTGCAGCCACAAACTCACTCAAGTTATTGCCTCCTGTTGATTAAGAAAGATTAACGGTATATCATTGATTGATTAAATTTCTTCTGAACTTGTCACGGGATGAGACAGGAATAAAATAATATATAAGGCGAGGCAGCAATCAAACTCTTCCCTAGGTTATTGGGTGTGTAAATGGGTTCTGACCAGAACAATGAAATTACAAGCTGACAATGAGACACTGCCTATTAATTAATCATATCAATGTTGCCAAACAGGGACCTCTAATACCTTTTCACAGAACATTGTTAAATTTATAGATACCATGATGGTAATCCATTTAAACCCTGCGTGGAGGGAGTGGCCTCTTTTGGAGAGGCCACCTGAGCTAATTAATGTGTAAACATTTTTTCGTCAAAATGCAACAACTATTTATCATACCCTACCCCTGTTCATGCTTAAAAACCTGATTTAGTCCCTTTGAAGCCAGGGCCTCCCTAGCCAGAAAAATAAAAAAATCAAGCCAGCCTCCCGCCAGCCCCCAGCCAACTCCTATAAGACTGTGTGCTAAGTGGCCCCTTGAGTACAATCTAAAGGATTATTTACAAAACAGTGCCTGGGCCAGGCAGTGGAATGTTTCTTATCATTGACAGCTGTCTGGAACTTGTCAGAGGCCTCTTTTAACTGTCTTTGAAGTGTTATTTTGGTTGGGGGCTGTTGTGGTTGCGGTGTGGCTTGGCTGGCGCGTGGCGAGGCCCCCCTCTCATATCGAGATAGCCTGGGTAGACTGGGTACCGATAGCCACGGTACTGTGATGTACTTTTGGTGGTTTTTAAGAACCGTAGAGGCTAGGGGGCAACCACTGAAGCATTTATATACCTTTAGGACAGACTCGGGGCTCTGCAACCCTGAGAAATGATAAGGTCTCTTCTGGTGAGTCCGCTCCCGCCACCATGCAGAACAAATTATACCGCGTCCTGGGGTTTATCAAAATTCCAGTGATCAACCGAGACTGAATTAGTATTAACAGCTGAAACGCATCACTATGATTGCATTCTGCTTACCTGGAAGGGAGAATGAGAAGTTGGAGTTGCAGACAGGAATGGGCACCCTGTAGTCCTGAATGATGTCTAAATCAAAGATGCAATCCTCGCCACTCGGACAGACAGATGCCCCAAAGTCAATCCTAAACACCTTTTCAGCATCCACTTTGTCAATGGAATATTTCAAGGCAATCACACCAATGTTTTGCTGCTGTGGTTGTCCTGAGTACACATACAAAGCATGGAAACAAATTACGTACTGGACGACCAGAACGGTACAGCTTGAAGTTATCAGGCAATGCTAAAACGTTTTGCATATTTAAGAGGCCAAAATGTACGCAGCTGACCACCAGCTGTTTCATGGCTACTGCTTAATTTTTGAAAATGATTTGCCGGGGGCAAATTTCGATGATAACGCACAAAAATATTTGTTGAAGGCAGGGTCTTTAAAGCTGTAATATCAGAGCAGGGCCCCTTTACATCTAGTAACAACCATGCCCATGACTTTAAACTAGTTGTGACCAAGAAATACTTCGACATAATATTATTTACCGAATGTTTAGAAAATTTCAAAATGGGGGAAATTGGCTCATTGTCATGCCAGTATAAATAACAAGCAGTGCCATAGGCGAATACTTCACGATTACTCACTGTGGCTTTACAGATAATCCGAAATTTTCACAAGAACCCTCAAGTCTGAATGTGAGCCTAGACATTCAAACTGAAACGGTAAGAAACAGGCCGGTAAGTTGCTTGTTTATTGTTCAACCACTGCGTTGACTGTACTTGTATGACTACAGAAAAATACTTGTGAAGTACATTCGGATAACTCCACTACAATACTGAGAAGGATCGCAATATGACACTGACTCACCCCAATCATAACTCAGTAGTAATTTCTTATATTTGAGGTGCTGAAAGGCGACAACAAAGGTGAAGTCGCAGGCGTTGACCTCCACGAAGGCGTTGATCGATCGGCGGAATTTTATCTTCTGGAGGTTGAGCTCCAGGCAGCAGTCAAGACGGAGACAGCTTTCGCTCAGGGAGCAGTAGGCCACCTTAGCCAGTTCCGGGGAGAACATTGGCAAGGTGAGGTACCGACATGCTGTGCAGGCGAAAGACCAGTTTTAAGAAATTAATAATGACAATGGGTGACGGTAAAGTGAGAACAATTTCTCTGAGAACAACTGTTAGTATGTCCAGGGATATAAATAAGTTTGTTTAAAAACACAGATTGATGGACAACTACACCTTTTTTGCTTTTATATAAGAGTGCAGAAGGCTACCACACATTTTCTTACTTCTGTCATCTTCAGAGAGCCTGGCCTCCAGTTCCATCCTGGTACCTGTGGTTGCAAGTTGTCTGCTTTCCAGTGTATCAGTAAGCTGGGACTCAGTCAAACTCGAAGGTGTTTGACATGGATTTTTGTCACTCAAAAACTCCTAGAATATGAAGAAAGGCGACCCATACTTCTTATAAAATAAGCATTGTTGAATTGTCTCTTCTACTGATCTAATTTGAAAAAAATCCTAATTTTAGAGGATTGGAAATCGAAAATCCCATTTTCAAACTGTTTAGCCCTAAGCTCACCATCTTTTTCTTTGGTCAACAGGCACAGTAATTCTGAGCTGTATCTCTTCAAATCATTTGCAGACAAACAAAATGGATAACTGATATTAAGCCCAACAAATTTTTGACAGCTCATTAGTATATTGGTTTTGGATTTGCGGATCTGCTCGTAAGAAAATAGTGCTGGAAAATATGAACAGAATACTATATTGATATATTATATATTGAGTGCTTACTCGTTTTATTGGAAAAATATTTCTTCGCTTGGCAAATTGCCGTATAATCTTGAAACTATGATATTGTGATATAAACTCACCTTTGGTATGCCAAGCTCGTCCAGGACGTAGCGCAGGGCGGCTTCAGCGCCTGCCTGCAGTGCCTCTGCTCCAGTCTGTTTGAGTATCTTCTTCAGGGCAGCACGGGAGAAGTACTCCTCAAGATCAACTAAGACACAACAAACATGAATTTAATACAGACATTTACTTCAGATTACGGATAGGTTGATTCTCTGTGTTGGAGAATCGGTCATTCCTTCAACCTTTGCCACTTGTGATGTCAATCAAGGGGTGGATTTTGTAGTACTGCTAGAGGTACAGCACCGCACTATGACTTTTCATTTGTTCACACGTTAAACAGTGAGCACAAAATATGTGTCACTCGTCCATGGCACATTAAAAGATAATGGACCCTGGAAATGCAGGGACTTAAGAGTAATATTTCTGATTGGGTTCAATTTATGTTGTGATTATGTCTCATTTATGGCAGAATAGTAGACACCTCTGTCGGAGTCCTAGTGGACCCCTGTTGGTTGCCCAAGGGACTTAGCCCATGGCATCTGATTATCAAATTTTCAAATACGTTTCGGGACTTGCTTCCAGTCTGTCACACACTTGTTTCTCAAATTATAAGTATCGTGCACGCATTTCACACAAGATTTGTTAGTATATTTAATGGTCTGTCGTGCTTACTATTCGGCCAAGTGATGGTTCCGTTTGGGTGACAGATGGGTAAGGGGATGGCTGAATCTGTCAATACGTGGATGAATGAGAAACAGTCTGCATCACCAGTCTTCGGGCAGAAACCAACTGACATGCTGACCAGTAGTTGTGTCCTACTCTTTTCAATCTTGAACCTGAAGAGTTGACATAACGTGAAGAGTGAGATTAAGAAAGCAGTCATTGGGAGGGGAGAAATGAGGGTGTCAGCCACTGTGAAAAATTGTAAAAAAAAAAGAAGAGATTTGAGAGGAAAAAGGGAGAAAAGAAAACGAGAATGATTAATTTTCTTAAACGTAACTTAGAAAAGCAACTTAGAATAGACCCTCTCTCGTTTATGGCTTATCAGTTTGCTGCTGATGTTCTTGCCCCTTCCAAAATCTACCAAGCTCGAATAAAGTCATGCAATGGTGAAGTGCCCTCTCCATTGGTTAGAATAGTGCACTATTGTCTTTTGAAGCATGTCAACCATGAAGTTTGTACGAATTCGAATGGTTACGTAAGCGCAAGCAGTGTGTACTTCGCACTGGAATGGCTTTGATTGATACGGTCGCAAGGAATGGAGCGACAACCAGGCAAATTGTTTCAACATTGGACAGAATGACTATTTTCCACTTCCCATTTATACATTTTTGGAAAGTTAACATTCATTTCAATAGTGTAAACTAATTAATACAGTCCTGGACCAGTGTATTTGCTCATTGCTATTTTTGCAGCATGCGCCTAAAAGGTCGAAAAATCCCTAAAAGCACAAACCCTCTTCAGACATAACGGTTTCAACAACGCAGACAGATAAAGAAACACTCCCGTTGGAAACCTTTTTAAAAATCCCTCATGCACAAAATCCTGGATCCACCCCTCTTTTCAATCGCATCCTTCTCAACTTGGCCCCACGAAAGCATTGTATTTCACACTATGTGCCGTTCACAAACATCTAGAAGAGAGACGTGAAATAATTCTTTTGTAAAAACGTTTGACAACATCATATTAGAACAAAAACAAAATTACCTCAAGTGCAATTCCATATCATCGACAAATGGGATGTCGAACGGCACAGGCACATCTAATTCTTCACCTAGAGAGAAAAACAACTTTGAATTTTATTGAAAATCCCCTTCAAGATATATTTTACATTCCCAGATTGATGCATTTCTTTCTGGTCACATAATCTATGAAAAGTATACCGACTTATGTAAGCCTTTTGAGAGGAATTCACCCTCCAGCGGGTGGAGCGCTTGGTATCGAATAATCTAAGAAGTAATAAGGAAGGCTAATTTTACTTGTTTTAGAAATTAACCCTAAAAGAATCGGGGGTGGAATCCCTTTCAGTAGTTCCTCCAATATGGTAATAATGCCAAGCTTTTAGGATACGTGATGTGTCTTTCAAAACATGCATAGGTTAAAACAAAACAAGCGTGGGCCAGCTGAGTTATTGAGGGTATAATCTGCTTCCCTAGAGGTCCAAAAAAGGCATGGTCCTTGAAGGGTAACAGAACTTGTTTTTGAAGTACCCAACCTGCATATTATTCAGAGTAAATGAGTAAGAATTACAAAATAGCGGGTCATTTGTGAATCCTTATCAAAGAAAACAAATCTGCTACAAGGCCGCATCCGATTCTTGTCAACGTCTATAGCGAGTTCTCTAGTTCTTCACCGCTTGCAAAATAGTGAGCAAATGCTAACATATTGACAAAACTCTTAACACCGATTCTGGAAATTGTTTTAATATTAATAATACAGAAAATGGGACAAACCAAATTCAGCTTCCAGGATTTGGATGGTATAGTTCCACGAGTTGACTCCGAGGACAAACTGGAATTCGCATGGGTCAAAACGCATAAATGCCTTAAAGGCCAGAGACACCATGAAGAGTTTGACATTCATACAGCACTCGACGCCTAGGCAGCTTGGATCAATCTTACAGTACACATTCTTGGGCAAGGAGACTTGAAGCAGGGGACAACCTGAAAATCAAATCGAAAAAGTCCCAGGCACTCCATACCTCACTTAAATGGAAGACGAAAATGTAAAAACCAGTGAGACACTAGCCTGGCATGTAAAGTATTATGGAGATTTCATGCAGCATTGCGTACCTAGCAGCTTGTTCCAATCTCACAGTACACCTGCTTAAGTAAGGGAAACTTTGAGCAGGGGCACAAAAACAGTCAAATCAGCTGTAAGACAATGTGAAAGCGTGATTCCCAGAACTCCACAGTCGACAACAATACACCATACATATAACATACACACAGAATAACCAACTTGTACTGAGCGCTTACGATCCTCGGGCTGTTTGTACCGCTGGAGTAAAGTTTTCCTGTCTCCTTGTGAACTCAGTCCGTGTTGCTGGAGCTCAATTCTCAGCATATCATTGGACAAAGACTCGGGCAGAACACACGGCTTGTCACTCACAAGTTTCTGCGGACAAACAAAAAAGCAAATGTCCCGTGCACCTTTCTGAAGCACTTACCGACTGAAGGGAAACGTTTCCAAACAGTCTGCTGACTGAACTCGAAACTTTAACTTTAACAGATTTAAATTGGTAACAAGGTTGGCCGCTGAACTTACAACAATCGTCTCGAGGACGGTCAGCAAGTCATCTGCAGTCTTCTCCAGTCCAAGCCGACGGGCAAATGCCAGGATGGCTCCAATCTTCAAGTTTCTTAATGTGAAGTTCTTGAAGGGAGATCCTGAGCCAATTGTTGGTTTGGGGAGACTAAGTGATTCCTCAGTCTGTTCTTTTTTACCTAAAGCCATTAAAACATCAAAAGAACAACGCATATCACAAACTTGCATTCCATACTTCACATTGGATATTTTTGCCTGAAAACAACGAAGAATAAATTCCAATAGATAAAGGATAACATGTTGGATCTTGGTAATATTTCAATATTGTTCTCTAAAGTAATAAACTGGCAGTAAAACTATACCTTCCGACAATGCTTGATTAAGAGAGGATGTCCGCTCGGGAGGTCTCCTGCTGGGATCAGGTCTGTCGGTGTTAGTGTCAGGGGGAGGTTTGCGCTCTGGGCTGGTGTCCATTGTTTCCCCATCCTTTCCGTCACCTCCAAGTAGGCTACCTTCCTTAAGTGTCTTACCCTATTGACAGAATACAAAAACGATCGTCCTGTAATTAAAAAGAAAACTGTGCTGTGGCCAATATTTTCGTTGGGACTACATGCGTAATGTTTGATTGCAAGCCCAAAATTCCTTCGTGGTTTGCAGAACTGTTAAAAATTCTCGACCTACCAACCACACCAGCTTGTAATCGTCACAAACTTGAGTCCACTTGGGCAACGTCAACGGTCTCTTGGCCAAGTAGCTGCTGGGGTCCACATACCCTTCCTTGGCGGCCAGATCAGCGGCTGACGGATCGTCGTCAAGAGCACCGTCCAGAATGGACACAAGGCGATTTGGCTCAGACTTCTTCATGGACATGTGAATGTAGTTAAACGGTCCGCAGGTTCTGGACCGGCTGACTGTACCGATGACTGTTCCAGCAATCACCTTTCAAAGGGCATAAGACCATAACAAAATGGTGGAGAAAGTGTTATAAAAAAATAATGCCAAACCTTCATCTGAAAATTTTCCACCCTGTATGCATCATCATAATAAAATAGTATGTCTGACCTTTTCAGAATTGTACACAGCAGACACAGGGGAATCATTAATGGCTTAATCCCTTCACTACCTCAGATCCCGTTTAATTTAATAAACACTGAATTCTGTGGATGTTAATTCAACGTATATGCTTTTAATTTGTTGAATTCTTGTGTTCTTTTTAGATTAAAAAAAGGAAAATTAGCAGTTACATGAGATGTAACATTATGAAATACAATTTCAATGATAAGGTTTTTGTACGAGGTGTTTTCTGAATATGTTTTTAAAAAGACAATGTGTACTAAAGCCTTGTACAGTTACCAAAACACATGTGAAACTGAACACGGTGTAAATTTAAAAGGAATTCCAATTACAAAGTTTAGTAAGCTACGTACATTTACTCCTTCATGTTCAGAGACGGTGCGATTGGGTTCAACATTGTCAATGAAGATCTTGATGTTCCGGAAGGCACCACCACCAGCGAGGAGAGTCACCTGGTTGGATTTACTCTTGAAAAGGAGGCCAGAAAATGGTGCTACCAACTGCAAGCATCAAATATTTGAGCCGTTACAGGGCCGAATAAGGTTTTCTATTCTGAATAGTTCACCTTAGTAGTTAGTTGTTACACAGTTGGGTCTTGGACAGGATCTCAGTTTTAAAGATTCAGCAAACGTATGCCCATTTTTAATGCTGGACAACTTTTAGACCAACGTTGGGCACCAGGTGAATCGCTTAAATGTTGGCCAAACAGATTACCCAACCGCGTTGATTCTCTCCTGAATCATGGGAAACATGTTTACCCAACGGTTGAAGACAATGCTATTTTTACAGCCTCGTTTTTACCCAGTGTTAGGCCCTTTTAAGCAGGTAAGGGCCGGCGATTCAAGTAGTACACAACATTGGACAAAAAACTGCCCACAGTTTTTACATTGAATGAACGGGGACTTCTATGTGTGCTGTAACAACAACTTGCACCGATTCATGTTTCAAATAATATTCAATGATTCAGGTTTGTCAGTAATTGCTAAAACCCTTCCAAAGTATATATGAAAAGCTAGCCTGGGCTCCTGGCGGTATTTCCAGATCGACGCCCTGGTCCTCATATTGTCCATCTGAGTTCGTTGGGTAGAATCCTCCCGACGAACACGCCCCCGATCCAGGCTCTCTGTATTTTCTGGGAAATCTTTCATGAGCCTTGGGCCCAAACAGTTTCATGACAAGAGCTTGAGACTTTTGGTATCTAGAAGGAAACAATTCAAACACCGTGGTAATCTTTTCTACGAAGATCACAGTTCCGTCTGCTTAAAAACCAATTTGAATTTAGTTGTACTTGGGGTCTCCTGGTTGTTACAGTGTTTGCAATGCATTTTGTCTCTCTGTGTGTGGGATTAGCCGTTTCACATTTTACTGCTGTATGTATTCTGAACAATCTAATGTACTCACCCATCCTTCAGAGTCTGATAGGCTTCTTTGATAGCATCAACAGTGTTGAAGGCGAGATCATAGAGCTCAAAGAAGGGGGCCAAGAGATCCTTAATAGGCTGTATTGGAGCCATCAATTCTTGTAGGATTGACTCAATCTCATCTCGGACCCTTCCCCTGAGGGTGTGCTGTTTATGGGAAGGAACATTGAATGGTGCAATGAAATGACTCAGCAAGAGAGGACCATGACGTGAATTGGCATTAGGGAGAGGAGGAATGTTTTTAAAAGTTATGTGTAGTGGCCAATTTTCCACATCGGAGTTCAAACCTAACCGAGGGAACTTATTTGCTCGTAAAAGCAGTGTTGTGAAAAAGAATAGGGAGTTTTTCACGTTGGTTACCGAAAAACCGCAGAATTCATAGCCATAAAAAAGCACCCAAAATGATGGGCATTTGGTTAGGCGTTCATTTACATGCATTAATAAAAATGCGGGTTGGAAGATGCCACTGTTTTAATTTTTTCAGAAAAAATCTAGTGCGTTTTATTTTGGAGAAAGAAGTGGGAATCTTGAATCTGATTTGATTAAAAACCATATCACTGGTCCCACATCTCGAAATAAACTTTTTCCTATTGTTTGCTCACCGAGTCCACAGCACCCCCAGTCAATTTCTTGATGGGATCCGACGAGCTCTCGATCTCGTCCACCCAGTCGTTAAGATCCCGTCTGATGTTGCTGAGGTGTTCCCGTAATTCCTTGAGCATGTCACCGATGACATTGGGCAGGTCAAACCAATAAGGCCTCTGACCTAGAAAGGAGGTAGATGACAGAGGAAAAAATTGTGAAATAATTTTGGCTACAGTTTCAATCAAGGTCCACCTTCCAAAGGTACTGCCGAAAGCAAGAAATCACAATTATAACTACCACATGAATATAACTTGTGTCTCACCTTGCTTGAAGAAATTGGCCTCTTCGATTTCCTTTTTGACATTGATGATTTCAATAACTGCAGTTCTAATGCTGGTTGATAAAAAAGGAACATGCCAAAGTGGCGAAATAATTTTGGCTTTTCCCTGGTGTGTGGTTAAATACAAAGTGGCATTGTTGGAAAGGTTTGTTCAGCCATAAGGAAGTACAGATGGACACTGTAGGTCCTATACTGTATAGTAAGCCTTACAGCAAGAGTGCAGTATCGAGCATTTATTCCTCCCCTATCATTAATGGCCTACCAATAATGTCCACTCTTTCCCTTGGTCCCAGATAGAGGTATTACACAATGCAACACTACACCACATACAACTTTCAACTGAAGAATATTTGACATTCCACGGATATTGTATTTCCAGTTAATTTTTTATTTATCAAACGCTTAAATTTATAATCACGGAAATCTCAACTAAAATAATTCAACACTCAAGAAAGGTACTTGATGACTCCTTTGAAGATGTCTCCGATGGCCTTCAGGGGTGATTTGAGCAAATCCCTGATGGAGTCTGCGATCGCAGTGATGGACTTCCAGATCTGCTCTGCGGCCCAGGGCAAAGTGACAGTGATTGCCTCATTGACAGCCTGTGGAAACACAAAACAATGGGAGTGGTTTGCAAATGAGCTTTTCGTCCATGGGGAGTATTTGTTTCGACCTTGGGGCCAATATCTTCCATATTTATGCAAAATGTAACATGTGGCTCTTATTCATTATTTAGTTGCAATTATCATTCAAACTCAAGACGCATTTGAAACATGTGCAACTACAAGTTGTTGTCCTTGACAAGATATAATGCTCAAACGTATATCAGGTGTGTAATGAAGATTTGTATAATGTTTGGAATATGTGACCAGCATTAACATTTTGCACGAAATGTAAGATGAAAATAATAGCTTAGTAGTTTCTGTGGGTTTGTAATAAATCTTGTGTTTCTTTGTAGACTACACCAAAATCGCCTGCTGAATTGGTGAAAAAGTATTATCTGACCTGGTAGAATTCCATGACGTCTGTCTTGATGTCGCTAAACAGCTGAGTGGCCTTGTTGACAACACTGATGACGCCTCTGAAGGAAGGTGGGAGTTGGTCTGGGTCAAAATGAGCGAGTCGGGACACAGCTCTGGTAGCCACTGATCTCAAATTCTGTGTACAGGAATTTTGACGATGGAACTTGGTACATGTCCCATGTGGTCAACAACGGGAAAGCATTATTACACATTACGTGAGATCACACCGTTGAACTACAGATGCGATCTCAGAAGTCATAGCCGTAAATAGATAGGGCATCCCCTCAACGCTTCTGAAATTGTACCACATAGTTGGTCAATCAATGAAGAAGCTGCGATAAATTATTCCGAAAATCAGTACTTCGACAAGTATCAACGTTCTTTTTACCCCAAGCTGAATTTTGGTGAAGAGTGTATTAATCAGGCACTGGGCATTTATTCCCGAAACTATCAGCTATATCACTCATGGCTGCTCCAATGGAAACCAATTCCTCTTTTAAGAGAAAAATGATTAAACTAAACGACATCACCGATTCCTATTAACTTTCTAATGACTTACCGCGACGTTTTGGGGAATATTCTCAAGTGCCTGAACAAAGTCGTCGAACAGCTGACCAATACTGAGGTCGCCGTTGAAGAGCCCAACTACAATGTCAACCGCCCTCCTGATGTTTCCAACCACTTGTCCAATGATGAGGTCGTATGCTTTTACAAAGTCGCTGATGCGCTCCACACCAAATTCCTGATCGAGGAAGAAGAAGATCCAAATTTTAAGGGTATGGTCACCCATCACATAATCCTCAGAGTCAGGTTTTTAACAGTGATGTTGACAACAGTGATTTTGACACACAGAGATGGGTAAATCATTTATGAAGCATTGTTTTAGATTTCATATTTGATACAAATAAAGAGAAAGAAATTATGGTGCACAAGTTACAAATAGGGTTCACCTGCAGTATGTTGAGATTGTATTTAACATAGCCATTGAAGCAGAAACGGGCTCGGACAACATCCACCGACAGACCAAGAAGTCCAATCGTGACTGTAGCATAAGCCTCATCAAAAACGTCCACAACGAGGTGGCCAGTCAGAGGGGCTGTCAGAAAAAAGAACGTTGCGTTCAATTACACTTAAGGCTTAAGTTTTTCTCTCTAAGTTCTTGTTTCAGTTCTCACCGGTTTCCATAATACACAGAGAAAAAAAAACTAAACGCAACTAAAAGTAGAAAATGTCAGGCTTAGAATACAAAGTATTTTCTGGAAAGTCTGAGATACGTACAAATCTTCATGTCGAGTTCATTTCTGATGGTCAAGCCAAACTCTGCCCCAACAGTACGTCGGCCGCCGATGGACTTCTTCCAGTTAACTGAGGGACTGGCCAATTTGAACTCAATGCCCTCCCAAAAACCTCGTCTCAAACGACGCCTGGAAGGAACACTTATTCCGGTAGTTGATAAATTGGAGATATTGGCAAGAGCATACCTTAATTTAAAGAGAAACAAAACCAGTGCATGTTTATAGTAGTTCAAAATACATTTCTAGGTAATTATGACCGAGGCGGGTGTGCGGTACCTGTGGTATTACAAAGGTTTAGTTTGGGCATGTAGTAATAATTGCAGTGGTAAAAAGCAGTGGTGCTCAGGGTGAAACAGTTCCTCCTGCAGTGAGCCTCGGCGATATTTCAAAATGGCAAAGATACTTGAGAATGAAGGGATAATATTAAATTGTTTGAATTTCAGTTTGGGCCACCAAGACAGGGCTTTTACTATGCACACGTGTTACGATGATCTTAAACGTTTGAGGTATGATGGTCTTAGATTTCAAGCATGCACTGCTTAACAAAGAACTCGCTATCTGGTCTTTGAAAATCAGCATCCTAATTCTTACTCTTCAGGGGTGACAAACTTGAAGGCATTATGGTAGCCACCGTTTGGGTGGTCCTTGTAGAGCAGGGATGCCGCATATCTGACGTGTTCATCTTCGTCTTCATTCAAGGCAGATTTAAGGAGTATACCAGCAGCCTGAGTGGGACCAGGAAAAGGAAAAGCAATTTCTAGTGGCTCAAGATGGAGAACATCATTACTTAGCAGCAACAGAGACAATGAACTGGTTTAGTATTCAAATAGCGCATGCTCAGAACGAAGCTATTGGGAAAGCTACGCCTACTTGATAGTCTGTCCTATCAGCATAGCCATACTTTTTGAAATACCGAACTGGCTCATCGCAACTCCAATTATCCTGCAATGCCCTGTTTATTGTGTGGAGTATATACAGGCATACATTGATGGTTTTGCAGAGGCACCGGGAGTACAGCGAAATTGAAGTCATAGGGCGCCCAGACTTTTCTGTTCGTCCGACATGGTCCGAAGTCCTTTTTAAGCAGAAGAAATATATTGGTCAATACCTTCACCCTGCAGGTCTGTGCAGGCGAAGGTCTTTGAAAATGGTTCAAATTTCCAGTGCACATTCTTCGTCTTTTCTTTTATTTTTCTATTTACTTCCTCAATCTAAAAAGTCAATTTCTGAATGATTACTTAGTGACCCTCTGCCTCAGTTTGTAACCTTAAAGTTCGTTTTGTCCATGCCAAAAAAATTACTTCTGGCATGCTTTCATTGTTAATCATGACACCTCGCTTAGGGTGTTAGGTATGGACGGATTTGGTTCTTGGTTAAAGAATGCAAGTTTTAAACAAGAAAAACACTGACTTACTGTGTCATGATGGTAGTCTCTCATGGAGTGCAGACCAGCCCTTTTCAGCATTGGATGAGTGGTGCTGGAGTTGGTATAGCTCTCTATGTGAGGAAAGGAGCGATGGAGCCCGGCATTGCCCAGGGCTTCGATCAAGACGACCGTGTCGTGATACAACTTGTCTTGTTGATCCTTACTAAGAGATGCTAAGGTCTTCTCGTAGGCCAAGGGGTCTGGCAATTCGGAAAAAATTGCACAGGGTACACATTGGTTTTGGACTGTTGTGTGGCGCTGTCAAACCTCGCAACGTATTCATTTGCAAAACTTGCGGAAATAAAAGACTTATAAAGGATTAAATATGAAGAATTTATTTTATGATTGCTATGTGGTTTATATATCCAACTGTTTAAAAGCAGACAGTTAAGAGTAGAGCTGAAAAGAAAAATTAGGGTGAGATTGTATTGAATGAAATGATGTGCTGTCTCCCGCCTAAAATATCTAAAACATCCTAAAATCCTTACTTACCATGCACACCAAGTTTATCCTCAATCTTTACAACGATGGACTCTGCTTGGGCTTTGTGTCCAGCCTGCCATCGGTCACCAGCTAAAGCACCGAGAGCAAGCACAGCAACCCTCTGTATCTTAGGGTCTCTTAGACATTCTGTGGAGAGATTAAGATTTACATGTTACTTTAACTATAGTGAGATGTAAATAGTGGTTGAAAGATTCCAAAAATTAACCGAAATCTTAACTGGAATTTGGAAATAGATATGGGATTGAGAATCTTAATGGGAATGAAATTATTCCTTTTTTCTTTCAGCAGCAAACAGTTTTGGGTATTCTTATTGCCACGTATTGCCGCACACTTTTACGGAATAGCAAAATGAAACCAACGACTGTTGTTTTTTTTCAGTCTGCCAAATCTTCCGTACTGCAATTTTTTCTTACGATTGCGTTCTAAATATACAGTTTAAAAATGAGACTTTGTCTCTGTGAGATATATATGTGGGTATACCTTACATTATGAGTCATATTGCGAAAAACATGTCCTCCCTCGTTGAACGACTTCTTGAAAGCTGACATTAATACAAGGTTTAAACTGGGAGCGATTTTTAAACTCCAAGCTTTAACTGAAGCACAAACACTGACGAAACTCAGGTGTGATATAGAGACGTCTGGGGTATTAATTGTAATGCAAATCACGAAACTAAAATAATTATATGATAAAAACATAGAGCTATACATAAAACTACAAAGTGATGCCTGCTGGGCGCATCCCTGTGTGTGCACAACTTATTGAAAACAAGAAATATTGTGATTTTTTTACGGCTATATGCATATCTGCGTCTGTATTCAAAAATGTTACATCCACAAAGGTGATACGAAAACAACCTGAACGCACAAGCAATAAATAAACGTTTCATTTTGTTTTTCGTATTGATATCCATTGTAAAAACTGGATAGGACATCGCGTCCAAACCGCGTTCCGCGTATGTGCGTTCTAAGGAGGGTAAATAACGAGCGTCGCGAATATCGTTGAGTTCGTTTTTGCATTCAATTGAGGACCCTGGACAATAGAGAACAATAAGGTCCCCGATTGACAGAGGGTCCCCGCTTGACAACTGTGTACAAAAAATGTGGATGGTCTTCTAAAAAGTTGAAGTACAAACAAAAGAGGAACAATAGGGGGCCCCAGTTGCAGGCAAATACACTCTTGTGTGCTTGTACTTTCAACAGGAGTTTTTTAAAAACTGGATGAGGTTACTGTACTTCAATAGTGAGTTTTTGAAAGCATAAGATTTCTGCAAGTGGACCGGATAAATTTGGAAAGAATAATGGTTGAGGTTTACGCAGCAGTGAATCACCGGAGATCGACGTCAATTTTCAAAGGAGTAGAGGGAACCGTGAGGAACACTTTTCTAGTTTCAGAAAGTTTCTAGACTTGTACTTTATAATGCTTAACTGTAAGCTTATATAGGCCTAGTAAGAAATGTATGAGAGTCTATCCATCCTCGGCAGGCTTTGTATATGAGACTTTACTATCTCCAAGTTGGAACCGTCTGACATATTACCTATTGGCTAAAGTGGTTTGAAAAACTAAGTGACTGATTTGTCGTTAATTTCCCCGAGATTTCACCAGAAAATCTCCATGAAAGCTATGATTTGTGTTTGTCAGATCTACACCTCTTAATTTGTGCTTACAGCAAAGATTCTCACATTGCCTTATGCCATATGTCGGTTTCAATAAATTTATTCAATATAAGAATGAATTTTATTGCGTACAATTTTTCCTGCGAGTGCGTAAAATTAAATTAATACTTTCATTTCGGGTAATTGATGAATTTCTTTTCAGTGATGGCTCATCGAAACCAGAATGAAAAACACGTGGACATTTTGGACATCATATTTCCTGACAAAACCTATTGTATGTCCTGGTAAAATTCTCAAAGTTTACACACTGAATAAATCACGATTGAACAGACCCAAAGTAAATAAAAAAAAATTGCTAGAGCAAGGCCGTAGATAACAGGTAGTAAAAAAATCAATTACAAACAAAAACAAACACACACAAACTCCAGAAATGATATTCTTGCATTTTCTGTTTATTTTTGGCTTGTTTTCGGGAGGGAGGCCGGTGGATTAGCCATCATCAAGGGAGAAAAAAGGTTATGTTAATAATCAGTTTTGACCAAAAATGCACAGCATACAGCATAACATTATCCTCCTGAAGTGCCGCCATTGTTCGACGGCGGATTTTGTGCACAAACAATGTGCGATGTACTATCCAGTCTTTATTATAGATCAATGGTTCTCTGAAAACACAAACGCGTGCACGTACGTGCTGCACATGAATTTTGCTATGATGTGTTTTTAAATCGGATTTTATAGGTACTTGTTCTGCAGGACAGCCGCTGCTCAAGGGCCGTCAAGTCACATAACAATGATTGAAGTAAGGGAGCAACTTTTTAAATTCAATTTAACTTATTCACTGGAAGACAGCCGTCGAAAGACATCCATACACATTCGGACGACCTTGCTCGAACATTCGTTTAAAAATAATCAGGTATGGATGTAATAAATGTATGTCATTGCTCTGTACGTGTGAGTCGTATTCAAAAAGACGCGGTGATGTTCACGCATGTTGCACTTGCGCGTTGCATTTAGAATACATAATTCGAAATTCATTCTATCTGATCTGGAATGTTCTAGAAGCACGCATTTGGATTCAAAATGTCTGCACCTAGGATGGTGTCAACTTTTCCACGTGCCAAGAATGAGAAGCTGGCGCGCTCAAATCCCTATACACAGCACTGTGGGTAAAACTGACTGACTGCTTTTTTTTTTATAAAAGGCCTCAAAACCGCAAAAGAAAAGACAATGAATTGGAACAATGAATGAAAACTCATTTGAATTTGTGACACTCACCAGGGAATAATTGTGGTTTGAAGAAGATATCTTGAACAGTACCTAGGAAATACTGAAAAATAATGTGTTGCTGTTAAAATGACTGTAATGAAAGTGTCTCGTATATCGACTAACGCAATTAAGGCGCCTCTCCATTCGCACGTTTTTCAGTGCGCTGCGTACATGCGTTTCGCTTCACGGACACAGAAATCGTCTCCAAAACACTCGTGTGCGTAGCGTTAAAAATATGGGCGATTTACAATATTGCACCTCCAAGAGTTTGCAACGCAGTGGCCAATCATAAATGTGCGCGAAATATGTCGATCCAATGCGTGTTTGGGAAGGGTCAACAGATTTTGCGCATTGTGACTGGACAACGCGTTGTAAACTCTTAGGCCGAGTTCGGGCGGCTTGTTTCCGTATGTTCATGTACAGCTCGATTTGTTGTTAGTGGGTCGGCCGCTCAAACACCGAGAACAAACAACCGGTTATCGCTGGTAGTTAGTGACAAGCAACATGCAACATGGCGGCGTCCATGTAGGCTACGTTATTCGACAGTTAACGATTGGATGGGCTGAATTCTTTTCTATATAAACAGGAACATTCATTTCTGTGTTACCGAAAATAATTAATGTTAATTTTGCAAAACTTCCGTTTGTCTATGGCTTTGGAAGCCATCTCTCTACTTTTTGCAGCTGTTTAAAAATCAAAATCTCACGAGTTTTCCGTGTGTTCCTGTAAAACCTTGAGGAGGAGGTCGTGTGTGATCCTGTTCCGAGAACAGTGTTCTTGAGTCTGTTCCCGCCGTTCGAGTGCGAGAACCAGAAACCCGTGTCAAGACCAGGCTGTCCGAACTCGATCTTAGAGGCGCAAGCGTTGACGCGCATATCGAGGTCGGCTTTAGTCTCTTGCACTAAACTGCCGCTAACTTTTAACAACTTGAGAGATGTCATAAACTACCTCGGAAATTGTGTGTTTGAAGCCAGCTGAGGCAATGAGTAGTCTCTCTACAAGCTCCTTGTCTGGTCTTGGAGACAGAAGGATGAGATCAGTGAGGAGTGACTGAGAGGTATCAGTATACATCGCGGCAACTGCATCCAACATGTACAGTCTGTCCTGCTTGTCACCGACACGCCTGTGGTGAGGAACGTGCAATGTATTATATCTGACATGTCCGCAAAATTATTTAAATGTACTGAACGTAAGAACACATATTATTTGTCTTAAATAAAATACTGGAGCCTTCACAAGGTTTGAAAACTGAAATAAAAAGAACTAAATCGTATAAGCCCCAATATCCAGTAACCTGACGCTTCTTCTCAAAAGAAGAATTACGAATTTTCTCAAGGCCCCCGTGAAAATATTAGGAATACCATTTTGAACCAAACCAGGCCTACTTCATTTGTGAGTCGCTTGCATAATACGGCCTCGTCGTCGGCACAAGAAAGAGAGACTGCATTGGCCGGCCATTTGAACTGGGTAAAGGGCACCTCAGTTAAGGTTGTACTTTAAAGCAAAACTTAGTGACGTGTCAGCGCCCGCCTAGTAGGCCTACCACGTACCAGAGAGCAGATACTACATACAGGAGTTGAAACGATTTACTACTCTAGTGAGTCTTTACCTGGACAGTGGTGGCTTGTACATAGGGGTCACAACCTCAGCCAATTTCTCTCCGTCAGGCACTGAGTTCAGGGCTTGTACAAGCTTCTGGAAACAGTGGCTTTGTTCATTAGAGCCTGGTTGCAGCAAAACGAAAAAAAAGTACTTTAGTCACCCTTTGCCACCTTCACCCTATAAGCGTGCAGGCTGTCCAGGTGTTTTGATCAGTTCTAATTCACAAACATCTGCACTTGTACATGTGAGAATGAGATAAGACTTGGGTCTGAACAAACCTTGAAAGTTGTTTTTTTTCTGGGGGGGGGGAGGCTAGCCATGGCATGGTTAGCTATAAACAGTTAGTCAGGCGCAAGATCATGGGGCATAGGGGTATTATGTATCCCCCAGTTTTGTGGTGAGAAAAAATATGGTGGGTTTCGAGGAAATTTTCTGACTTCCCAGCAAGCCAAATTTATTCATTTGCATTGGAAAAAGGGAGAAAATAAAAAGGTTTATAAATACCCAATTTTGATGTACAGTTTAGGAGTGTGAGTAATACACACTAAATAATGATAAAAGTCTGTATCATAAATAGAGCCCCCAATTATTTCACAGTTATCAGTTTATTTCGACCTGGTAGCATTATCAGTTTTCTTCTAAAATCATATTACCCCTTTTGAAATTTTTATGGCTGGGTAATTTTTTTAGTCACATTATTATTGTAATTGTGAACCACCAAACGATTTTAATATTTTGAATCCTGTGGCAAAATCGTTTGAGCTCTTTCTGCGATTACTTTCATCAAAAAGCTGTCCTTCCCATTCAAAATGGTCTGGTGAAGGTTTGGAAAGTATTTTAGTGAGAAAACCCACAATAGTGGATGCTAGTAAGTTGGATACCCCGGGTAGTTGCCTTGTGGGTGCTGACTTTCTATTGTTGGAAATATTGGCGGGTCAGACATCCTCTTTTATGGCTAAACTGGCCACCTCACCTGCCAATGGTGCTTTCCTCATACAGGTAAGGTTGCCAGCGATCTGCTCTTTCAAAGACGTCATGTTGAAGCCCAGATGATCGTCTTCAAGCTGGGGACAGAGTGAGAACGCCAGACACTTTCAGGACGTACTCTACGCGTTGACCTACTGTCAAATCGTGACCCAGTCGAACCCTTGACTGCAATTAAACTAACTATTATTTAAACTAGTCTAGAACAGTTTGTTCTTCAAGTGACTACTTTTATGGCGAAGCGTGGAGGGTTTGGGAGGTTAAAACATTCTTGAACTTTCGCCATGAAATCACGAGAAGACATGAAGCGAATGATCTCTAGCACCACCAAGGAGTATGACTCAAGTTGTTGAAATCGTACCAGTACCACTGACCTACAAGGAAAGGCCTATGCCGTATGACATAAGTTCCATCAGATATCTTGTCTATGCACCACCCTTTCGCCTCGAGAATGTCTTTTGCAAGTCGTCGGTGTTTGCATACGTCAAAAAAATTCTGAAGAGCGTTCATTTTCACACATAAATTCTTTACATTCCTTGATTTCACTTACCTGTTACATACGTATTGAGTCTACCACTTACCTTTTGCATACGTATTGAGTCTGTCACAAGGTCTTCATCACCCGGTGGTCCAACGGGTGACGGGTAGTACACCTCTTGTACAAACTTCAGCTGGCCTTCTGAAAATGTCTGCATCTCTGGAAGCACTGAGCGACATTCCAAAATAGCAATGCAATCAGATTTTAAATTAGTTTGCTCAGAAAATAAGGCAACATAAATAAATTTCATTACATTTCTTTTATCTACAAAAATAAAGACCTGACTGCAAAATGAAATTTTGCTTGCCTGATTTTGTACCTGAGTTATGCCAAGTTAGCATTCAAAGCCTTTCAAGAAAAACTTAGGGTCATTTTGCAGAACATGTCAGGCATCAGGCACTTTTCTCGAAACTTTGTGATAAAAATATGGCCGTGTGTTTTTTTCCTCTGGCCAACTTAGCACATAAAATGCAATGTTCAGTAGGAAAATAGACAACACTGGAAAAGATTATCATTTTGTGGCTACAAACTACAGGGTGTATAAAAAGTATACAGTCAGAAAATTAACTGCAAAATAAAAAATGTGAACATATTTTGAAAATCTCTTCTCCAACATGAGTTGATCACAGTATCATGCTGTTATTAAACTTGTGATCATTAACAGATTTTCATGCCTGCGTGACCAGGAGCAATTTTCCTAAATCTCTCAAAAATCTAATCAACCTATGTGGGAGAAAAGATTTTAAAAATAGTCACATTTTGATTTTGTAGTTAATTTTCTGACCGTATTTTTTTTGATACACCCTGTATTACCCTGTATAAAAGCATCTTCTCATTCAAACCATTTTATAGACTTAAAAATGCAACAGGTCTTCAGCTACAAGTCATGAAATACCAAATTGAAATGAGACTTACAGCGAGAATTCAATAAACACTATGGGAAAATTACCAATATCGTCCTCTGTTTTTTCATACTTGTGCTGAAATCTGTGAAACAAAACAAAATAGCTTTACAACAGGTTAAAACCAAAAAGCCAAGGCCGGAACTCACAGTTTCTGAACATTCGCGCGGCAGGTGCGGATGATGTCACCGATCGATCCTCTGATCTGCCCTTCATTGTCTAAGTGGTATTTATGTCCCAACACTGTCGCTCAAGCTACACATTTACCGAGTCTGAATTGCCCTCTCCTTTGTACATGATGAAAAAGATAGACAGCAAATGTGTGCAAACCCAAGAAAGAGAAACACCTGGCCAGTATTCAAATCTACAGATCATTCTAGTTCAGATTGGAAATAACAGGCAGATGCTGCGGAAAAGCTCCGGATAACCTGCCTTTTATAGCCGTGTGGCCGCGGACACAAATGACCAATTCTTCTTTGAGAGCGACATTCTCTTGAAATGACTGAGTGCGAACAGGAAGAAGCAATAAGGCCACTTGACTGGACACCAACATCCAATTTCCTCCATTATTCTTTATGTTCAACACAATAAGCGACGCTCAGTGCAATTGAAGTTATCTGATAATCTCGGCACTAAGGTTTGGGGCAAACCCTTTGTTATCTGAACCTAAATGCAGCTGGCAGAGGCACGTGGCCACACACAACACGAAATGTCAATCATTTAAACAGGCAGGTATTCTCGAATCAAATTTTTTTGAATTGATAGGAAGTGCAGGAAACATACTATGGGGCGCCATCAGGGCCATAATTACAAAACAAATACCCCAAACCAAAAAAAAACCAAAGCTTAAAATTTAAATACAAACAAAAGAAAAACTGCATAAGCAAAGGACATAAAAAAAAATTAAAATTTAAAAAAGAATGACAAAAAAGAAGCAGACTACCGAATCCTGCTTTGTGAACGCATTTGCGAAATAAATTATGAAAACCTCAAACGATCAAATCTGAAAAAGGAAAAGATCAAAGGACAAGAATATACTATAAAAGAACAGAAATGAATAATAATAGCACAAAACCAAACAATTATAGAACAAAACCTAAGGGTCTAAAGACAAAACTAAACGATCAAAGGACAGAGCTAAACAATCAAAGGACAAAAAGAAACAACTAAGTAAAGGTAAACGTTGAGGGTGGCAATTGCTGACGCTATGACAGCGCACGTAAATCCAATCTCGACCAAAGATACTACAAGTTGCACTACGCCAAATACGCGCCCATAAAAAACTGTGCAAAATTGGAACAAACTAGCGCCACCTGTTGACTCTCGTGAAGAGGTTGGCCTCCGTTTTTTTCCGAAATATTTCCATGATGCCTCATGGTTATGGCCTCTCATATTGTAAAATCTCCGTGGGATCACAAAATATCAATGAGCTCCCGCGCAGAAATACAGCCATTTTGGTAGAATGCCCCCTATAGCGCCCTATTCAATCTTTGATTTCGACTCCATTGTGTCAAAGGAGTAATAGCTCGTTGTGTATCGATGTGTATAGTGTGTCAAATTCCTGCAGAATCTAATCTTACATTAGAATGGCAGTTTATGGCTTTAAAAAGAGTTTCCCCGTTTTAGTAACATTGCAAACATAGTCGTTTGGAAATCCTAAAAAATTCTCCACAATCCGCTTTAATTTTTGCTTATTACAGTGGGGGATGACTCGATTGCCAATCCCCCACCTCTAACAGTGGGGGAGGGGGATATATATCCCATCCGGGATTTACGCCCATGTGTAGCTGGTAGTTTAGCATAACAGAACTTGGCCCAAGCCTACTGGTATTTCAACTAACGTTAGGCCTGGTGGTTAGGGCCTACTGCTGCTGACGTCTGTTGGTGGTAACGCATCCATCACTAGCACTCTGTCAAGGGCGTTGAGCAAACGGTTCGCAGTCTCCTCGGTTATCATGGCATAATCGTCTTTATATTGATAACTACACTCTTCATAAGTAACGAGCTATGACTTGTTTGACAAACTGGAGTCGAGATCGGATTTACGCGCGCTGTCATAGCGTCAGCGATTGCCGCCCTCAACGATTGCTTGTACTTAGTTCGTCTAGTTATTTGATCGTTTAGTTTTATCCTTTGATCGTTTAGCTCTGTCCTTTGATCGTTTAGTTTTGTCTTTAGATCCTTTGGTATTGTTCTTTGATCATTTGATTTTGTTCTTTTATTATTCATTTTAAAGTATACTTTTGTCCTTTGATAATTTGCTCTTTTCTGATCGTTTGAGGTTTTCATAATTTATTTCGCAAAATGATCTTCTCAATGCAAGATTTAGAGCTCCTCTTCATTTTCTGATATTCGTTTGGTATTTGCCTTTTTCATTTTCTCGATTTCCTTTTTTTATGCAGTTTTTCTTTTGCTTGTTTTTAAATTTTAGCAGTGTTTTGGTTTGGAACATTCGTTTTGAAAAATATTAATTTTGGCCCTGATGTCACCCCACAGTGCCGTAAAAACAGACAATCAGGGAAGAGTGCCCACAGTCACCAGTATCATCCGATTGGAAAAAGGGCCGGATCTGGACGGTGGATGGAAAAGGAGGACACGTAGATCGACATGCGTCATATGAGTATTATACCCAGAAAGTGTACAGTACGTATTTTATGCGTCCTGAGCATAATACGCATATGAGGCAAGTCGTTCTACATGTCCTCCCTTTTCCGTCCACCAATCTGGACGGGGGGGGGGCGAAACGAGTAAGCAGCATCCATTGTTCACTTTTGCATTAATACATCGCACCAGCCCCAAATGAAGCACCTGCTCAGAAACGATATCCTGAACAAAATGGATCTGTGTATACAAAACAACCAAAATTCTTAAGACTGTATATCTTCACTCTGATTGATTAAAAATAATATACCTACACATTTCTTTTAAGAAGTGGTTAATTCGTCAGAAAAAATAAGTTCGTTACTTCGTGCATTTGACACACAAGTCCAGGTTCGTTAACCCCAAACTCGAAAGCTTATTGTCCGAATTTATCCTAGAGTTCAAGAGTCCAAAACGAAAACGGTTCCATCGTACCCAGGTTAAGCACGCAGGCTTCAGAAGTCTGAACTCGGCTCCAACCCCACTTATTTCATTCTCAGACAACTGAACAATTACGACTATTCTTATTACGCTAATCGTCAGGCAACTGTACAACAAGCATGGATTTCAAACAAGAACAGGGGAGGTAAAAGGTAACCCACCCAGGTGCCGATTCCCGTGGGGCATCGAAGCGATCCAGTATTTTTACCAAAGAGGGGAGCTTCATAGCAGGATGATAGTGGATCTCCTACATGCAAGAGACAAACGTGCACGAGGGCATTAAAGTCCAAGAAACTAAATTAAATACAATCCAAACTACAGATTCCGACCCCTCAAGCGCAGCGCCTACTAAATAGGAGCCAGGGGAAGAATCACTAAGATAAGGTTCTCTGACCCAGACATGGCTCTGCTCTCGTATTACACATGAACAATTTTATTTGATTATACATCTAACCACTTTTGCTAGATTTCTTTTAAATACATGACCATCACGCTCGATGTCAACAATTGCACCTGGCTAAAGAGAGGAAGAAAAACTCTTATACGGCAAAACAGCGAACGCAATATTTCAACAAAACGCCGTACAGCTTTACAAAAATGTAACAGCGGATGTTTGTTTTCCCTTCAGTTTTATCTTTTTGTATATTTTCTGCTCTAGCCGAGGCTTAACACAATGCCGAAAAGGAAAAAGAACTCTGCTGTTTAGTTAAAGCGACAATTTTCGTATTTGTTCCAACAAAGACTGCAAAATGTAGGACCTAAGTTCTGGCTTTTGATCCGATACCTTTTGATGCGTGGATTTTCCGTAAGGTATTGGGTGAGTATGTCTAGTCTTGGTGAAAACAATGATTCCATCATTGCCTGGTGCCATCTGAGCGGTGTAGGACGCCTCATGGTTACCTTCGTGACCGGTCTCATTACAGTCGTAACTCCAGCCATTGGCCTTCAGCTTTAAAATAGATACCGGATATGGATATTAGTTATAAAGAATCTGTAAAGTTCTTGTGAAGAACTTTAATTGAAAAAAGGAAGTACAACGAACGCTGTTCTATCTGATGGCGCAGTTTTAATGGCAAACATACATGTACATTGAAGCAAGTTGCTGCGCCGAGTGACGTTACCATGTATTTGATAATGATAATCATGCTTTCTGCGCCCTTAGTCTTGAGAATTTCGTCACTACTTTTTTTTAATTTTGAGTGATTATGCATTACTGGAAAGCACGATATAAACAGGCTCAGTGCCAGGCTAGAAATTGACATTGGACACAAGACAGGGTCCAGAAATTGCGGTTCACTCTTGGACTCCGAGGATTTGTGCACACTCTGAAAATTGTTCCTCTCTAAGCTGTCCAATCTGTAGGCACACATTCTTTGCTTATAGCTCCCGTGGTGCCTCGAGATCACACAAATCCAATTACCATTCGTGAGTGGAGTCCTTGAAGCGATCGAATTCGCATACATACAGCTGGCGGTACTATTACAACGAACTTGGCTATTTCTCTAGAAGACAATCGCATTAATTGGTTTTAAAAGGCTCAGCACAAAACGTAATAGTAATATGTGACCCACTCGGTGAAAATGAGTCTTAAGTCGCCAGAGCCACTTTGGAATAAAACGTCCTTAAGAATAACTTGGCACAGAATGTATCAACAGGAGCTCACAGCATTTTTCTCCATGAAGCATCCACTTTCATCAGGATGCCAAACTGAGTCATACATCAAAACAAAAAAACTCTTCCAATACAAATGAAAACTCACAAAGTGGCTTTGGCAACTTATGACTTATTTCTACACAGCGGGTGACATAAACGAAGCACTGTTTCGAGGTGCATTTTTTTAATTATTTGGAAGTACCTTGTCTGCTGAAGGATTTTGCAGGTTACCAGCTAACAGGCTAATCAGACCTTTCTTGACCATTATCACATGGCTGTCTTCATCACGAGGATAGTACACCTGACGAATCGCTCCGTTCTCGCTCATGTCAAAGGAGAACCTACCAAAAAACTGGTTCAATTAACTTCTTTGGTAACTCTTTTTTCGTTCAGTTAAAACTAAAAAGTAATAGAAACACAAGGGTCTGGTTAACTCGGAGTGTACTTTTTTCGATCGCCGAGACCCCTTTCAAGGTTTTCTTCTTTTTCAAGCTCTTCCCATCTGACTGGACTTTAAAACTTGACCATTCATCACATTAACTCTCAAAAAGAACCCCCTTACATAGTTTTAAAAATCCAAAATAGGAAAAACGTGGCCTTTCCCAGTGCACCTTCACTCAATTTGTTCTTTGCGTTGATGGTCCCTGTCTTTTTGAGAAGCAGTGGACGTGTTGTATATCCAATTTGTAATTAAAAGGGCGATTTGTATTCAAACTAGCAACTTTTTTAATTAGCATCGGACCTTTGTACAGGCTTCTCATTTTGCTTGAACCCGTTTGAAAATAGTCACGTAATTGAAACCACAGCTTAAAATTTCTCCTTAAATCGCTCAAGCGTTAGAATTTTGTGACCCAAATTGTAAATCCCCCAAAGACACAATGTTTGCCCTGCAAGCTTCTCCATCAAAGGCTGAAGGTGTAGTCTAGCTTTTTCCCGGCCAATTTCGGAATTTAGCGTACATTTTGAAAACGACTTCAAACCTTGTTTCATTTTCGCAATAACAAGAATTCGACTTCGTTTTAAAGCTTTCGAATAAATGAATGTTTATTACTTTTCATTATAGATGTAATAAATACGTGACTGGGATGTCGGATTGACGTATTCCTTGCGAATTACAACAAATTCTTATTCGCTTAAATTCTGTCTTTTACCGTGACCCTTCGGATGTGAGTATTTATTTTATAATTCAAAATCGCAAAATATACGTTTATTTTGATTAGAAAATACAGGGTTGCACAAATCATGACACCACTTTTATAATGAAACTAATGTTACTCGTGAGTGTTTATATTATGTTTGTTATCAAACTGTACAAACGATAAGGATTAGAATGCAGCACAAGAAGGAAAGTGTTTATAGGATTCCTACAATAGTCGGTATGTTTTCAAAAACAACATGGATGGTTTCAATTAAATCATGCCTATTCGTACATTTAACCAATCAGCTAATTGCCTCTAAGAATGTAATTTCTATTAGAATGGAGTTCTAATTATTCACCAGGCATACCTTAAACAACACTTGTGAGGAAATGTCTCGCACATTTTCCGAAACAGATTGAGTTTAAATTAAGATAAATGCAATATTGTAGAGATGCATTCGATTTGGTGCAAATATGAATGTCAATTTACTAAATCAGTGCAATATCAATATCGAGAAGATAAACGTTGACTTAATACAACTGTAATAAAATTTGTATTTGAAACGGTGATTGTTGTATTTAGACGGGGATGTTTGTATAGGGCATTTAAAAGTTTGATCTATTTCACTGGAAAACAAATGCTGCTATGACTAATTCATTCACACACTTTCCGAAATTGGCCGGTAAAGTCTGTATTTAGTAAACGACACGCCTTTCTCTTTCTCACTAACCCCTCTCTGCGACTCACTACACGACGTGACGGAACGACAGCTCCCTTGCATCGTGCTCTCGCGTCGCGCTGTTGCCTTCTTTCCATTACGTTTGCACACAAACGACACATTACATCGTGCATCGCGTCGTGCCGTCACGCGTCGTGTCGTGCAATCTTACGTCTTTTCCATGATGCATTTTTCCTGTCCAGACGTTTTTTCCCTCGTCTGTTGCGATGCGCCGTCGTGCGTTGCGTCGTATGTCGTTTCGTGCGTCGCGTCGCCTATCACGTCACCTAGAGCACGGCGCGTCGTGTGCTGACGTCTTTTGCTGGATAATGTTTATAGAGGGCGCCTTTTCCTTTTTCTTTTGTTTCTGTATTCCGCGCTTGCACCATTCCCTGAGCTGCAGGCGTTGATTTTTTTCTCGGTTTTCTTTCTTCCATTCTTATTTTCGATTTAGTTTCGGTCATATTTTATTTGTTGAAAAGGGGGAAAAGGTGAATAGAAAATCTGCGAAAGTTGGGACTGCTCTATTAACGAAACTAGCAAGCACGTAGTAACGATTAATTGTATTGTATGACAGAGGTGATTTACAAAAAAAAAAAAAAATAAAAAATTAGAAGAATCAGAATCTGAGAAAGAAAAGGCAAAGGTCTTTTCTAAAATCATTTTGCGAAATTCAAATTATACAGATACTTGATCAAGATTCATATCCTTTTTCATATTTCCAAATCCCCCAAACAAATCTCTTGCCCTTAACAGGAGTGCTGAATTCATTTACCTGTAGTGTTAAACTTACATGGGGGGGCAAGGTACCCAGGTGTGTTTTGATCACTGATCATGCCACTATGGCTGGCTTGCAAAGCAGTAAACCTGCGTGAGCCGGCGGGGAGTGATTTGCACCAGCATAGTAATGAAATCAGTTGCTCAAAATGTTTTCATTAACCCCCCCCCCATAATCGTTAACTTCCATCAACTTTCATCCTGAGCTAAAACCTGAATTCATGAATGATTTCTTATTCATGCTTCTCTGATACTTTGGAAGCTTTGCCATTTCATTTCTAAATAGAACAAAACTGGACAACTGTTACACTCATATCATATCTAGTCAAAATTAATAATGCCATAAGTGAGCATGTATTTTATCATTACAGTAATGTACTGTAAAATCACGGTCAGCCTCTGAAATTAAAGGTGTGGATATGATGTTGGAAAAACTGACATGCTCAATTTTTCAGATTGAAGCTGACGTTCGTTCATCCTTTGATGTATGATGCTGGGTGGCATGGTAAATTTGACGAAATAAGGAATATTTCCCATGACTGGATTTCACGGCCATAATGACACTGCAGTGAGGCTGTCTTAACCTGGAAAGGAGGGGAGTCAATTCGGCACAGTGTTTCTTTCCTCACCTTCCACCTCTAAGGGCCCGGGTTCGAATCCGACGAAACAGGCGACGAAACCTACAATTCAATAGAGCCGTCGCGCCATATGAATTCGTAGCCACAGCATGAGGAACAACTCTGGGAACAACCACAGTCACTGTGTAATCCGGTCACGAATGTGACGTCACTTCATTTTCAACCACGCCCGCTGCACATACAAGTTTCAGAGCACTGACTTTATTTATATTCTTGTCAATATTCTGATCACGGTACTACGCGCAGCCCTTCCATATTTCACTGCACATACATTGCACATTGAGTTACATGCATTGATCGCCGTTTACATGGAGCCAAGGAACTGGAAGTTAACGTGCAACTTCATCGATCGTCCAATGGGGCCATGCGAATTATGGCGCCCCCGCTTTTGTCACGAAGTCACTCACGAACCGGGTACATTCTGAAACCAATGAATAACCCAGCTCTTAGAGTAAATTTAATTCACAACTTCTCAACCGTTCGTGGTATTAATTTTGTTCTTTTAGCGCATAAAAGACTAGTTCATATGCTTTATTGTGTACTCTAAGGATCGAAACTTCTGAAAAAAACATCCTATGCCAGGTGGAGGGAATTTAATCGCCATCGTCAAAAAGACCATAAAGGAAAAGGTTCACCAGCGATACTATTGCATTCTCCATTAAAAGTACGCTGGACGCCTTTCCCTTTTAGCAAAGTGTGTTTTTTTCTCTGCAGTATTTCTCTTACAATTTTACACTCTCGGTGTCGTTAGATAAGTATTGTTATATATGGTTAGAAGGCTTAGGTATTGGTAATTCTTGTCGTGTAATATTATTTTGACGAAATACAATAAGAAGGAGCTGTAATGATTGTTTGAAAAGTGGCCTTTCTAGACTCAATAGCATAATCAAAACACGTTGGCGTGCCCAGACTTGCCGGACGCTACCTTTTTCAGTGTAGGTAAATGTGTGGACACCTACGTGCAAAGTATTTTGTGGGATATTCTTAGGCACCTACGTGCAAGTATTTAGTGCATTGTTACAAAGAATTGTTAAACAAACACACACACACACAAACAGAAGTAGACACGGGCTCTTAAATGTGTGTGTGCGCTCGTGTGTAATGTAGTCTCAGTGAGTTTGAATCATAAACCCCTTTTATAAAGTGGACTTGTTCCACTAAGGACGCGCACACCCACACAGGAATGCGTGAACTCAAAGTCAAAGCCTAGCTACCAAAATGTTGTAAAGATTCATCGTTCAACTTCAGTCACTCTTTCAACTGGTATTCCTTTAATTTCTAGTAAGCTATTGAAACAGTTCATGAAACCAAAAACTCGCCAAGAAACTTACCACTCGCTAAATTCCCTTTCCTCGTTCAGAAGAACTGCGAAAAAATATTAATGCAGCACGGTAAAATGGGACAAGATTTATATGAATCTTTAGAGAACTAATTCGCTTTGTATGCATGTTTGGCCCAGTATCCTTTCAAACAGATTTGCTACTAAATTCCACCAGTTAATAACACATTCGGCCAGTTGTTTTGTCTGTTTGTCGCTGATTGGTCAGCCAAACAGTTTTTTCAGCAGGGCAAAAATAGTGTTTTACCTAACCGTCTGAGTATTTGACAGGCATCACAAGGCATCACAAAATTTAGTGGAAAGCCAATAAGCGTCTTGGGTCTTTGACCATCCACAGTAACATAAAAAGGATGCAAGGTGTCATTCTTTCATTAAAAGCCCCGGAGACTTTTCAGAGTATATTTTCAATATAGCAACCAATTTCTCCCAGGCGTCTGCACAACTCGCTGTGGTCAATTTTGATTGCTAGGACATTCTAACGTTCGTTTCGTTGGACGCGGGCTGTTGATCAAGGGTGTGTGTTAACTTCGGGGGAATTTCTTTGGTGTGAGTGATTTTGACTCGAAAAAATAGTGCTGCCACGACCTCGTGTAAACAGTCAATAGACACAACCCTCTGGCAAGCACTGACACCGGTTCAAACACCAGTGAATAATGTGTCAATCATTTTTTTTAGATTAAGCCATTATTGTATGATCAGTCGAAGTCTATAGTATGCAATTGCGTGATGGAGTTGAATATTCCCATTCGTTTCCGCATATCACCCTTCTTACCCTTTGAAGTGGGTTCGATCGATAGGAATTTTTAAACAATGAACTTGCAAATATACTAGAGCCAGAGACACCTTTCATATATCTAAAAGCAAGCCTAACAAAAAATACAACGAATAATTAATTACCTCTTTCTTCTTTGCTGAATACAGCCGCAGAGTAAACTCGCAGATATATTTCCTGGTTCCTACTACTCTCGTTAGAACTTTTGACCAATATGAGTCCAATCTATGATCAAGTGAAAAAAGTAAATATGGGAAGTCTTAATTTTATCTCATAAAGTGGCCCTTCGTTGAATGTCACAGTTAATATCCACTTATAATGGTAGGTCCTACATTATGCTGAAGAAATCAAGAAAAATTTGCACTGCACAATTCAATATGTTATAATACTACTAATAACAATGTCTTCTCTATTGCACAAAATCTATTCAATAATCTTATATATATATATTACAAGTCAGTACATTAAAATGAAAACCGTAAATTAAAATTAAAAAATACAGTGTCATACCAAACTAAAATATAACAAGATCCAGATTATGAAACAATAAAAAATAAACCAGATGCACAATTACGTATAAAATGCCTGTTTAAATAAAAAATTTTTGCTTCCCGTTTAAAACCATATAATGTTTCCTGCCATCTGATGTGGCTGGGAAACTGGTTCCAAAGCCGAGGACAATCTGTAATTTCAGCTGACTCGATGATCTAAGAGAATAGTAGGATTCATATAATCTGTACCTAGGTAACATTTTATGGACGCAAATACAATTTGTTTAAAAACAAATAAAATAATCTTAAACCCAATGCGATATAACTGGCAGCCAATGTAATTTTTTTGAGAATTGGGGTAATGTGGCAACTTTTTGATGCAAAGCCCACTAGTCTGGCTACAGCATTCTCTACTCTTTGAAGTTTCATAAGTTTGGTCTGAGCTACGCCGTACAAGAGACTGTTACAATAATAAATACGACTTGTAACGAGTGAATGAACCAACAATTGAGTGTCCCAACGATCAAGATATTTCTGAATACTGCAAATGTTATGGAACGATAAAAACTAGCATTACAAGTTTATTTATAGGTAAATTGATCTTGAATTTTTCATCTAAACAAACACCTACGTTCTTAACACAAAAGACAGGAATGATGCAATTATTACCAACAATTATATGGTCAATATTGATCTGGGATAATTGTTGCTTCGTACCAGCGACCAAAAGGTCGGTCTCAGCGTCAACGATCATCAATTTTTCTTGTAACATTCAGTTAATCTTGTAACATTCAGTTATTACAAAAAAGCTCAATATTTCATGCTTGCCTATTAAAATTGAAATGCATTGATGAAAATTTCATCCGTGGTTTCGCTGAAATTTTGAGAAACATTTTTTTCTTTCTGATGGGACACCTCTGAAAGTGAACATAAAGTGATTTTGAGGTATACGGTTTATCCTGCTTCCCTTTTCTCAGGAAAAGAAAGTCTTTTAAGTCACCCACTTCTATTTCCTTGTAGTGCCTAATTACGACAGTTTCTGTTTGACATTTCTTTGATAGAAAATCACTTTCAGCTTCTCTTGCAATGAGGCTTATAAACGAGGACCACAAATACAGTTCTTGTCAGTTTTTCTTGCTGCCACTGAGGACAGACAATGATCGATTCATCCAGGCGGAAATATTTCGTGTCATACCTATTTTACTATAAAAGCCTACAATGTTCCGAACACACGTTTTGCACCGAATTCACAAATAAAATTCAGAGAAAAACAGCGCGTGCGCATGCATATATATGCTGAATTATGGTAAAAGGAGAACATGACAATTGATTTTGCTCGCTTACACGAGACATCTCGCATTTTCATGATATTTCACACCATGTTTGGAGGAGGGGCGTATTATGGGAGGCAAACAATTACAAAGGTTCTTTATAAAACATGTTTAATATGGCGGTTTTTTTTTTGAAGAATTAGGGTATATTTGAGGGGTTTTTACATGCTTTGGAAATGTAGAAAAATAAAATTCCCCAAATTGCCTTACTCCCAGTATATATGGATCTGCCACTACTCTCTCATCTTTATCAATAGCGAATTGCTAAATAGAAGTCATTTCAGTATCTGACCGACTTTGGTCGGTGCGTGATTTTACCTTAGATTCAGCTTGCAGACTTCGGACGTTTTTCAGTTCCGTGGAAGAATGGAAGCTGTAAATGTACTCTGTGTCCGGCTTAAACTGGATGAAACTGGCCAGGCCGGGACTGGCCAAGCCGGTGCTAATGAGGAGGACCAGGTTGAGCTTAAGCACGGTGATGTGGTNACCGAAAATTTGCCCCCCGTGCTGGTAAGGCCATCTCGGAAGGATCCACTGTTCCAGTCTCAGTGAAATCTGACCTCGAACACGTCGAAATTCCGAAATAAGTATTGAAAAAGTAAACCAGGTTCTAAAGACTATTGCACAGTAAAAAAAAAACCGAGGTAGGTCGATTTCAGAATCGCTGCACAGTAGCACGAATAACATCCTTTAACTTCCTCGATCCCAACCCCCGAAACGAAAGAGAAATTCGTTACTTAACCTGTAATTTGTGACTCCCAATGAAAACAAAAGAAAACATAATAGGTTTTTTATTCTATGAACGACAATGAAACTAGATCGATACCCACTCTTGCAAACCTACAGAAAGCAAAGAAATAAACTTGTCCTGTACATCTTCACCACCAGGAAGCTTAAACCGTAGTTATTAAGCAAACAAATTGGTTTTGATAAACATACCGAGCCAGTTCAAATACAGTTAACACATGGTTGCTTTAATGTATTTGAAACCAGGGATCAAAGTTTTGAACGACGGGAGCATTCTAGAGAGTTGTAACTTGGATCACTTAACTTGGACTCGTGCTGCCATTTTTGTGACCAGTAACTTGACTTGTACCTATCAGTATTTTACTCGTTATTTAACTTGGACTTGCATAAAAAGTCTTGTGACTTGACTTGAACGTGTACATTGCGACTTGTTACTAACGCAAGTCAGAGAACTGTACTCAATCGAACCCATTAAAGTTGAAATTTGGCTGATCAACCTATGCCTTACGTTCTTAAAATAATCAGCTTAAGACTTTGTTCGGATCGCGACTTCTGCCTTGGTCTTGACTGCTCAATGCCACATCTAAATCACTTAGCAGTGGCGTGAAATCACACTTGGTACTTGGACAAAAGGACTTTTTTTCTGTTTGGACCATATTGACTTGTGACTTGACTTGACTCGACCTGTGATTAAATGACTTGTGACTTGACTTGACCTGTGATCAAGTGACTTGTGACTTGTAACTGGACCTAATGACTTGTGACTTGGCTTAGACCGTTGCAAAAACTGACTTGTGACGTGACTTGGGTTGCAAATATTGACCTACTACGACCTCTGGCATTTGAACGTATCCATTTAAATGACGACGTATTTGAGATTTCGAAACCACCATTACATTGGCAGGTTTGATTACTAAACTAATTCCGCTGCAATTTGTCCCAAATTTAAGTCCGTATTTCAAATAGCCTGCATGAACTCTGAACCCGCTATCACACTTGCAACTTGGCTTTCTCATATTATCGAAGGTGGAAGAGCCCGTGAAATGGGGTGGAAACCCCTATCGCTGCATCATACATCATCATTTTTCGCCCCAAATTAGGAATCATCTTACCCACAGGCTGTGTGATCTCTGTGTGCTAGCTGAAGGCTCAGTGCAGCAAGAAAGGGACAAAAAATTAGTGGGGTGATGTAAGAAATACAGCCTCGATGGGTTTTTGTGTGGTAAGCGCCAGAGTTAACTTCGACAACAGTTGCTGACGCAGAATTATTCACCAATCTACCGCTTGTATGCTACTAAAGGAACGGTTAGAACGCTTCAAAATGAGCACACCCTCCCCAAAGTCCCCGCTTTCCCGGTCGAAGTTGTAATCTCAGGTTGGAGCACAGAAAGCGCAATGAGAGACAACGTCGAGAACGTGAGGGGGGCTGGGGCACATCAAGATTTGGCTGGGGTTATAGGAAGTAATTTTAGTCGCTACCAGCCCCAAAACTTTGCAAAGTGGTGACGTCTGAAGCTTTTTTTCTCTCCTGAAAAGGACAGCCCACGGTCTCACATGCAGCACACAAAAGCACTGAAGCTTCAGTTGGCAGCGTAGAACACCAACTGAAGAGTATTCGGTTTTCCCTACTTCATTCCCTCCCCCTTAAAAACACAGTATCAACCTACAATCGCAATGATCTTACCTTTTACACAGCTGGCTCCTTTGCTGCTTCCCTTAATAAGATTAACAAAAGCAGATTCAAGTACTTCGTTATCGTCAACTACCGCAAAGACAAAAGAGTTGCAGGTATCAAGCATAGAAACTGAAAGACAGGAAATGGTGCAACGTTAGTGAATGCGACGAGATGCACCTTCCATGTAAAGTCAAACGAGAAATGCAAATGAGACCTTGCAACAATAGGAAGCCTTCCGAGCAGTCCAATGTGCTTCCTAGTTGCCCGTCAAAGGATTAGATTTCTCTGCAGGGTCTAGTGCACAGCAGAGTTTTCAACGAACAAGGAAAAGAACAAAAATTCCCCGGACGATTCGACCCTGAACGATGATGACAATCCTGCAATGATTAGCCAATGTGTGAAAACACCTACGCATTTTATGGTTTGTTTGCTACACTGAAGACCAGAAATACCGAAGCCTAGACAAGAGGAACGAAATCAAACTGGTTAGTGTTTTTTGCAAGAATGCCCGGGCACGTCTTTGCTTGAAATCAAAGCTAAGGAGTACATTAGCTCTGCAACTGGACTTCCTTTCAGTAAGTACTGGGTCAGTTTTAAGGAAGATTTCTTTCTCGTAAAGTACACTGAAGTTCAAATCGCTGCTAAATTAAGTAGGCCTACTACTGAAAGCTTAATTTACTCTCCAGACACGGGAGACACAAGTTTAGGAAAGGTTGACGTAATATTAGTCAGAAACATGTGCAGAATCCGGATTTCTATAATTTTTGCAAAAGCATAATGTGTGAGAACTCCTTGTGGACTGAATAGTTACGAATTAATTTGCCACTGTATACAGACTGCAGTTAGTTGTTATCGCTTCATGTAAAAATGTTGTCGGTTTATTCATTATGTTAACGCTCATGAAAGCTTCGATTTGAACAACATCGTTATCTACGATCAAATGGTTAAGATAAAAATTTGCTTCTCATAGAAAGCAAACGCAACTCTCACCTTTTCATTCGATGCATTAGCTTTATAAAATAAAGCTCTTCAAAAAAAAAAACAGTTATGTTAATTAAAATGTACCTTGGTCATTCCATGAGGCTTGGGCACAATTGGTGACAGTGTCCATTGTTATTTGGGTTCCGTAAAAATGAGCAGTATTTCCCCGCATTTTGATTGTAAATTATACATCTTATACAGAGGTGTGTGTTATTTTTACAGAGCAAATGACCTATTCTACAGGTCATGACAGGTGGTAAAAGCTACCCATGAAACAAGGACATCGTCACAAATTGTTCCCCAGCCTCATGAAAGGATCCACTTCATATAAACTTTGCAGAGGTGATCCTCAGCTATTGTTTATCTTTGACCAAAATCTTGCAGGTTCAGTCTCACAAGCATCTTCATGCTTACATTGACAGCAATTTCAACGTTCCGGTTCATATTAGTAAGCAGTGTAATTAACTAAAATCCTTACTTCCTTTTGCTTTCCATTTACAAAAATTCAGTTTAACGGGGCTGCCGATTTATTGGGCTGCCGTTGGTGATGCACCTATGCCAAAGACTCTCCTGAAAAGTGATAGACCATTTACTTGGGCTAATACAGATCTCCCTCCACCAGAAACCCCGAAGTAATGTTCATGTATTTCCAAACAAATTGTCAGGATATCGTTGTTTGGGGGTATTAAATTAAAGCTAAAATTAACAAAACTCATTTTCGTTCGGTCTAATGGGAGTTAACACAGTTCACCTTACAACTCTGTGCTGGTGCTGATTCCAAATTTTACATTGTCACACAACAGTGTGACGATGACTCCTCTGGAAGTTGTTTGTAGCGTTAAACTTGATGAAACTCATGGTTATTTCAGAAGATATTTTTGTTGTTGCGTGGAGGAAGCGGCTTCTTTTGGAGAGGCCATTGGAGCTAATGAAGGTGTATATTTTTTTCGTCCAAATGCAATAACTATTTATCTTATCCTACCCCTGTCCATGCTGAAAAACCTGATTAGTCACTTTGAAGCCAGGGCCCTCCCTAGCCAGAAACAAATTTTAAAAATCCAGCCAGCCTCCAGCCAATTCCCATAGGACTGTGGGTTAGGTGGCCCCTTGTGTAAAATATAATGGATTGTTTACAAAACAGTGCCTGGGCCAGGCAGTGGAATGTTTCTTATCAGTAACAGCTGTCTGGAACTTGTCGGAGGCCTCTTTCGGCAGTCTTTGAATTGTTATTTTGGTTGGGGGATGTTGTTGTGGTGGTGTGGCTTGGCTGGCGAGTGTCGACCCCCCCCCAAATAGGGATAGCCTGGGAAAACGCCCCCCCCCCGCACTGTGATATACTTTTGGTGGTTTTTAAGAGCTGTAGAGGGTACAGGACAACCACTGAAGCATTTATATACCTTTAGGACGGACTCATGGCTCTGCAACCCTGAGAAATGAAACGGCCTCGCCAAACAAGCAGCTCCAGAAACCACGTAAAAATCGAATCAGAACGCAACGCAGGGTTAATTAATAACAATTAATAACAGAGCTTAATGGGTTTGTCTCAGAGAAAACCGTTTACTAAAAAACTTTTGCAGTTTACCTCAGTCAGTTTGTAGCAAGGAGTATTTATCTTACCGATTTCAGGATCCTGTTTATTTATTAAGGAAAACCAAAGAGATTTAAAACAGAGCATAACCTGTTCATTTCAGTATCCTCCCTCTATTGGCCTTTTCAATGATCTCATGTTACGCAGCGGAAACAAAGTACTATTTTGATTGCTTTGGTAAACCCAATTGGACAGAACAAATTTTAAAAAAAGTTGTCTCACGTAGTTGAGATGATCTCCGAAAACGATCGTTGTGATGATTAAACCTTATTTAAAGTGAGATATTCGGGTTTGAGAACATAACATTTCAAGCTTGATTTCGATTTTCCTGACGATTAATTTTGTAGAAATTAAATGTTACGTTCGGATTCCATTTTTGAGACACTCTGTGAAACTTCAAGACCTCGTTTTGTGAACTTTTAACAACAGGTTCCAGTTACATGAATTCCAGTGATCCAGACTTAATAAAGTCTGCAACTAACGCTATTATTCTTATTCTGAAAGTTTAATGTGGTTTAAAATGCTGAGGCCTTAACCTTGTGTGGGTATGGTTACCCTTAAATGAAAATATTCTTTCCGATTCATTCAGCAGATATTTCTTCAAAAAAATTGAAACGACTAGAGTGTCCATCTATCATGAATCGGAATGCTATGCCTATTTAAAGCAGCGCCATGATGCAGCAGCTGCTCACACACCTAACGAAAAAGATGGAAAAAGAACAAGTCGGCTACATCCCCCTTTAAAATGATCTTCATCCGTCCTTTTGAACCTGATCTGGGCAAGTTTACTTTAAAAACGCCCATCTGGTGATAGTATTCAATCCTGTTAAAAAAGTTCATGTCTGTTTTATCATAGACTTGTGACAGTGTTCATCCGGGTACTTTCCTGATTTTTTCCATAATTTCTGTGTCCTTTGTCGTCTAGGGGAAATCCAACAGGCGAATGGCTGTTAGCCGTACAGGTGTTCCAGAACAGTAAAAAAAGATGAAGTGTGTCAGCCCCTAAAATACCCTAGTCTATAAATTGTGCACGAAAAGCCCTTTCTGTGAAGCGAGGGAATTTCCATTTACCCGGTACCCCCAGGTCAGTTAACACCAATTGTCAGTGCCAGTGCTGTTCAAGGGCAGCTGGAGGTTGGGCAAAGGTCCTCCCACATTGTGTTTGTTACCAGATTATTTGCAGCTTAAGTGAGGCAATTCAGAAGGAATTCCACTTTTATTCCTGGATCGATTACATGTCGGATCAGTTTGTAGCTTGAAGGGTAAGGGACAAAAGTAACAATACATGATCATGAATCCTAATTTCACACACAAGCCATATTTCTTAAAATCTTAAGAGAGTTTAGAATACAAACGAACAACTAATGTGGTTGTGTGCTGATAAGTTGCCGAAAGGGGTAAGTAGGAAAAAAACACAATCTGGAACAGAATTTATCCGCGGAAATTCATCTATGCTTGCAATGAAACATTCTTAGTTTCCCAAGTTAGCCTTTATAAAGTGGATGTTCACTAAAAGTGGCATTGTGAAATGTAAATACAGCAAGACAATCGACTACTACCAATAGGTGCCAAAGCGCAGGGGTGGAACGTTGGTAGAGGGGCGCTACCCCACCCCATGATGAATACAAAAGGAAAACGTGAGTGAAAAGCGAGAAAAATGTAACAAGAATTTGCTTGCCAAGAAATACAAAAATGACTTCTCCAAGCTAAAGTTAAAAAATCAGTGCTTTTCAGCCTCTCCTCAGAAAGCCCCCGTCCCAGAAAAAGCGCCCCCCCCGAAAGAATTCCGGCGACGGCCAAGCCTCTCCCGGGAAACTTTCCCGCTAATTTGACCATAGCAATTCCCTATTCCGACTTCAAACAAAGAAGTAACATGGTCATTTGAAATCTAACTTGAAAATGTAATATCTCTTGAAAATTATCGCGGAAAAATATATCTGAAAGAAACAAACTTGCGGGAAAATATACCTCGTTAAAACGATTTTATTCTAAAAATAGGCACAGTGCTTCTCAAACTAGATGCCCTTATTACAAACTACAGAAGGCATACAACTGTATGTCCTACAAAGGAACTTTGGAAAACATATTTCTCGTAAACACGAAGTTAACAAAATATATTTCCCTACAAAAAAAAAAACGTGAGAAAAAACTTTACCCTTTGGAATTATAAAAACAAAACACTTGACTGCTCGGCGAATGAAAATAAATGCACTGCGATGATTTCAGAAAAAAACTCAAGGAGGCAAAGGTGTTCTAGGTCTTTGAGGGATAATGGTTTGCTGCTTATGAGTGTTCCCCTCTCCTTTGGAAATGCAACTACTCCCTGGAAAGAATCCCGGTGAATATCACGGCTGCAGTTTGTTTAAAGACGTAGACAGGGAATGGAACATACTCATCCTACCTTTGGCCGGGAGGGTTGGCCCTTTGATTCGAACCCCTGACACCTCTTGCTTTGAATGTAAAGGGGAGGCAGCACACAAACATCTGGCGGATAAGACCTCAATATAAAACTAATATTAAGTTCCTTTTAAAAAAAAAAAACAGGTCCAGCAGAGGTCTGAATGCTGTCCTGACAGCACAGGAATTCAATCTAATCAGTTTAAATTTCCTTTTATCACTAGTGCCATCATAACTACGCAGGAAAAGTCTGATGAGCAATCAAGAGAAAAGGGGTCGTCCAAAATGCGGGCTTCTCAGACCCCCCTTCCCCTGTACACATGGCCTAGCTACTCAGGGGCTCCATCCCCTCCCCCTGTATGCATACCCATACGGGAAGAGGACTGTTGGAGTGCAGAATAATGTGTTTGAAAATGGAGTTATTAAACTCATTTCAAAGCCTAAAAGCTGATTTTGGTAGTTACATGTATTTGTATCAGAAAGTGTTTTGATATGATGGAGATTCATTAGAGGCAAAGTCTGAATTTGCATACGTACGGTACGCACTGGCTTGACCCCTTACGCGTGGTGTACGCTACGGCACCAACCCCCTCCCTACTTCGTGTATACGTATTTTATGGACAGCCCGAAGGTAAAACACACTTCATGTGTTTAAACTATTTTACTTTCATTTTACTTCTTAAAAGGAGTTTATACTGATTGGAGAGAACTTGAATTTACTTACCATTTAGGTCGGAAAATGAACAGAAATGTCGTCCAGAAAGCTCGTGGGGCTTGTTAATACTTTTCCATGCCAAAGTCAGGTTCAACCATAGGAACGCTGCTAGTACGAACTACGCAGGAGCCCGCGTACGCCTGCAGCCGAATATCTTTCACCAAATCACTGCCCGTGACCGGTCGTAAGAAACGCAATGTAATAATGTTCAGGCTAAAGAGTGTAGTATGTAAACTGTTGGCCCTGGCTTTTCCCTAATAGCAACAAGTATGGTATGAGTTTGGAACAGGACAAATTCCGGTTACAAGGTGTATTATGGTAGGATAATAATGCACTCACAAGTATTTTGCCTATAGAGAGTGATAATTATTGCTTTACCTATCTTTCAGGAGTTTTCAGTGAGGCACCTGCTGCAGATGCCATGTTCTCCTTCTGCGTCTGTTTAGTTTTCCTTTTGATCGCGCACTTGCCATGTTCGCAGTAAGTGTCCTTTATCTGTCGTTTCTACTCCAAGTACTTGACACTTTTTATTGTAAATTTGACCTCGAAATGTACCCTTATTGCAAGAACTGAGACACACCTTTCTGTTTGGATCTAGTAAAACTATAGAAAGTGGATAACACAGTAAAAATAGGCAGGCAGCTCAAAAGATCGTCGAGAATCCTAATTAAGTGTACAATAGTATGAGTTCAGTTATGTTTACATGTGTCGAAATTTGTTGTTCCCTGTAAACTCCATTCATCCAAGCACTCTGAACGAATCCCTTCAAACAAATAAACAAAATATTTGAAATGTTTGAAGTTTCTTAGCAACAGAAAAATGAAAGTAGACCGGTATTCTTGGAGATACATGAACGTTATTTTTCTTTTATGAAGGGGAACAGTCTGCAGTTACACATGCCCACAGCGCTACACGACTTCTTGCGGATTTTTGGGCTGGAGTCGTTGTACCAGATACAGGTGAGTAAAGCATCCACATTCATAAACGACTAAGAGAGTTTGCCCATTCCTCTCATCTCCTTACTTGGATTTGTTTAAAGACTAATAAAGTAATAACATGTTTCCAAACTTTCCCAAGTTCACGTGAAATGTTGCATCCTGCTCTGTGGACTCTAACCCTCAAACACCACAATACTCATCGTCACGTGCTTATGCGCAATTTAACCAACGGATCAGACAAAATACGTAACCCAATTTATGTAATAAATTGGCTACAATTGTGTTACAGCCTGGAATGAAGAACAAAATCGTAGGTCAATATTCATTTTGGACTTATTTTGACTTTTACAAAAGGGTGTGATCGGTCTGTGATCACAAGCCTGTGGACCTCTCCTTTCTCGGTCTGCTGTCATCCCCAGACTCCCATCCTGCGCGTATTATAAATAAAAACCGCCCCACAAGACACCTATTGCCATATATTAATCCTTGGGAATCTTATTCAAGAGACTGAAAATGAAAATCTTTGGGCGCGTCTATAACACAAAAAGATATGTAAGATTGTCTTACAAAAGTGCCTTGATAGATAGCGTCTATCTCTGATGACATCAAGATCAGTCTAGTATATCTGTTTCCTTTTTCCTGAATGTGTAAAACAGTATCTCCTTGCAATTTAAAGTGAGACCTCAAACTCAGGGGCTGCATGTAAGCATATATGTCTAGGTTTTGTGGCTTATAGAAGTAGGTTCAGTTGCCAGATCTTAATTTTCAGGTTTTCGAAGGATACACGTATATCCGGGTCTATACCTGTGACCCATAGACCCCATAACAACAACAATTTTGCTTTGAGACTTCACCCGGCAATTCTGAAGTGACAGTACAAACTGAATAAATCCCTCTCGATGGCTTTACTACTACCCTGGCCTTGTTCTGAAACCCATCATTCCAACCTTTTTAAACTTCTGAGTTTCTGTATATACCCTCTGTTCACTTAATTTTGTCAGAAATATCCACCCATGCCCTTGGTCCTCTTATTCAAACTCATGCTTTGTATTCCGGTAGAACTGACACATGTCCTCCCCTCATAAACTCGATAAATTGGGATACAAGCTATACTCTGACTTATGATGCGGTAACTGCGTTTAGGATAGTTTGCCTTTCAGAACTGGCATGATTTATTTTACTTGCTATAATGACCTTTCAGCTTCATGTGTCGACATGCTATTCAGGACGGCAAGTTGAGGAATGATATTTTACGGCCCAAAACTTCTACAAATGCTGTTTACTTTCAGGGAAAGATTTTTTTCTCCAAAATAAGAACGCAAACACAGCAGCTGTTGGCAAAACATTAAATTTTGTCAACTTATTTAAACAAAATATGAGTGGTGATAAAAAAAAATTCAGCGCAGATCTTTAGATGCGTTTCACTCACAAGTACAGTTACAAGATACTGATTTTACGCATTTTGAAATTCGAAATGAAATTGTCTCACTTCACCTGTAGAATATATCTCACGTTCTCACGTTTCACACTTCATTTGAAATGATTCGAATGAAACTGAAATTATAGTTACACACAGCTTAAACCGTACCACTATGTGTGTGTTTTTTCCAGCGTAATATCGTGGAATGTAGCTTTTTGATAGGTACCTAAAGCCAGCCTATTTGAGACGATCCCTGGTTTATTTCGTTTGTAAATATTGACATGCATGGAGTCCATTTCAAAGGCCCAGACAGGGAAATTCCACTTTGTTTACCCAATTGCTGAAGTTATTCAAACTGATGAACTGTGTTGTACTTGCGTCCAATTGTGTAGCGCAGGTTAGGGAAGCATCATCATGATAGATTTTTTGCTAAAGTGTTAAGGGAGTCAAGGGAGCTATCCAGACCAATTAAAATAAAGTGATATTGAGCGGTTCCATTTAAACCTGGCAAGGCAGAGGCAACCTAAATGTCTCCAGCAGGACAGAATTTTTATTTGGTAAATACACTCACCGTGATCAACATGAAAGTTGAACTTATTAAGTTAAAGGTCCTAAAAAATAAAACAAATAAAAAAATGCAAAGTTGACTGTCTATCTACTCTGTCTTCTAGATCTACTGTGTGTTTATGCACCTGCTCCCAGCGCTATTACAACGTCCTGTAGATTTTTGGGTTAGGGCTGGTGAACAAGATACAGGTTTGTACATACGAATAGTGAAAATTCTCTCCCTCCAATTGAAACTAAGGGCTGAATGAATTTAAGAAAGTTCATTGCTCAAATAGTTCTCGGTTTCACTCGAGTGCCCCACTGCAATGGGTCTTTTTAAAACTATTTTAATTTAAAGTGAATTTTACTCCAAATCGTTTAGTACTTGGTTTCAGTCTTCAGAAAGAAGACAGTAGGAGGCACAATGTTAGTTTTAAAATCTTCCTTGCTAGCTCACAACATATTTTGGTCCTCGACTTTCTGTTCATGCTTCTTTTCGTATGCACTGACATTTGCCCACCTTCTCCACTGATTTTCTAGGTTTTGTTTCAACATGTCCAACTGCGGTCATCTCTCGGAAGTATATATATAGTTTTACCCCTGTAGCCAATTCTGTTCATCGTATGATAACTTTCTTACTTTATCGTGCGTTTCCAGTTAAAATTTGCAATAATTCTTACTGTACAATCTTTCAACTTCGATGGTTTAAATGGGTCTATCATTTCTCATTTTGTTAACATAATCGTTCAGCAAGCAAACCATTTTATCAACGAAAGTTTAAGACAGTTTGGTTAGAGCAGTGACACTAGCTGCAAAGGGAAGCTAGAGTTTGTTGCTTTGTTAAAAAAAGTATAAAAGAAGTTTAAAACCTTCAACCATTTAACGTCCATGGACAGTAAGCCGTGATTCAGTCAAGACTTTTGTTGCCTTGGTCTGTATTTATAATCCGCAAAAGTATGCATGATCTGTCTTTGAATTGGTGAAGAACACAAAAGAAATTCGACTTCTTTGCTGGTCTCCCTCCATTTCCCCCCGGCACATCTTCTCATTGACTTTCACAAAGTGTGACTGAGAAAATTGCTGATTTAGGAGTAGGAAGCATGCAGTACGTAAAGTCGTTCCATGCACAATTATAATTATCTTGGTCCTTGATCTGTTTTACTGTTTCATTTCCTACTGCACATAATTATTCGCAGTGTATCCATACACTTCATACATTAATTTATGTAAAGGTTTTAACAAAGTGGACATGAAATAAGCTTAGAGTGATGGTTTAAAGCAATTAACCCCTTGAAAGTATTTTTTCGCCTTTTTTTCGTATTTTTTTCACGGCATCATAGGCTATTCATTTCAAATCGTTTGTGTGGAAACCTTTAGTACCGGTTTATAGTGCGCGTTGGGGATTTTGTGATCAACGAGGCTAAAACTCTATCTGCATGTACCAAAACTGAAAATATTAACTTGACTCCGTCAAATTTCCCTCAATTTCCCTCAGATGTTCACATCTTTGTATTCCCACCCGTCAGTTTAGCAAAAATAAACTTTACGGGTCGCAACATATTCAGTTCATACTAGGGATTGTTTCCCAAATCTGTGCATGGCAACATGATGACTTGATGCTCTTGCATATCGTGAAGAATCTACCAGCTATCACATGTCTTCCAGTGAAGTATAGCCATACAGCTGAATAAGAAAGTTCAAATCGACTATGGCATCAAAACGACTGTAGGAAAGGTTCGGACTGAAGAACTCTGTGCTCATATCGGCCTTTGAACTTTCAGAATTGATTTACTTATTCTAACTTCCCACTAATGATCCCTTGGACGAAGGAGTCTCCAGCTTATTTTACAAATCATTGGCCGGAAAAAGGACCCTTTCACTTTCGGACTGGCAACCCCAGCTATAAAAAACCTATGTAATTCCACTATCCAAGCTTACCGTATCCATGAAGCATCCAACACAGATCACGTATTACATAATGAAAACGAAAGAACACTCACTTGGAACTCAGAATAACGATAGCGTCAGTGCGAAAAGTCAGAAACAGTTAGGTACACAAGCTCTGAGCTTCCCCTAATTAAAGGGCCCCAAGCAAAGTGAAACAGAAGCCGGTGTATAATACAGTATATTTAAGTATTTATCTTCGTCTCCCTTGAGACACTGCATGATTTAAAGTATTACTTATTATACACAAATTAGGCAAACTTAAGACCTAAATCCAAAGAGATTATCTCAGATATTTCCATCAAGTAAAGACAAACATTGTATTCATCAGCCAGGCTTGAGGTCTCAATTCCAACTGAAAGTTTCGCCGCACGGGGGGCTTATATACAAGTATTGGGCAATGCTTTCCAGCTTGGAAAATGGTCACGCTGTAACCGACCCTACAATTATTAGCCATTCATTTAGAAAGGAGAAAATACAGAAATAAAAGGTTTTAGAATTACCTTTTATTTCCAGAATAAAGGGTAATAAAATTCACTCTTTGCAATTGTGTTTTGAAAATATGCACCATCAGTTCAGAGCCTTTTGACATCTCTTTGGAGAAACCAGAATATAATACATTTCGGTGCGATCTATGGCACACTTCTCCCCTCTGATGCTATGGTAGTGGTATCTGGGATATTCCGCTACAATAAGTTTATGCTATTCACCAAGATAGGCTAATAGAAAGTTGTATAAAATGTGGGCAATATTGGGTCCATTCCTTTGAAAATGAGGGGCAGAAAAGACTGGGGATTGGAAGAAAGAGGATGACAGTCACCGATTTGATTGAAAACACCTTGGAATATACTTCCTTCCAGAGGCTCGTATAAAGTTTGCTGTTATAAAAAGCTTGCATGTCCAGAAAGCCCTTTCCGTCTATACTACCAATGCTTTCGACTCATACAACGGTTGTTTAGACCCAGTGCAACCTGTGTTGTTCTTTCAACAGGGATAGCACTTGCTATCGGTGTTGCACAGGATGGAGTGGAAGTACTTCACATAATTGTCCATACCGTAAGTCCACCTCAAATTTTGAGGCTTCCTTCCTTAGTTAACGCAAGGTCGCAACGAAGAATCTTTAACAACTAGGCCTAAGTAGCAAATACGTAATGATTACTGTATGAAACAATTTGCGTAAATGTTCATATGAAATGGTTTGCGCAGACCAGTTTCTTTGTCGTACCTACAGCCGTTTGTTTTGGCAGTACCATTTGCCCCAATGGAGGGACGTGTACAAGTCCCAATTACTGCAGCAACTGCTACCGAGGATTCTACTCTCCAAGATGTAATCGTAAGTAATTGAGATAGCACTGTTGCAAGAAAAGAGTTACTACTCAGTCCTCTAAGTTTTGATTGTTACGACGTACATAACAGTTTAAAAAATAATACAAATAAAAAGAACCAGGAAAAGTGGCATCTATGAAGTGGGCCCGGGAATCATTTGTTGTACATTCCCTACATATATACCTATCCGTTGGAGCTTGCAACTTTAAATGCTAAGATACAAAATTGCAATGAATTTGGTACTTGCGTTATGGTTTCTCTTTTTCAAAAGTAGTGCTAGTTGACGAAGAAGCACTTTGAGAAATTCAGCAGCAACAAAGCCACTTTGAGGCAATGCTAGTGCCGGGAAAAAAACAATAATGATGAATTTTGATGTGAAAACTGCCCTTTTGTTCAACAAAAATGGTTTAATATCATCCCGCAGCTTCAAACATCATTCAACCAGTGCCATCCCCTAGGTTCGTTTATTTATCCCAGATGTTTTGAGGCGGAATAGACCAACATTCATTGAACTATATTTACAGAATCCAGCAAAGTGACCAAAATCCATCAAATTGATACCCCATCCAATTTGGACCTAGCAGTGTAGTTATTTTAATTATTCCTAAGAAGTGGCGCAAATGCATTGAAAACCTTCCCTGGTCAAAACAGCTTCTGTTGTTTGAATGTAAGATTTTTGAGTCAGTATTCTTTGTGTTTCTTTGACATGAAATTACAAAAAGTTGTTTCAGTGATGGGTGTGTAAATACTGTTGTTGAGCAAACTATATACACAAATTATAACAATATGAAATCTCCTGCACAGGAAGGAAAACAAGTGTCTCAGAAGCGTGGCAGATTTGGATGTGCGGTCAGCAGTGCTAGGCTTCCCTTGAAATATTTTAAAAAAATGAAAAGGAAAACGTGCTAAAAACCCTAATGACACCCAGAAAGACAGACAATCTTCTGATTCCCTTTTCAGACAGATTCAATACTATCTACAGAGGTTGAAACTATCCGTGCAGTATTTTCATTCAGTAGTTTGTATAGGGCTCCCGTTTACCAGTGCTTAGTTTCATGATTGCACCACTTTGACAAATGTAATAACATGATTTGGTTTTCCACTCTAGGGTGTACAGCTATTGATAACTGTCTTGAAGTGTTCTGTAGTAATTCGAATAACCAGAAATGTGACCGATGTGATGGTGATTACGGCTCTGCTCACGGATCAGCCTACAAGAAGTCTGATGACATGCGACATTGCATAAGTATGTTTATTGACATCTAAGAAAATGTGTGTTCCCAACAACATATATGCATCTTGAAATGATGTTGGTGCGATTGTTTGTGAAATATTTTAGCCCTTTTAGACACCTTTGCAAAGTTGTGGTATTTTTGCAATTTTATGAGGAAAGTACATTTCGAAATATTTTGAAATTTTCCTTGCCCTTTCTTGACGTGCAGCTTCCGGCAGGAAAGCTGTGTTCAGATTTTTTTTTAAATGAAAGAACGATTGGAACTAATCTTTCACATGAGAAGTAGAGCAGGGCTGGATAAGATTATGGGAAAAGGAAAAAGACTGCAGAAGAAGAGCCCTACAAAGGGAAGTGGGGTGTTCTTGCTTTTGCGCTTTAATTTGTTTTTTGTTTCACCAGAACAATGTTCATGGAGGAGTGACAGCAATGCCTGCTACCCAGGAACCTGCACAAATGCCCAGTGCACCTGCAGCAGTGGATTCTCAGGAACTGACTGTCGAACAAGTGAGGGATGAAAATCAATAAAAGCAAAACAATATTCCATAAAGCAACATCTTACCTTCCCTACCATGTACAACATATAAAGTTTTCTTTTCCAATGGACAGTTAGTACATTAATGAAACGAGAACAGAGCGCATAGAAAATACATTTACTATGGCAGCATATCCAGTACCTCCTCACGCGACTCGTCTTGTTTATGCCTTCGTTACGTAGACCTTGAGTAGCCCTTCCCCAGGTTTCTGATATGTGTGACTTTTTCTTAATCTCAGACTACTAATCGTGCTTAGCTTGTGGAGTTGTATAGCGCCTTGGAATATATTTTTTAGAAATAGCGCCTTAGAAATGAAATAAGTGTTAAATATTCAATGGTCTAATTTTACTCTTTATGGTGATTTTTAACAGTGGGTGGCAGTCAAGCGCCAGCCCTGCCAGAGCACCGTGCTACCCTTATCCTGGGAACAACAACTCTGGAATCGCCCACGTTCCAGGGCAGTGCGGCCACCGTCTACACCAACGTGCACAATTTCACAAGCGTTAAGATCAGGTGGACAAGCTCCTACCAACCCACAGGACTACCAGACCCCAGCAGTGGTGGACATCCATATGTCCATAGCCGTGGACTTGGCGTTGTGGGTGCAAGAGTCATAGCCTTTGTGAAACGTAAGAATAAAAAAAACAGGCAAAATTCATGATAATAAGCTGGAGAGATCGCAACTAAACGCTCCCAGGTTAGTTAGATCCAAATAACTTCCCCTCAGAATTATTTTTAATAAAACTTAATTTGAAAGTGCAATTAAGTGTTACTGTTGGGCAGAAAAGTGTTACGAAGTGCTTCATCGTTCATCAGTCTAACTGTATAAAATGATGTATAAAGAAATTGATAAACCCATGGTTCGTCCACATTGTGAAAATTTCTTCAGGGAAATTTATGAAAACCCTTCAGGTTATTCATTATCAATTCCTGAAAGAACGTGTTGCTTATATTGTGCAATGTGTTCTCATGCAAAAGGGGGTTGGAGTGATCTATATTCAGTTGGCTCCTGGGACTGCACATCGACAAATGGAAGCTCCTTCAATCGGGACAATCCCGCTACAGATCTAGTATCCTGCGAGCACACTTTTGGTTTGAACTACAACGCGTGGACACCATCTACAGGAGATGTGTAAGTGGGGTAACCTGTGTAGAAATGAGGCCACAGATAATATACCAATCATTTATATTAGCCTTTTAAAAGTACTGGGGACACAAATAGGAGGGAGCTATTTGAAGTTGGTAAAATTTTAAATACAAAAGATTTTACCAAACCAAATATCGCCCGCTGATTATGTCCGCCATACCTCTAAAAGGCTAATTCCGAACCTAGAGGGTAATTGAATGCAGAAACGTAGCCGGACTATCCATGTAGACCTTTGTCTTTTAATGCTGATCATTTTGTATAGGTTTACACTGCTTTCAAGTTGTTTGTAATTTTCATTGCTGAGTCCTTTTGCCAAATATCTGCAATTCTGTTGGGTAATGCTATCAAGTTGTACCAATTCTCATAAAAATTTATGGTATTATAAAATGCTATTATTTCCAATGTTGGTCTGACAGTCCTCTGATTTTAATTGTAAATGTATTGCAGATTAAGGCAGGATATTTATACAACCAGCGGCGGCTACTTGAAACTTTACAACAGAGATCATTCAAGCAGCATCATCACACGGTACTATGGCGGCAGCACAACGTCTGCCCATTCAACTTTCACCTTTGATTTTGTTGACCCTTACCACTGCGTGGGTGCGGGCGGTGGATGTAGAACCACCATGCTGGATGCAGGGAATGACGTTACCTCGCAGGTCAGGGAAAATTTATCTTAACTTGATGCAGACTTGATAGGTTACAGGAATCGCAATAGTTGAGTGTAACTAGTCAGAATATACAGGGAGTAACCAGGTTTGATTATCAAAGAACAATGAAGGGAGTAGCACTTGAACCTGTGACCCCAGAATACAACTTAACTCAGTCCAGCCTTGTTTTAAATTTTATTTGATGGTTCTTTGTTCAAAGAAGGTAGTAATAAACTTTAATTAAACCAGCATACAACACGGACAAAGACCACACACAACTGAAGTCAGTGTTAACAACATCTGCAAAATTACGCGCGTTGCAAACCTGGAAGGGGGAAACAGGATTGTACTCCCAGAGGCTCTCGAAAATAATCACATATCTTTATACAAAAGTTAAACGACGCCATTTGCTGGAGCGGGATATGGGCCTGCAATCTTTAGAACACAGGAAGAAGACATTTTTTTTTGCACTGTTCACCCTGTGGGTGAGTTAGTTTTTCAGTCTTTTGTATTAATTTAGAAAGCACATTCCACATATTTGCTACTTGTAACGGGCACCGGTGAGGATGATCTAATAACATAGCTTGATTACCTTCAGTGAGTTTATTCTCCTTCATTTCAGGCAGTGATTACTGTCACTTGGCAAGGTTGGTCAGACAGTCCTGCTGGTATTAACGAATATGCTTTAGAAGTGCGAGAGCTGTCCGGTATGCATGGCACTGAAATGACAGAAAAGTTTGACAGTGATCCTGTTTACACTGGACTAGCCAGCTCTGGTCAGAATGTAACCTTGCCCCATGTAGGTAAGTACGTTATCAAGTCCGTAATTGTGACCGACCCCAAGGCTGAAGTAGGTAAGTTAATGTCAGTGAAGCGGTGGAACTCTCGTTGTTCGTGATAATGGAAGTTCAACAACTGTCATTGTTGGACTTGAGCTTTCTGTAGACAAAATCTAGACTTTGGATCATTTTGAATTGTAAAAAAGCGGGGAATGGGAATTGTCAAGTATCATATATACCTGGGTTACTCCAGCCTTGTTTTGAAAGGAGGAGTCACACTTTTTAATCCAGTCAATTGGATGTCAATCGTTGGTCAGTTGACGGGTCACATATATTGAAATGATTTTAATTTGTTACAGGCTTACCTAGTTTAACTGGCTTTACCTTAAATACCTTCAATTGAAAGTGGATTGAAATATGTGGTTACCTGTGATAACTTGTAATGACTCTTTAACAACTTATAATGCACATTCTTCAAAGTCCTTTGCAAGTAGAAAAAAACGACCCCCTTCTGGGTTTTATTTGAAAGTCTCACTCAAACTTTTGAAGCCATATAGCTCAACAATTCAAATTATCATTTTTGGAAGTTTTGCATGAAAGTATCATCTCTTACCACCAATACTGTGCAGGCGTCTATTCCTTCATCCTCTCTACTACCGACAACGCCGGCAATGTCAAACTCAGCAGACGCTTCGTGTTCTTTGACGATGATCCACACGACGTTACTGTCCAGAGTGATTCCCCTCTTCGCGTGGTCTCAGCAACTGCAGAGACCGATTACGTGTGGTTGACCAATCTCGACTCCAGCGGTGGGACGACCCCGGTGCAGCTGTCTTGGACAGGCCATTTCACCAATGTGCACCATCAGAACCAAGGATTATTAAAACCTATAGGGTCTTACGTCGCTGGTACCATCGATTCTGGTGAGATTTAGAACATAATTCCGTTGCTTTAGGAAAGAGGTCATCTTGCATGCCTTAAAGTGCAGGCTACTAAAGTGTACGATGCATTGTTATAGTGCCAATGTACCTGGCTGTTTTAACCAAGCTGTTTCAATGAGTGGAAAAGAGTGTTTAGCTGGACAGCTGATTCCGACCTTGTGGAAAAATAGAACCATTTTCTAAATGATGCAGACCTTTTAGTGGGCTTTTGTCCAAGAAAATGTTACTTCTTTGCTTCTGCTTTGAATTAATACCCGGTTTCGTCATGTCTGCTGAAGGCAGCGGTGTCCAAAATGTTTAGGCCTAAGTTGTACGTAGCATGGGTTTTCCTGTTTGAAGTCATTCAAACTCTTGGCCTATGCAGTAAATATTGCTGAGTCTGAAGTTCATTTCTCATGTAGATTACGACCAGAACTTTGGCAAGCGTGGCCGTGCATTTATCCCAAATGCCCTTGGTGTGACCGAGTTCCGCGTCCTTCCCGACATTGACCACAGCGGTGGCCGAACCACTGTCAACGTGAGTGATGACAACTCGGACAATTGGAGCAATGAGGCCACAAGAACACAAGCCAATTATGACCTGCGCCTGGTGGATGGTGATTCTGTTCGGTTCTCAGTGGAGGCCCGAGACTTAGCCGGTCACTTTGTGAGGGACGAAGTGTTGGTCCATGCTGATTCGTCCCCGCCAATTATTGAAAATTTTGGGCTGGTCCGAGACGGAGAAGTAAACTTGGTAGTCCACAATTCAGCTGATCTGCATGAAATGAGGTAGAATGGTCCAACCTATTTTTGAGGTCTTTAATCGCTGCAGTGACGTTACTAATTGTCTGTTCTGTATGAAAGACTAACATTTGGGCATGCTGTTAATTGGATTGGTGTCTGCATTTAATTTGAGCTTTGAACAGTCTAAATTTTGACTTGGTAAACTTTTTTGTTCCCAATTGGTGTTCTTTAAAGGCCTTTAGACGTTTACTCCTGTTAAGGAAGTGATCCAAAATAAAATTCTTTTAACAGTCTGTGAGAGGTAAATTAAAGAAGATGAGAAAAAAGTGGTAATAGCTGCCTACAACTTAGAATTTAGTTTAGGTACGCTAAGTTAAGCCTGATATTTTAATCAAATCTTATATACCCATTTATATTTGCCTTTTAGTGTCCCAATTGGTGTTCTTAGCATGAAAAGAACTTTGAAAATGCATGAAAAATAGCTGTCAACACCTTGAAATTTAGGTTACGTTTTCTAATGGAAAGCTTGGCCTTATAGTGTTAATCAAAATGCCAATTTATGTTTGCTTCTTTGGTACTTCGTTTCTTTTTCTTTAGTCAGTAAGTATAACTCCCGGTATTTTCGGTTACGTTTATTGTCCTGTGCCCATGTGAGCTTTATTTAAGCTGATGCATCCCCTCGAAAAAATAAAGCATAATCCCTATTCCTCAGGGTAACATTTCTTTCAAGTGAGGCCATGTGTTCCCAATTCATGTAGAATACCCCCTCAGCGGATAAGTAGAGATTGCACATGCTTATACACCACTCCCGCTCTCAACAAGTATGGTGTGCTCTGCTTGACATTGTCTGCTTGGAGTTAGTTATTTTTCTCTGGATTGCACTTTTCGTTTCAATATTTACGCACCATGTTGATTTGATATTAAACTTTGGGTTAAGTGTCTGGTCTCACCTTTTGGTTTGGATTTAAGGATTTTACCATCAGACAGCCAGGTTTTTGCGGGCCATCTCACCACCAGGTTGGGTCTCTCCCCCCCCACTGTCATTTTTGCTCTTCTTTGCCCAATTTTTTGATACTTGCCACGTATGCGAAAGCACTCATTACGAGTCTATATGTTAAGTTATAACTCAATCCATCTCTGTTGTTACGGTCAGTTGAAGTTTAAGGCTACAGATTTTCATTGAGCAGTCACTGGGAAATGCATACATTTTGGCTGACTGAACCTGTCTTGGAAAATGAGCGGGGCACTAAAGAAAACGGTATATGCGATTCCCACTATGTTTGTGTAAAAAGACTACAGAAACGAAACTCCGGAAGACTCAACATGTCAAATAAACAAGTGCCGCGACGATACTGAAAAGAAAGTCGTGGTGTCCTGGGGTATTTGCGGACTCAGTCTCTGGATATTTTAATTAATGTTACAGGATTGATTGATACCTGCTTTTTATTACCTAGAGTTGGTCTTTTCCCTTACCAGTTTTATGAATCATGCTGAAATTCTTGATGTATATGTTAACAAATTCCCTTTACTCTTTGTGCCTGAAATTTAAGAGTTGCATCTGAGCCTCGATTAATTAATTCAGTTCCATAGGTTGGTTCCTTCAAAGCGCCCAAGTTAAGTTTAGTGTTAACTTTGTTACAGTTTCCGAGTAATATGCGCTTTTTCTGGTTACATTTGTGGCACTTACGTATTTCAAAATCTCTTATTATAACTGATATATGTCACCTTTCTCTTCCAAAGTGTTGCTTTCAGGACTTACGACATTCACAGTGGCATAAGAACCATCGAGTGGCGTCTTTTTGACAACTACACTGGCACAGGAATGGAACAGGGAAACCAGACGGTTCCTGCGAGGAAGGTCAATACGGTAAGCTCATATATATAAATACACATCAGGAAAAATCGTGCAACTATGAAACCATGCTAATTTGTGATGTTAGCTCAATGTTTTTGTCTTCCACAGGTTACTGAAGACTGTAATCCAGTCAGCTGTTTGTGTATTCCGATTGGTGACTGCTATGCCGTGGACTATGGTTTTAAGCCATCATTCCACATCAGTGATCATGAATTTGATTACTTCATCAAATTGACAGTTACCAACCATGCAAGACTGGTGACTACTCAGACAATCAAGGTATGTAAGCTATATGTACCAACGGATCTTCTGAAACAAGTTCAAAAATATTATCCTATTGAACTGCCTATTTGTACTGACTTACAGATATCAGTGGACACATCCGCTCCCCAGGCCGGTGTGGTGCATGATGGGATACGTGGGTCGAGTGAGGTGGACTTTCAGGAGGGCAATGACCTCTCGGCTCACTGGGATGGGTTCTTTGACAAGGAGAGTGGAATCAAGTTTTACCAGTATCTGTTTGATAAATCCTGCTGGACTGGTAATACAACAATTGGCAGTGTTAGGGACGCAGTAAGTTTCAGTGGATTTTTCATGTCAGATATCTAATATCCTGAAAACGATGCGAGTCAAGCCTTTACAGATTTTTTCTTTTATCCGTGTGCGATCCATTTATTTCTTTAGATGACAAACACCACCTTTACATATGCCAGTTGGACAGCACCTTCTCCGGGCCGGTACTATGTCACCGTCATCGCGTACAATCGAGCACTGGAGCCGTCCGAGGCAATCTGTTCTGATGGTGTCGTGATAGACACGAGTCCCCCTTCATTGTCACAGATTTCTATCCGCTATGCTCAGATGTGGCCTGGTCTTGCCAAGAATGCCGAGGGTCGGGTATGGTTTGTCGATGAGCACCGCAGAAAAACGAAGCTGATCAATGCATCCAGTGGGTGCAGGTACGGTCATTCCTGCAACTGGAGATATATAGGCATGCTGATGCGCTTTAGATCACGTTCTCTACTCACAAGCATAATTAGGGATAACATTAGCAAACACAGAGGTGGGAGTGACACGTACTTGAGTAACTCCGGTCCTAATACTGCTTACAACATCGAGATACACCTCATTTGGGTGAATCTATCCGATGTCACGTACATAAATGATGGACTTACCCATAGGGGGGCCTTTCATTACTGTTGGTAATACGCATAAGGTGTTTACACGTGTGCTCCGCACTAGACCAATGCAGTCTAGCAACTGGCTCTGCAAATGAATTTGTTGCTTGGTACATGTAAAAAGCCACAAGGACGACAGCTTCTTGCGGAGAAAATCACCCTGCTTGTTTTTGTATAGAACTTCCATATCTGTATGTCCCCTACTGGAGTTATCTTTCTCCGCCATGGTGTGCTTGTTTTTGGAGTTGATTGTTTCACGTAGTATCACATTTTTGCAGCAGGACTACTTAAGAAGCCATTCTATATTTTCAGTTCTTACTTCTTTTATTGAACCCAGATCCAAGGCTTCTCTGGTGACTGATTTGTCTGTTTATCCTGAGATGGCTGGCACCAACAATTCGTTAACAATACTGCTAGGAGATCCGGACTGTATCTGGATCTCAGCCGTTCAGCAGAAATTCTTCCTACCAACTCACAAACATGTACGTGTTTATATACTTTGAATTAAGATATGCTAATTTGGCACACAGTCATGTATGGCATGAGTGCTGTACTGATTTCCTTGTACTCTAGATCTGCATGAATTGATGGGTTTTTCACAGAAATTTGAATATTGCCAAGGGTTTTGTTGCGGATCATGCGTATTACCTATTGCATTCTGGTTATTTTCAAAACTGGCTGTTTCAGTACCCAGCTGTCTACTAAGAATATAAAACCCACGAGCCAAGTGCACTTGTCATTCAGATATGCTTCACATTCCTCGTGTGTGTAAAAGAAAACACTTCAACAATTATGCTATGCTATGTGAATGGCATGCAGCCTTAGCGTTTTCACACCTGAAAGGTAAGACCATAGCACTGGTTAACCATTACCCGAAGTCATTCCGTTGGTGCGTAAGTGTGCGATTTGAAAACTGACTCCCCGACTGCAAGAGTTTTATTATAAATAGCGTTATGTAATTGTTTTGTGTTGTCAATCGCAGGTAATGATATCCTGGACAGGTGAAGATACAGAGAGCTCTATGTATGACTATGAGATTGGTCTCAGCAGTGACCCCTCGAACCCAACCCCTGACCTTGTGACCTTCACATCCACATCAGGTCACGATCACTTTATGATGTACCATCCTGAAATCAGCCAGGGCGCCGTGTTCCACTTGGTCCTAAAGGCAGTGAACAAGGCCCAACTCTCAACATCCAAGGTCAGTCATTTAGTGATCAATTGGAAGACAGCTAAAGGTGATGGATGTTAAGCCAGAGAGAAACAAAGAAACGATTGAGTGCATGTTTTTGGTTTGATATTAAACCAAAAGGCTTGAAGTCTCAAGTTTGGTACGATTAGTAATGGTACTAAAACTAATGATTTTTTTTTGCATTCTCCGCATTGTAGGTAATCGGTCCAATCATAGTGGATACCACCCAGCCCGTGTTTGTTGGGCGTATCTCAGTCCGCACTGAGGGTGAGTTCTTGGTTGCCGAATGGGGACACGAAGGATTCACTGATGATGAGGATACCGATCTGAGGTACCAAGTCGCCATTGGTGAGTCAACCAAACTTAGATAATCGGGAGAGTTTTTTTGTCTAATATCAGCAGATATCAGTCTGCCTACGTTAGTTGGGCGTGTGTTAGTCCTCAGAGAATAGGTTAGAAGTGCTTCAAGATTTTTCTCTGCTTTAATATAGAATATCCTAAGAGGACCTAGTCAAGGTAAATTCAAAATATTAAAAGTGTTATTCTCCTAATGTAGTATTATTTGCTTCATTGCAGGTAGCAACCCAGGTGGCACAGAGACGCTAGCTTACAAGACGGAAAAATACTACAGAAATGGTCCGTGTTCATCCCAAACCTCTTGTGCTGCATTCTCATTGGATGACCTAGACTGGCATCTCCATGGTGACCATGAATATTACGTGTCAGTCAGAGCACAGAATGGTGCTGGATTGACAACAGTGGGGACCTCATCTGTTTATAGACACATCGTGCAGTTGCCATCCCTGGGTGTTGTATTGGATGTTGCACCGCTAGGAGAGGAAGTGGTTGTGTACTTTGGGGTAACGTGACAAGTCTCAGTTATTCTGTTTTGGGCATAATCACGTTTACAAGGGTCTGCTTTTGCCACTTTTATCGATATAATGTTTGAAAACACTAATGTTTTCAACATTAATATGGAAGTGAAAATTGTCTTCCCTGAAGGAAAAAATCAACATTAAAATATAACAATGGGGGACTGGTTTACGTTTTGAGATGCTGTCATGAACTATAGTTTACTTGTTGCAACATCGAACGAAAGATTTCAGATTTAGTGGTAGGTACCAGGACTGATAGGGAATCTGAAATACATTGCGTTCCTAGTCCTTTTGAAAGCCAGCACGTTACCTTTTCTGGTAACTTAATATCATACTAGGTGGCCGAAGACATTGATGTACAGACGGACAACACAAGCCTTTCTGCTCGTTGGTATGGCTTTGAGCATCCCCATCTTGACATCAACTATGAGATTGCTGTTGGATTACAAAATTGCTCCTCTGACATCAGCGGTGGATTCATCAATGTTGGCAACATAACCTTCCATCGTTTGGCTGGACTGGAGCTATCTTCCCTCACGGTAACACCAAATTGACTGGTTTCCCTGCAGATATTGTGTCATGTTTGACGCTTGCATAATTCAACTGGGGATTCGGTACTTTGTGTATCAGTTGCAAGTCTAAACGTCATGGTTGTCTGCCATTATTGCTATTGATTTATGCTTACGAAGTTGGTTTTAAAACGTGGAGATGTTTCATAACCCTTTGTCATTCACAGACTTATTACGTGACCGTACGCGCTAACTCTGAAGCTGGGAGCGTCAATGTTACCTCAGATGGCGTCAAAATTATTCAGGAGGGTCAGATATTTGAGGGAGCGTTGATCAAAGACGGACTGAGATGTGATGAAAATGAAAGTAGGTCCATTAGATTTTATGGGTAACATGCCTTTTTACTGCAGCAAGTATTAAGCTTGATTGACCGTCACGCTTGAAGTTCCCTCGTATCTTCCTGAACTAGGTCGGCTAATTTGATCATGCCCGCTGATGTCTGTACTACCTCCTCAGTCATTTAAGTTTAATCAACCTCTCCAGAGAATTTACTCTTCAAAAGTATCTCATCACTCTTCCGCTAAACGTTGGATCAAAACAGTCTTCCACCAAAGACATCGCTGATCTTTGAACGTTCCCTCCAATCTATTCTCTTCCTCTCTCCTGCAGCATCTGTTCCTCCAAGGTTGAGCCATCACTCATCCGCTGCTGCCCGACCCTGTCAAGATGACACCACCTTCCAGTCCTCCACCTCAGAAATCTCAGCTCATTGGACCATTCCAGAGATCTTGGAGCCCTTTGTTACTAATGTCATTTGGACAGTCGAGCAGGAGATTGAGATACACATTAGTAAACCCAATTTTATTTCTTGAGCTGTATCAGCTAGTACTCATCTCAACCCTAAATTATGTTAAAACTCAAGGTACACTACGGAAGATAGTAAATGCAGTATTTGATTTGAGATAATTTAAAAGACTTGTATAGCCTAGATTTGGTTTCTTAGAACAATATTGAAAAGTGTTATGAAGCAGTTCAAAGTAAATGTAAACTCTCTTTTGCCCCGGTTCTGTGAAATCACGCAATTGATTTTGGGAATTTTGACATTAAATGTGAATTCCACATTTTCCACAGACAAACAGAATACAACTAAGAAATGGATCGTTCTGCTTGATCAACGGGATCTGGGCATGGCCTTCCAACATGTTCAGGCGGGTATGGGATTACATGCTGGAGCACACTATAGATCAAAGGTATCGAAGAAAGCTACGTTTAGTGCATTATTATTTGCTCATGTGGTTACCCGTAGCTGTTCGGTGTGACGAACGATTTCAATCAAGTATAGAGCTAAGGTTAAATTCTTTGCGAAATATGAAAATCTAAAAGGGCTTAAGGACAGTTTCCTAAACTAGCCTTGCTCCAATATATCTTGCTTTGCAGGTTCAGTTTTGCCATGTTAGCGTTTGTTTCCGACCCATTGTAACTGATGGATTCTGGGTATTGTCCGAACCTCCCGAGGTCGGTCAGGTCACAGTCAGCAACATTGAGACTAAGCAAGGCAGGATAGAGATCTACGGGGCTTTTCAACCTTTTTCGCATGATTACGTTCGTCATGATGACCCTGAGGAACTGATGGACTTCTATGAATGGAGCATCGCTGAAGACGGTAGTAATGGAGCCATGCTGAGTCAGTGGAAAAGAATTGACAATTTTGTGGCTACTGGAGATGTGGTATGTTTTTAATGTTCTTGCAAGCTAGTTTAATTACCCCCAAAAGATATGGAATCGGAATTTGGCTTGAGGAACCTCGATCAAGAAACGGAGTTCAAATGTTTTTAATATTGCATATTTTCCCCAGAGATGCTAGACATAGGTCTACAAACGTATTGCTGTAATAGTCTACATTGCAGAATTACAAGCTGAACTCCAACAGACACCTCCTTCCATAAAAATTATTTATCGAAAGTTTAATTAAATCAAAGACTCGTAAAGTAGGAAGATCAGAAGCCTTTCTCGTTATTTTCATGAAGTCCTGTCCCCCAACTGAACCCATGAAATACAAGTTAATAATTCTTTTCATCACTTGTTCAAAAGTTCCGCTTCACAGCATTCTACAATGGACAGTTAGACCTAGATGTCTGTCTTCGGCTATCGATCAGGGGCTACAACAAGGCCGGCCTGTCCTCCATCGCCAGCGCCGAAATTGTTGACTGTGACGATGTGACGCTCATTGTTCTACATACTGTCATTGATGCAGATCGTAAGTTGTATTTCTACGTGTTGTATTCTGAACGTGTATTCTTTTTTATACTAGGCACACTTGTGTATTTTAAGTGTGATGCTGTTTTTTACCAGTTTTCTAAAAGAAGCTCACAGGGTTTTAAAATAACTGGTGAGTATCCATATAAAACTGAAGACCAAAACTTACTTTCATGGCAAAAATTTCATCATGGATAATGCTCCAAATTTTGCAACAGATGAAGTCAGCATGGACCAGAATGCTCTGTGGCCGGAGCCAGATAAGAACTACATCTCCTCTACATCCTCCTTATCAGCCGTCTGGCCCATGCTGCGCCACAGAGCCTACGTCTGGGCAGCCATTGAGGACACCGGATCAACAGACTTCGGCGACTTGGACAAGGGCCTGCGGTACCCATGTGATCACCCTAGGATGAAGGCCTGTGGAGAGACAGGTACAACAGGGAGTCTGAGAATAAAACTGATCAAATTCCTAAAGTGTGTCTATGGCACAGCGTTGAAAAATGTAAAACCTTGAAAATATTAATTATATATAACCTCACAAAAAAACCTCACTAGCAAACGGGCAAACCGTTATATATAATTAACATCTCCCCAACGCAAAAATAATACATCT